GAAGATAATAGCTGGGGCACGAGCACGAGCTTGAGCAAACAGGTCACGAATACGCTTTGCACCAACACCAACGTAAACTTCATCGAATTCTGAACCGGACATGAAGAAGAAATCAACACCTGCTTCACCTGCAGTTGCTCTTGCCAACAATGTCTTACCAGTACCTGGTGGACCAGTTAATAGTACACCTTTTGGCAATTTACCTCCCAAGGATTCATATTTGGCAGGATCTTTCAAGAAGTCCACTATTTCTTCCAATTCAGCACGGGCTTCATCACAACCGCGAACGTCATCAAATTTAACATTAGTCTTGGCGACATCGATTGACTTGTCGGCAATATCGGATGATTTTAGCAAAGAGGTGTTTTCTGAAATGTATCTAAAACCTTCAGTGAAACCATAAGTTAAAACAGAGAAGATCAATATCCATTTAACCCATCTTGAAATGATGGTGAAAGTTGATTCAGTAACGACGACATGAATTGGAGCTTTGCTAGAACCGTAAGAAGGGGAATACATTGCAGGGAAAGTGCCATGATAACCAGTAGAATTAGTTGAGGAGGAGGCCAATGAAGGGTTAACAGCACCCGCTGAACTTGCGGTTAAAAGGTTATTTCTAACAGCATCTGCTTCAGCATGTCTACCAATTCGTTGTAAAGCCTCCATGTATAATTCCATACATTCAGGACTTGATGCGATACCTGGGGTCTCAAATCTTGAAACCACGTACTGTGGATAATTTGATTGCAATAGAAGTTTGTAAAATTCAGCTTGAGCATCAGGGTTTGCGATATCTTTATTAGCTTCTTGTTCCTTTGTAGCCAATATAGCGTGAGATACCGGTTCATTATCATGTTTTTTAACTCTCGAAGAGGCGTTGACCAGAGCTGAAGCAGCAGCTTGAGCTAACTCCTTAACGGATCTTTTCTGAGATTTTTGAGAGATAGGAGAAGAATCAGAATCCCTTTTGATTTGATCAGAATCTTGTTGAGATTCCTTTTTATCTAATGACTTTTCATCAGAATAAAAACGACGATGCAAATACAATCTGTTTTGTAAATGTGGGACATTTCTATTGGTGTAAAGGGAACTGGATCGCAGTGCCGCTACTGCCACAATGGGAAGCTTTGGTATGGCCACACGAGTAACATTTGATATCAAACCAGGATTCAAGCCCAGTTGTAACATAGTGGAAAAAATAAAACGTGATTATAGCAAAAGTAGCAGATATTAATCAAAAAAATGTAGTAGTAATAGTAGTAGTAGTAATAATAGTATTAGTCTCTGATTCACAGTTACCTATTAAACACACAAAACCACTCGACTGTCTACCAAATATATATGTATATATGTGTGTGTACTAGAGATACAATCAATACAACTTGGAAAGAAAGGGGAGGGGATGGCAGTCGTGCTAGAGAATAGATATTTATATGAACAGATATCACCAAATAAAAAAAGTATCCAACTGATAAGCCCAGCAGTTACTAGTTCAGCAAACTGTACCAATACACAACACCGTCAAGTAATAACAGTATTCAAACCGATAGTTCAAACCTGAAAGTGGCAAACCTTCCAGTTAAACCTTTTAATTTTATAATAGAAAGTGACGATATTTTTATATTCAATTACAGTTTGCTTCTGTTTCTGTTCAAACTTCTTAGAAGCTTCAAGAAGATATCAAAAGGAAAAAAAACAATGCACTCAGCACACACCGTGGATAATGATGAAAATGTTATAGATTATGACTGAGCCCAACTCGATGGGATGGATTCAGAACAGGAGCTATATAGAGGGACATCTGCTTTGGTGTGTTGTATGTATTAATGAGATCATGGCATTGGGAACTGTATTGATTAAATTATTTGTATGTATGTTTGTGTGTTTTTGTAATTCCACCAACGACTAGAATAAATTTAAACTCATCAGGTGAAAAAAAACATTTTGGCTACAATCGAATAATTAAAAAACTTCCATATATATCTATCTATATACATATAGTCTACTACACGGATAACGGGCACGAAATCTTGATAATTATACCCATTTAGCTTAATATCTTGCTGCTGTGCAGGTATATTTTTTACCTATCTTTTTTTTTCCCATCTCTTTCCGGAGTTAACTTTTAGTTCTTGTATTTACACATTCAGAGGAAAAGTCGTTGTGACTATTTAAGGAACCAACAAATTTATCAGCCGAATTTTAAAGATAAGGAATGGTTCAGCTAATCGAGGTCTAAAATAGTATATTAAAGACCAAAAGATTTAAGGTTATTCTGCTTGTGGCCTAAAGATCAAGAGGAAGACATCCTGTGTCTGTGTGAACGTACAATCCTCGTAATTGCTCGCCATGTTAAGAACATTTGGAAGAACTGTGGTGTTACCAACCGTTGGCTTTACGCTGGGTGTTGGGTCATTTATTAAAGCTTGGCCTGATGAAGCAGGTGCAATCACTTTGAAAGATGCAGTTGTCCCTCATTTGAAAAGCAACAGGGTTATTCAAAGACCTGATATTCTGGAGAAGATCTCGCAAATGAAACTTTATAACGATTTGTTAAACAACCCATCGATGAATCACTCAGTCCAAAGCGAAAAAATTCCAAGAGGCCATCTAGCTTACCACGTTGGACAAGGTGAATTATTCGGTCCAAACAGATTAGAGATCGATCCATTGATATTTTTTGATGAAGAAAACAGTAAATTAGTTATTTTCTATCATTTGGGAAAAGATTTAGGTAATGAAAAGGGGAATGTCCACAAAGGAGTACTATCGTTACTATTGGATGAGGCATTGTGTTATTGTGGGTTCCCGAAATTGCCCAGTAAAAGAGGTGTGACTGCAAAATTACATGTAGATTTCACTAAGGATATACCTGTAGATTCAACTGTAATATTAAGGGCAGACGTGACGGAGTCAAAGGGTAGGAAATGTATTATTGACGGGACTCTAGAGACTGTCCCAACCAAATCGTTATTGACAGGTAAGGAATCTGAGACAGGGACTGTATTTGCAAAAGGTAATTGTATATTAGTGGAGCCAAAATGGTTTAAATATTTCACTTGGCTAGATATGTTCTAACATGAATTTTGAAATAATTGAAAAAAAACAACATAATAACAGGATTATTCTATTTAAATCTCTACATAGTATAGTACACGTAAGAATGGTTTGATTGATCGATCCAAGAAAATTTAAATATATTCTATAGCCTCATCTATATATGTAAGCATATATGTAAGCATATCTGTTATATATATATATACCGTCACAATTGGCTGCAAGTATTCACTTTGTAAGGTTATTGAGTCCTCTCCACGATCAGAAATAGCATACATGACAACCACCCATCACAATTTCCTTCTTGGTCCCAGGAAATGAGGGGAGAGAAGAGACGAGATCACACCAGAGACAAATAAAAGCCAAAAAAAAAAAAAGAATTCAAATAACACGTGAATAACACGTGAAACACACATGCCCCATAATGCGCTCCTTTTCGTTTCTTTTTGCTGCTGTTTTTGGTGTTCTATTCTTGGCTTCGAAACCCGTTTCCCTCTCTGCTTCTGCCTCTGTTTCTCTGTCTTTATCTCTGGAAATTCAGTTGAAATTTTCGAAACCGCTGCGGCCGCGTCTGAATGAATTGAACCGTATTTTCGAAATCACACTGAACCCGAACCGAATCGAGCTGGATAATACACACATTTTGAAAAAATGTCGATTTCTATCCTTTTCGATCAATAATGAAATTTATTTTGTAATACGTAACAACAAATTCAAACATCTAAGCAAAATGGTAAATGTACATACACACATGGACCAAGTAAGTTTCTCATTATATCTACTTATATCTACACCTATATCTATCTAATCTATACATATATATATATGTGTTTATATATAAGTCTTGGTTTATAGTTAAGGCTGGTGTATCGGTGACTTGTTGTTATTTAAGTTAACGCTTTTTTGCATTATTACTGAATTTCGAATTTCGAATTGAGATTACTGACTGAGGTTGCATTCGGTAGCTTTTATAATTTGATCTTTAGTTTAGTAGTTTATTTCTTTTTTGCAGACCAGTTCAAGGTTTATCCAAACGTCTAACAGCGTCTATATCTGTTTGTGTGCTAATAACAAGTTCATAGTCACACGTTTTACTTTTATATAGGAATTCACCATGTCTTCTTCAGAGTTGAATACTGATGAAGGTGAAGTTTTCGCTTCAAAAGAGGTAACTACACAAGTATTCCAGAAACTATCTGGTAAGTTAGAAAACAGAGTCTGTTTTGATTGTGGTAATAAAAATCCAACTTGGACTTCTGTGCCATTTGGTGTTTTATTGTGTATTCAATGTTCTGCTGTCCATAGAAATCTAGGTGTTCATATTACATTTGTTAAATCTTCCACTCTAGATAAATGGACTATAAATAATTTAAGACGTTTTAAACATGGTGGTAATCTAAAGGCCCGTGAATATTTCTTGAAACATAACGGTAAACAACTATTGAATACTTCCAACGTCGATGCTCGTACTAAGTACACTAGTCCTGTTGCTAAGAAGTACAAGGAACATTTGGAGAAGAAAGTTCAAAAAGATATCGAATTGTATCCATCAGAATTAGTTTTAAATGATGTTGCAGATGATGAATTAGGCAGCAGCACATCTACCGATTCATTGGCTATCTCAAAGGAAAGCAGCGTGGACGATTTCTTCGCCAATTATCAAAAGCCTGTGGATGGAAGCTCAACTCCAAAGGGTTTGACACCAACTACTAGCTCTTCACAATTGAAACAAACAAATTCGAGATCTTCGATTTTGTCCGGTAGTGGTAACAGAAGAAAGGTAACCACTACTTCTAGTGCTGCTTCCGGTGCCAAGAAACATTCTATCTTATCTTCATCAAGAAAACCAACAAGAGTCTCAGCTAACAAAGTTGATAAATCCCAAGCTGACGATTTGTTCGATCAATTTGAAAGAGATGCAGCTGCTGAAAAAGTCGAGTTACAATCAAACAGCTTCACCACCAACAACAACAGCAAAACTTCTTTCCAATCTGGCGGTAATTCTAGACCAGGTAGTATTAGTACTTACAAAGCCAGAACAATGGGTAAAAACGAATATAATGATGATGAAACTGATGAATTCAAAAAATTCTTAAATAAAGCTGATGACTTAAATGACAGTTATACCAATAATGGTCCAGTAGAACAACTACAACCAAAGCTTGCGAAGTTAGGATTTGGTATGGTTGGTAATGATGCTGATGAACTAGCTAAGGAACATAAAGATTCTGTAAGAGCAGCTTCAGGTCCAAAATATACCGGTATGATTGCAACCAAGTATGGTCAGCAAAAGGGTATCTCTTCTGATCAATTATTTGGCCGTGGTTCCTTTGATGATGAAGCTTCCCAAGAAGCTAAACAAAAGTTAAAGACATTTGATAATGCTACATCTATTTCTTCCGCATCTTACTTCGGCGAAGAAGAAGAAGAAGGTGAAGAAGGTCTTGATAGATTTGGTTCTAATGCTAGTTATGGTAGTTATAACAATGCCAATAACAACAACAATGCAGGAGGTTTCATTGATTTCAGTCTAGGTACTGAAGATGATTTGCAAGTATTGAAAGATGCTGTAGAAAGAGGTGCTCAAAAGTTGGGTGATTACTTGAGAGATTATTTGAGAAACTGAGTATAACAAGAAGTAAATGGGATAATTATGTAACAAAATTAAAACCAATAGTAATAATAAATAACTAAATAAATAATTTCAAAACAATTACATTCGAATTTAAGATTAAATAAATTACAAAAATTTGTACATCGATTAACATGCTCAGACAATTAGGATGAAGTTAGAGGTATTCCAGAGTTTCATATTTGTATAAATATATAAAATCAAACAAAACAAGCTAGACTAAGACTCCATTACATATTTATGAGTTATTCGTAAGTTACGCTCTTAAGCAATATATGGCACTGACACCAGATATTAAATCAGTATCCTCATATGTACCTTTTTGGCTCTAAACCAAAAAAAAAAGAAGACATATCTGGCTCTCATATCTACGTTTCGTATAATAGTATATAAATCATCAACTCCTTTTCAAGAGACGAATAAAAGTTACCCTATCCAAAACACTATATGACTGTTTAAAACAAACACCTGTACATTTTCAAACACAATCCATAATGTACGGATGTTAATCATCACTGTTGTTTTGTATTGTTTGCTTTTCAAATTTCTAAATTTCGTCCCGACCCACCGAACAACAACATAAAGGCAAAACAACAGACTGGCCACGCTATTCTTCTCGTTAGAAGGACTTCAGTTGATTGCATTTTTGTTAGCCTCGTGCATTCACAAACTACAATTTCTCCAACGTTGAACAACGGTTTCTCATCACACCTATCCAAGATAAGCCAATTCAGATATACCGAAGTCCATCTCCATCTAGAAAGACATCCAAAATCAGTGTCCCTCCCTCCCCCCTCTCACCAAGGCAATTGACCAGACCTAAATTTCTTCATCCAGCTAGGCAGAGATACCATTCCAGTTCCAGGCAGCGTCAGTCTAAAATCCTCCTTCTAAACCTCTTTTCCCACCTCAACCCCCGCCAAACTCTCCCTCCGTCTCTAGACAGAGACCTGCTGTCCCCCCACCACCGCAAACGAAAATGAAATCACTGACGCGATGAAACTTTTTCACCAAGATGCATCTTCTATAGTATTGAATTCTATCATACTATTGCAATAGACTGCAGCAGAGTATGGTGTAGATATTGTTGGTAACAAGCTGTAAGTAATCCAAACCAAACTACCAAACCTTTGAAACTGGCTATCAATCTAACTTACTTTCTCTCTCTAACTTGTCAAATATCCAGTGAATGAAATGTTGTGTATACACATCGAAATATTCCAATTGTCTTTGAACATTGCGAAGAATCTTTGATGCGATGTTGTAAGTTTCAACTTTTCAACTAACTTCACTTCATCTTGTAAAATTATTGTGATGGCAAGTGCAAAACTTACGAAAACTATGCTGATTGTTGGTAACTACAATGTTACTATTCTATTGTCTTAGCCTTAGTTCTTGTAATTAATTCTTGTTGGTCTTGTTAAAAGTGGTTTGATATTTAAAAGTAGTAGTGGTTTTAAACTATTATAGTTTTATTGTTAGTTGTCGAATTACCAGGAATCACCATAGATAGTGAGTTAAAAGGTATGTTCAACATGGTTTGATATAGGAGAATATAGATTAATTGAATGAGAGATGCAGCAAGTGGTACATAGAAATTGTGTTACAAGATAGTATTTCGATGACTGATGGATAGGAAAAGTCGATTAGATATATACATCCGTGGTATTGTAATGGAAACCTATAACGAGAACAAGAAGTTTATTTGTATTACCACGTTAAAAAAACGTTTTTGAAATTGGGATGAGTGAATAGTCTTCGAATCGATGAGAATGAAAAAAATTTTTTTTTCTTTAACCCTAGGGACAACATTGGTAGATATACTTAGTATAAATATAACTACTGTTATTGACTTTGACCTTTTCACATACATCTGATATTGTTTTCAGTACTGGCATTCAAGGAACTCTAAATTCAGTAATAACATTTTAATAGAGGAATATTTTTTACTAACTTATTTTCATACTATCAACGCAAACTACTGTTTTGATATTTGTATTATTTTATTATAGATGGCTTCTTCTCTACCACACCCAAAGATTGTTAAGAAACACACCAAGAAGTTCAAGCGTCACCACTCTGACCGTTACCACAGAGTCGCTGAAAACTGGAGAAAGCAAAAGGGTATTGACTCCGTTGTTAGAAGAAGATTCAGAGGTAACATCTCTGAACCAACCATCGGTTACGGTTCTAACAAGAAGACTAAATTCTTAGCTCCATCCGGTCACAAGACTTTCTTGATCGCTAACATCAAGGACTTAGAAATGTTGACTATGCACACCAAGTCTTACGCTGCTGAAATTGCTCACAACATTTCTTCCAGAAACAGAGTTACCATCTTAGCTAGAGCTAAGGCTTTAGGTATCAAGGTCACCAACCCAAAGGGTCGTTTGGCTTTGGAAGCTTAGATTAAATAATTAATCGTTTTACGGTGTGTATAATTTTCTATCTTCATAACATTATTACTTTTTGTATGTTCAATTTGAATATATATAGCATGTAATAAACAATATATCAATTATTAATCTAGTTAATTTACTTTGTTATAAAATTTTTATCTTTTTTCTTCAGGTTTATTTAGCAATACTTAAAATATTGAATAAAGTCATGAACCATCTTGAAAACAATTATTATTTCTTTAGTGTTCATATGATCTTTCTTTCCTGATGATATCGACACTTGAGAAAACTCCTATAAAGAATGCTTCTACAGATCAGTAATTGATTAATATTGTGTAATTTTTTATCCTATATAACTACGAAATAAATTGCAATTTTATGATTTAGTTATTTCTAATTTCTGATTTATAATAAAGTTACTACATATAGTCTAGTTATCAAGAAAAGGTGGCTATTATTATCTATTATACATTCTTTTGTAGTACATTTTATTTTAATTCTTGTTGTTTAGTTCTTTTTTCTTCTCTTAAAATTGAAATCAATAATATAACCAACCTAAAATCAACGCAATGACACCAAACCAAACCAATGTGTTGGTATGTATAGAACCCTCGGCTTCAGTAGCATTCTTTTTCTTTGGTTCAGCTTGTGAAGCTGATTCAGTTTTCAATTCTTCTTTTAAAAATTCTTCTGCAACAGCTGAAGCTGGTACAGCTTTGTCCTGAATTGGAGCTTCTGATTCAACAGGAACAGGAGCTTGATCTAATTGATCTTCTACAATAGCATCTTCTACCAATTTAGAAGCTTCACTTGTACTTACCACTTCATTTTGCTCTTCTGCTGGGATGTGCTTTTCAACAGTGTCAACATCTTGCAATTGCTCTTCTTTTAATTCAGGTTTTGTTTCTTGTTCTTGTGGCAAAGCATCAGGAATGATTGTATATTTAACTTTCATTTTTTTAGAGACTGCTTGTTGCTTGAATTCACCTTCTAAAGCTGGCCAAGCTTCAGCAACAGTTTTGTCACCCAAATCATAAGGAGATGGTAATGTTATAACTAAAAACTTATCACGACACTTAAAATCTGCTACTGGCTCTTCAGCTAGACCCAACAAAATAACTTGGATCTGAACAGTCTCACCTGGCGCTACAACAGCTGCATTAGGTCTAACACAATAAAACTTTGGAGCAGTAGTCTTCACTTTAAAGGCAATTGTTTCGTTTGAGTTATTTGTGATTGAAGCATATTCTGTAGATTGTACAGTAAATGGGGATTTAAACTCCAAAACATCAGGAGTGATTTCTACCAAAGACATCGTCCTATTCTTAGCTTATATGAATAATTCAGTTCACAATTGATGCCAATCTAATTGATCAAAAACCCCTGTGACATCAATAAATCAAACTCTTCTGATCCGTACAAATTCTTACTATTGTTATATACCACTTTGTTTATGTTTCAATTCTCAATCAACGTTGATCGTATAACCTTCGTACATAATGATGTTCACAACTAGTGTAAAAGAATTGTTGGTAGGGTAACACATACCTGACAGGCCAGTTGGCAATGCTCAATGCAATAGATGACAGGATAGCTTTAAGTTAAAGTCTTAGTACATCATCGTTATTCTTAACATACCTACTAGGAATACGACAGTTGAGGTATGGTTTATAAGTCTTTGTGAAAATTTCTAGTACCACCATCACTCCTTTACTCTTACTTGTTTCAAGAATAATAAGCAGATGGCTCATCTTGGAAAATAGTGACATGCAAGCCTCTGACGTAGATGTTAACGGTTAGAATGATAATGCCAGTACATTTTATACAAAAACATCATTACACATACCGCTGGATATATTTATTTGGTTGAGTATGAAATAATATTAATTAAAACTAAATATATTAGAACTAGAAAAAAATTGATTTAAACAAAGTCAGCCTGGAAACAGTTTGAAGTTAGAAAGGAAATAAGGATGTTACTAATGCACTGATAACGATTAAATAATACAGTGAGACTTGAAGTGGTTTATATCTTGAATATTGACAATTAGTATGATATAAGTGAATTAAAACCGATAGAAAGGGAAAAAGAGAATTGAAACTATATATATGTCATGTATAGTGACAATTTCTGTAATGAATTAAATAGGGTAATGTACGATCAATGTATCATAACATTGGGTAATCGTTAGAGGTTAAGTCATACTTCTTCTGTGTCCTTTCACTCATATCAATTAAATTGACACCTTCTTCATTTTTAGCCCATCCATTGCCACCTTTTAATAGATCATCTATACAATCTCTTGGGGTGTACTCACCAGGTCTTGGATCCCAGGAAATATCGAACGAGCTTTGGTACAATTGGTCAACCAAAGGACTCATATTAGCAGATGACATTGTTGAACCTGAATTATTTATTGTTGATGACATCATAGATAAGGGACGTCCATTAGCGTCATTAGTGGAATCTCCAAATTGTCTACTTGAAGAAGAAATAGGTGAAGCTATTTCGGTAGAACCTTCTAGTAAGTCATTTAAATCAGTATTCAAACTTCCATGGATCCTACTTTTTGAGTTTCTTGGAATTGCGAAGTCGTTATAAGTACCACGCACAATTTCCATTCTTACTGACATGTTAATAATCGAATTAACCTTTGATTCCTTCAATAAGAATCTACTTGTACTGTATACCTCGTCCTCACGAATGTAATCTGCAATATTTAGAGAGACGTAACCCATGAACATTCTTTTGGTATTTGATTTAATTGGGTTTTCAGAACCTGTACCAGGAACAAATGAGAAATTACTAGCGGTACTTGGTCTTGGTAAAGAAGGCACATGTACTGAATTTGACCTGGTTGGGGCTGGATCCAAATATACATCTAGATGTAGGACCTTGGAACTAATATGGCCATTTCTATCGACTTGCAACTTGACTTGAACTGGGTTTGGCAATTCGTAATTCCAAACAGCTTTATGGCGAGAGACTCGAGCCTTTGGAGATTGACCACGACTTTGGTTAACACCAGGAGTTGTAGTCAACTTATTTTCCAACTCTGAACCAAAACCATGGCCTGAGGTACCAGTACCATCTTTTAACGTCCAACGAACAGAACACATCCCATCCGATTGTGGGATGTTCATAAGTTCATTGAACTTCACATATAGCAAGAATTTTGGTCTCCTGCTCTTGGCATTAGCTTGAAACATATTTGAAGATTGGTATTCCCAGTTTTATTCGACTTACTTTCAAGTACTGTGAACGATGAACATCGAGACAGACAAAGACCAGAAATCTTTAAACATAAGAATATAAATCTATATAGAGTGTAGTGTATTTATATAATCAATCAGCATACCTGTATCGTTCTCCTGGCATTAACAAAGCCATACAGTTTATTTTCATAGACCCCCGATGAGGCCAAGTTTCATGCAAATTGATTACCCCTTGTTTGGATGACAACAATAATACGGATACACATACAGATAGATACAAGACACGCAGACAAATACACACACACACACATATATATATACATATACCCATATATAGTAGGCATTCAGCAGTGTCTGTTGTGTAAACATTATAACAATCAGGAACATACCAAGAGCAGAGAAGTATAACAAGATTTCCTAGTCCACCTCATCCAGTCCAATTCTACAATCACAGTAAGTTGAGTTGAATTGAACTAAAGTAAAATAAACCAAAGTGTATTGCATAGCGTATTGGTATCATAGAAGATACAAACACTCTTCTAACCATCCAAACCAACCACACATTCCTAACCCTCTTGACCCATCCCATCTCTTTAACCCAACTCGATTCGAACTAAACCTCTTTCGAAACCAAATTTACTTAAACAAGCAAAACAGTTTCGAAATTGTGCGGGTGACGCGGTTCGAACTCGTGAATTCCTATTTATATCCATTTTCCATCTTTCATCTCCCTCCCCCCGTCCCCGTCTTGGGTCTTGGCTGATATCAGTTTTTCCGGTGCTTGTTTTTCTGTGAGAGGAGATGGAAACGATGGCAAGGTTTGAAAAATTTAGAGTTTTTCAATTTTTGACAACTTTAAGCCTAAGCTTTAAGCTTATAGCAGTGAAAAAAAAATAATATGTACACACACATACATTTGAAAAAGTGTTGATGATTACTACTTCTTGTAGATGGCTTTTAAAGGTTTGATCAAGGTATTATTAGTTGGCCATTGAGTAGATTCAAATTGGTCTTTTGTTTGTTTCTGTGTGAGTGTGAGTGTGTCTGCGTGAGTGTGTTCTTGTGTTAGGATTAGTTTGAAGGCTAGTGAGAGCTAAGATTTCTATAACAGTTTTTGAATTTTATTTTATTATTGTTTCAGCTGTTGTGGGGGGAACCAAGTCGTTTTATTAGAGTATGTTCAGTAACAAGGTACCTTCTTTGTCCAATTTGGATACCAGTGGTGCTGTTACTGCTGGTGGTGTGGGGAGTATGAGGTCTTCTTCTCCTCTAGAGAGTCCAACTAGCGATGTTTCATCTATTTTTATTGCTATCAATGAGTACAATAAACGAATGGACGATGAATTGGATTTGAAGTTGGGTGATAAAGTTAGAGTGATCACAGATGATGAGGATTACCATGACGGGTGGTATTACGGTAAGAACCTAAGAACTGGGTTGGAAGGTTTGTATCCTGTTGTTTTCACCCAAAAATTGTCTCCAGAAAAACCGAAATCTGCTACTATGGAAAAGTCTATTAAACGTTTGTCTACGCCAGTGGGTGGCATTTCTAGTTTGAACGAGTCGTTGGTCAACGAAGGTTCGATGAACTTTGAAAGAAGTGTCTCAATGAAAAATACCATGAGTGATATCGACAAGGCATTGGAAGAGCTACAACGTGGCGAAGAGTTGCACCCCAATGAAAATGCTAGTAATAGCAATAACCATGTGTCAAATATAAGTTTAAGGGAAGGTTTAGCAGTGGTTGGAGCAGGAGCAGGAGCAGGAGCAGTAGCATCAGCTTTTGCTCCGGAGGAGAATTTAAACAACGAATCTGATCATGATAGAAGTCATAATTCCATCCAAACTGGAACTACCAGCTTAAATATCCAACCTTCAGATGCCCTTATGAATGGAGTCCAATCGAGATCCATCTCGAATCAAACTACTGTAATCAATCCAAATTTGAATGGAAATTATACTAATAGTAATAACAACAACATTTATACTAATAATAACACTAATGACAATATTAATGATGACACTAATGACACTTCTAATAATAATAATAGCACTAATAATAATAGCAATGATAATTTTAATATCATAAACAACAACAGTAATAATAATAGTAATAATAATAATAATAATAATAATAATAATCACAGCAATGATGGTTTTGACGTAATAAATAATAAAACACCACATTTGGACCCTAAAAATGCATTAAACTGGTCACCTAATGATGTAGCATTATATTTTGAACAAGTTGGTTTTGATAAAGACACCTCATCCAAATTTATAAAACATAAAATTTCAGGTGAAATCCTATTGGAATTGGAATTAAACCTTTTAAAAGAACTAGATATCAATTCTTTCGGTACAAGATTCGAAGTATTCAAAGAAATCGAAGCATTGAAACAAGTATCATCACAAGATGGAACCACTTCAATGGCTGCTAAAAGAGCAAGCAAATTAATGCCTGCTGCCGAACTAGATCAAATCAACCAAGAAATACCAACCGATAATAACGTTGGTCGTAGTAACAGTAATGGTAGGGTTGTATCTATGTCTCATTTGGATTCACCATCAACATTAAAACAAGGAACTCCAAAATTAAAAGCAACACCATCAAAACAGCAGTCGAATTTAACAAAGCATAGACCAGCTTCGATTGCTGTTACTCCTGATTACGGAATGAGAACTAATGAGCGTTCTCCAATCCATACAACAATAATTAATGAGGTCAGTGATGACGATAAATTTGTTTCACCAAGAAAAGCACCAAAACCTCCATCTCATCCAAGTCCTGTCCAACCACCATCTGCCGCTAGTAAAAGATTTAGTTTAAGTCCAAATGTAAGCCAGATGCGTTACAAAAGCCCTAGTTCATCCGCATTCGATAAGCCTCATTCAACTATTTCAACTCCTAAAGTTGCAACGCCTAAAATTGCAACACCCAAAGTTGCGACTCCAAGAACTGATAAGTTCATGTTCCCTAATTCTACTACAACTTTAGGAAACAATGGCTTACACCAAACTTCTAGAAGTTCTTCACAATATGTAAAACATAAAAAGAGTATGTCTGGCGGGTCTTTCACTGATTTGTTCAACAGAGTTTCTCTTTTATCACCAAATGGATACGATGAGAGAAAATCGAATGCTGAAAGCACAGAAACACATGAAAGGGCTACAAGTATCTATAGTAACCATTCTCGTTCTGCGTCTGTGACCCATGTTAGACAATCATCTCAGAATATGACTGATATGAAAAAGCATAAACGTAATTCATCGATCCTATCATTTTTCTCCTCTAAAACAGATGACAAGCCTAATTCACCAATTAAATCTAACTTTTCAAGAAATGCTTCAAGAGACCATAGTAGGAACAGTTCATATGCCAATAATTATGCAACCCCATATAAACCTCAGGCATCCGAAGCTACATTACAGGACACCCAACCTGATACCTACTCCAAGGATGTATCGACACCAACTCCAATTAAGGCAATGTCACCAACTAAAGAAGATAAAAGGAGAAGTGTAAGTGCCAGAGATAGTGGTACAACCATTGATTTCAATAGTACTAGATTTGATTCATTGGATGATGATAGCCAGAAGAGATCAGTCAGCGAAGCATTGAAGGGTAAAACCATGCGTAAGATGTCAGGTAAGCCTATGACAAAACAAGATACAACTGCATTTGTTGAAGGTCTTAGATCTATTTCAGTAAAGGAAGCTATCCAAGATGCTGATTGTTCTGGTTGGATGAGCAAGAAAGGTGGTGGTGCGATGGGTGTTTGGAAAACAAGATATTTCACTTTACATGGCACAAGGCTATCTTATTTTGGAAATACTACCGATACAAGAGAGCGTGGTTTAATAGATATTACTGGCCACCGTGTAGTTCCAGCGAAAGAAGATGATAAACTAATATCTCTTTATGCAGCAAGTACTGGTAAAGGTAGATATTGTTTTAAATTGATACCACCGTTACCAGGTTCCAAGAAAGGTTTGACATTTACACAACCTAGAGTTCATTATTTCGCAGTCGAGAGCAAAGAGGAAATGCGTGAATGGATGGCTGCACTAATTAAAACTTCTATTGACATTGATACAAACGTTCCTGTTGTAAGTTCTTATTCTACACCGACAGTTTCTCTAAACAAAGCTCAAGAAATGCTTTCGCAGGCTAGAGAAGAAACTAGATTAAGAGAGGAAAATAAATTTTTAAATGAAGAAGATGAAGATCAGTTATTGTGGGAAGAGCAAAATGCCGCTATGAATAAGACCCCAATAGCTACATCTAAACGTGCTTCTAATATTATTACATCTAATAAACGTGATAGTAAGTTCTCTGTGAATCAAAATAGATTTAGCATTATGTCATATAACACCGGAGCGGATACGATGTTGGCGGATGAGAACACAATTGGCAATAATACGACAATGATCTCTAACAGCAATATTACAAGCCCAAACAAAAGGGCTTCGTTTGTGCCATCTACTATACTGACTCCAGCTCCACAAACTGTAGATGATGAGGTTAGTATTGCAGCAAGCAGTCAATATTCTAATTGAATCATTTAAAAAGCATGGAAGATATCTGATTATGATGTCCATTTTATTTTTCAGTATATATTCCTATATATGTGCATTTCCAGGTTGTAATTTTATATATAAACAAGTCATATAATAGACATTACCATAATACTCATAGTTATTTCTCTGACATCTATTCTTGAGCATGACACTTTTCTAAAGCTTCTATGATTAATTGGTTACCTTTTGGATCTAAGTTCATAGCAATTGTAAATTCTTTTACGGCATCTTTTTTTCTGCCTAATATTTGATACAATTGACCAAGTAAGAAGTGAACAGTTGCTTCATCCGGAGCCAATTTTGTTAATTCTTCAAAGTATTGCAATGCAACACTATATCTACCCATAGAATATAGAAGATGTGCCCTTTTAAAGTTTGCCAAAGATGACGATGGTTGTAACTCGCATGCCAACTCATAATAACTTAATGCCTTTTCTTGATACTGTAATTTTTCTAATGCAACACCACAGCAACAAATTAATATTACATTGATTGGATTAATAGATCTAGCTTTTTCGAAGTGAAGCAAAGCTTCGTCATACTGCCCCAATTTCATACAACTCATACCTAAACCGTAGTATGCATTATAATGTTGAGGATCACAAGCTAATGCCTTTCTATAACAATTCTTGGCAGTGTCAAAACTATCGTTTGAAGAATGCTCATGCCCTTGCAGAGTATATGCATATGCAAAATTTGGATCTACCTGCGTTGCTTTTTCAAATGCTTTGATTGCATCTTCGTGATCTTTCTGTAGTGATAGGAAATTACCCATGCAACACCAAGTTTGCGGAGCATTCGGTATATTCATGACTAGTTCATTTGCTAAAATGCTTAATTTAACTTTATCATGTAGATGCCATAATAAAGTTGAATAGATTTCCAAATCGCTAACCCTGGTAGGTTGTAATTTTCTTAGATTTGTGAAATAATGTAAAGAAACGTCATAATTAACTAGTTCAAAATGTAACTTACCCAGTTGTGCTTGACACCATGGCATGCTATCTTTTATATGATTTGGAACTAATGAGTTGATCAATCTAATTGCTTTATAAGAATCGAATGAAGATGAAGCCTTTAGTATTCTTGCAAATATATATAGCAGTTCCGAAAGTGATAAAATTTGTGGTTTTGTTATTGAAGAAGATTTTCTACGTAATGAAGAATCTTCCAAGTTATTGATACTATTAAAGTTATTATTATTTGTGTGATCGTTGAAATGAGTTCTTGGAGTTTTATAGGAAGAATTTTTCTCCATTAACTGTCTTCTTGCAGGAGGGGTAGTCAATAATTTACCTTTCCGATGAAGTGAAGATGAAGATATGCTGCTATTGCCTGTTGAAGGTAATGATTTGGAGGTTTGGTTCATTAATTGTGGAATTTGTTGAGATGGGAGAGGGGATTGTCTTGTTGACGAGTTTGTCACAGTTCCTGCTGCTATATTTGATTGACCTACTAGTGTACCTGCCCCTGATGTTGATACTGTTACATTTGTCTTATTTAAAATAGAATTTGATGGGATACTTTTTTTGTTGCTAGAACGTGCTGATTGTAGTAGACTTTGACTTTGAGATTCATTCAAATTAAATGCATTATTATTGTTATTATTGTTGTTGTTATTGTTATTTCCATTTGATGAAATTGTATTAGTCGAAGAAGAAGAAGCGTTTGAAGACGACGAAGAAGAAGAGCTTAAACCTGTTTGGAAATGAGAAGATGATTTAAAGGGAGTTGCAAAATTTTTTGTCACTGAATTAAATTTATTTCTTGAGAAGAAAGAATGTGATTGATTTTTTTTTGTCATTATAGAATATAATTTTTTCAAATCTATAGTTGCTCTCATTTTTGATAATTCAGTATAAGCTTCCCATAGATAAGGATTTTTATTTAGAGCATCTGAGAAGTATACAGCGCTTTCCTTTGATCTATCCAGTTTATTGCACAGTTTACCCAGTAGACAACTGACTGTAGCATAGTTTGGGAAATGTATTAAACTTGAGCTTGAAATCGATTTATCTCTAATGTTTGAAAGAGACTTTATAGCGTCATTTATATTAGACGACAGTTTCAAAGAACATAAACCGAATATGTAAGAAATACCTAAATGTAGATCTTTATAATCTTTCGAAATTTGCAAAGCAGTATGATATTTTTTGTTCAAATATAAAGAAAGAGAATAGAGATAAATCGATTCGATTCTGTGAATATTTGAATTTTCCAAAATGGAACATTCAGAGAACAAGAGTTCAGATAGAAACTCTGCCGTTTCAAAATTCAATTGACTTATGGACTGTTGTATGATGTCATGTATATTTATGATCGTATTGAGAGTGCTGTCAGTAGTCAATTCGTCGGCCAATGCATTTTTATGATTTGAGGTGGAATTAAACAACATGATAGAGAGAATGCTGGAGATGCAGGTTCTGTTTTAAAAAGAGAACAAAAGTAATAGTGAATATGATGTAACCCTATGGATAAGGGTTTTAAACTCTATAGTTGTTGGGTGTATATTTTCAGTTTCAGTTTCAGTTACCTTTAAAGCAGTGACTGCTGAGGGCTAGCCTTATATTTGCACTTTAAAGTTTGGGACTAAAAAACAAAAAATTGTTTAAGGAATGTCCAGGTTAGAGGGTAGCAGTAGAGTTAAAAACAGAATTACCCAGATATAGAGAAACAGAGATGTCAAGGAGAGAGTTGAACCGATTCTATTTCACTTACAAATGCAGATAAACGGTTTATCTCATCTCATTGCCAGTTGGGTTTGATTTGATATATTTGCTAAAACCGCCACAAACTATATATCTATTTACGAAACAAGATCAAGAAGAGACGGGAGGGAGCCGGTACAATGTGATATTATACTATTTCGTGGGATTTGGGGAGGCAGGGTAAGAAGACAAAGCATGTCATGTGATAGTCACATGATTGATGTTGATCATGTGACAAGAATGAGTTTCCAGTTTCAGTTCAGAACCCAAAAAAAGAAAAAAACACACAGACACACAGACACACAGACACACAGACCCACAAACGCTGCTAAATACGGAAACCAATGTGTACTAACCCTCTCTCTTTATCCATTTATCCAAAATTCAAATTAACGTGATACATAAAAGAAGCACCACAACCCCTAACCAGGACCAGGACCAGAGATACACAGCCCAGTTCTATATTCATCCCTTTATTCCATTTAATTTTATTTGGTTTGGGTGCTGCATCTTTTGCCGTTGTCCATGACATGTAGACTTACACGGACATATCTCCGTCCTCCACCCCCCTATGGCTGGCAAAGCGGACTTATATCCATACCAACCGACCTTTCCCAGAGGACGACGACTGCTGCTGCGATGTTTCCTTTATTTCCGTTGTTTCCCATTCCCAATTCCAATTCCATTCCCAGTTCCTATTCCTTTTCCCCTTTCTCTTTCTGTTTGTCCCCTTTTTTCTTGTTTTTTTCTCGCCCGATACGATTCAGCATTCAGTACGAGGCACAACGACGGCAGATTGCCATTTCGCTGTTGTTTCCGCATAGCCCAACAGAGCACAGCACAGCATACGGTATCATGTGCCGGCAACTCTTCAAAATATTTCGGATGCCTCCCCTCGTAGGGCGTGACCAGATCACGTTAGATCGGGATAATAAGAGTTTCCGTATCGGGTGATCGGTGGTGTGGTGCAGCTTTGTTATATATATATTATGTTTCTTTCGTGTCAACTTTTGAGTTTTTTGTTTTAACAAAAAATTGTTTACGCGTCGCAGGATATTTCGTTTTCTCTCGGTGTCCGTCTCTGGGATATCTGGGTGTGTATTCGTTCACGTGACAGAGTTGCCTGGCAATGCAAAATAAGACACAAGCTGTCCAGGTGATCACGTCCAACGGTGTTTACCCTTTTGGGTTAAGTGATGGGCGTTTGCCCCGATCAGGAAATTATTGAATTTTTTGAAGTTTCGAAGATTTCTCAGTTTAATTAAATTATCGAAACTAATAAAAATTAATTAATTCATTACAATACAATACCCATTATCGAACTTTTCTTACCTGAACTATCCCCATTCCATCCATTACTTTGATTTAAATACTAATCCCCCAATCCACAACCTACCTTCTCTTCCTGTCGCTTATTTATTTATTGGTATTATATTATATTATATTATATTATACTATCATATATATATCTGCTATAATACAAGTTAGAATAGTTATCAGATAGATCCTTTGGTTTAGTTACAATACCTGTCTCGCTTCGATCAAAGCCCACACTTTACAATTCAAGACGGATTAAATTATTGCTATCAACTCCACAACTGTATTATCCTATATCATCCTCATCCTGGGCTTAGCTATAAATTAAACATATTTTTATTCTTTCCATTATATTTATAACTTTGGTGTCATTTGCTAATTAACCTAATTTTTTTTCATTTTATTTTTTTTGTTTCACACACATATAACTGCTATACCAATTGCTTCCTATATTTTAACTAATTAACCAACCATTGTAATTGCTAGAAATCATATATCGCGATTTTTTTTTGTCAGTTCAGTTCTCTTCCCAATTCTTAAAAGTGAACAAATACATGCAATCATATTTATAATAATAAAATGGAATTCGGTACCGTGATCATGGATACAAACAAATTGTCAAAGGATAATTCAAACAGACAGAAAAAAATGAATTTGTTCATTCAATCATCTACAAATTTATCTTTCGACCCTTCAGCGTCAATCTCAAAAGAAGTAAATTTTATTCACTCTAACCAAGCAAACAATTGGAATCAGAAAAACATGATTCAACTCTCTTCTGCTAACACGAATATTAATGATAACTCATCTTTGCTACCTCAAAATACAGGACTGCCGGTAATTGAAATAGCTACATATGCAGAAACAGACGTCTATGAGTGCTATATCCGTGGTTCAGAATCAAGGATCGTAATGAGAAGGACAAGCAACGATTGGATTAACATTACTCAAATCTTTAAATTAGCATCTTTTACAAAGACTAAAAGAACGAAGGTTTTGGAAATTGAATCAAATAACATCCAACATGAAAAGGTTCAAGGTGGTTATGGTAGATTTCAAGGTACTTGGATACCGCTAAATGATGCTAAAAATCTAGTACAGAAATATAACATCGTTGACCCGGTCGTCACAACTATAATTAACTTCGTACTAGATCCAAATAACCCTCCTGTTAAAAGAAGTAAAAATAGTGTATTGAAAAGAAATTCCCCTGGTGTGAGGATAAATTCTCCTTCGTCCTATAATAAGACACCAAAAAAGAAAAATTCAACCTCATCATCAACTAGTTCACAATCTGTAGGTGTAAAGAAATCCAAGAAAATCAATGGATCAAATTCGCATATAAACCCAAGTCCTTTACAAAATATTGCATTTCAAACACCTCAACAATTGTCTTCTTCTCATTCAAATGGTATGAATACTATCCACGCTACTGATACAACCATAGAAACCTTATCAAATGGTGAAGGCAGAAACACTAGTACCAATAAAAATCCACCTTTGCATATGATAAATACTGATCAAACTCCGTTACCTAATGGATATTCAGCTACTCAAAAACCATTGCAATTTTTTTCTGTACCAACAAATGTTTCAAATACCCAGAACAATAATGGTGGCAATAATAACTCATTTTTAACATTGATACCAGAAAATGCACATCAATCTTCATTCAATGGGAATAATTCAGATATTATCGACGATAGAAATCATAATAATGGTAACGTAATCACAAATAGAGTAGTGAAAAAGAGGAAGAAAACTCAGATTTCAGAGTTTGCTGTCAGTCCAGATCAAGAGATTGTTCCAAAGGGAAATATTGTTAACACAACAAATATTCATGATAAAACCCAGAATGATTTCAAATTAATGAAACAAGAAATGATGTTAAAATATTCTGCACAAAAATACTCAAACCATTTAAGAGAAAAACAATCAAGTTCTGATTCATGGTCTTCTACTTCAACTAATGTCATTTCTTCTCAAGAAAACCAAACACCTGTATCATCTCGTTCAGCAACACCAAATGCTTTCCAATCTAATAGAAATATGGCTAAATTTACAATGCTATCGGCGGAAAAGTATAAGGACCTTATATTACAAACCTTATCATCAGAGGACTATTCTAATTCAAGTTCTCTACCGCCAGCTCTTTACCATCCACCTCCGTCATTAGACATCAACTTCGAAGTAGATGATCAAGGACATACTGCATTACATTGGGCCGTTGCCATGTCAAACATCCCATTGATTAAATTATTATTGGCATTGAATGCCGATGTACTCAAATGTAATAAAAGAGGTTTTAATTCCGTAACAAAATTAGTCTTCTATAACAACTGTTTCAAAGCTGGTAGTTTTCCTGAGATATTATCATTATTAAAAGTTTGTTTGATATCTGCAGACATGAACAACCGTCTACCATTACATTATTTAATTGAATTATCGGTAAACAACTCAAAAGACCCTACTGTTATTCATTACTATATGGATATGATTATTAAGATACTGGGAACTGAAGATTATTCTTTGCTTAAAATGTGCTTAAATTTCCAAGATAGTATGGGTAATACTGTTCTTCATTTGGCTGCTTTGAATATGAACATTGATATTTATAATACATTGCTTCAATTTGGTGCGTCTGCTGATATTGCAAATTTTAATAATGAAACACCTTCATTTATTCTGGCAAAATACAATCTATATTCGAGTCAAATATCTCGTACAAATATCACCACTAGTTTTGACAATGTTTTAGACTTACAAAACGACTTGCAGACAATGAGTTCTTCCAAGCCAAGTAAGGAATCTGGCGATGATTCATTTAAGCACCAATTGTTAGATCACCAACACTTAGGTATAAGTACACCATTGGTTACCAATGATAAGAAAGATGTTGAAAATGAAATGAACAATATTAGTACTATAATGGAAGATATTTCGACCATTGAGAACATGGTTTCATCAACTGTTATGGATAGTGCAGAACCATTGCATAAACAATTATTAAAACATTCACCGACATTATACAAGACAAAGCCAACTATAGATTCTACTAAACCTGTTTTAGAGAAACCTGTAACATTATTAGAAGCTCCATCGCCTATTTTACCTATTGGTAACAACGAATTGGAGGATATACCGGAATCGATCAAAATTGCATCGCAATTAGCAAAATTATCTGAGAAACTAACAGAAGAAATTAGGGTACAGATTGATGAAATGCAAACAGAAGTGGAAAAGACAAAACATAGCATAGACATTATCGATAAGCAAATTATCAAGACTAAATCCCAAAAGAAAGTGATATTCAACCAATTCAATAATGGTTCTCATAACATTAATTCTATGACAAATCTTGAGAATATTATAATGGCATTACAGAATGAAGTTGAAGAACAAAAGCATACATTATATATGAAATTGGAGAGAGCACAATCCAATAATTTAGTCAAGTTAATAAAGGAGGAGAATAAACATCGTCCAGATCTTGCTGCTGCTGAAAACGACAAATTGACAAGAACTGAGGAATACGAAGGACTGCTTGCAGAGTTGAATAAATTGAAGGCTAATAAGAAAAGACTAATCAGAGAGATAGTTGAAAAAACTGCAACTAACAAGACTTCTTCCAAGATTTTGAAGTATAAAAAGTTAAGTGGGATTGAAGTTGATGATATTGACTCCAAACTAGATGAAATTGAGCAAGATCTAAGACTTAGTATATGAGATGAGATCCATCTCGTCTCTGTTCTCTCTCCCACTTCTCCTCCATACATACAAACACTCACGAATCCCTCCTAACGGTGATTAAAAGCTACATTTCAACCGCTGTATGTATTGATCCCCTCCCCTCCACCTCTGACTATCGTAAATAAGTGACATAATGCCTGTATATCTATTCTATCCCATTGATATGCCAAATATACAAACACATAATCATATACATCTATATATGTATCTATGTATATAAGCACTAACATACTAATCATACATGATAACCTGATTACTATTAGACTGCACATACAAATCGGTATTATCCAGCTCTATCCTGCCGCCCAAACAGCATATGTTACCCGCATATTCAAAATCATTTATAATCATTATATACGTATTGTAAAATTTTCTTGAAAAAATTTTGAAAAGAAAAAATGCATGCGATGAGATGAGATGATGATTTGATTCTAATGATAACACATAACATATCCACAGATACAATCCTATTTCGAGAACTCTATTGATATCTTAATTGGATATACTTGATTAATTTCTATTGATTTAAATCTTGGGAACCTCCTTATATATATACATATATAACACATTCAAAATAGGTGTCTCTGATCGTTCAGTAACTTTGGTATCCACTATCAATTTTTTTTTATTGCGAGTATTCATTGATAAAGAAAAAGATTTTACATAGCCTTATTCTTTTTTTTCATTATTGTTCGGTGGTAGTGTCATATCATTGCTATAACTTTTGTTTTCATTCTACCTATTTATTTCTACTTTTTGAAGTTGTGTAATTCATTTTAAAATTGTACAATTTTTCCAGATACACTTCTTTTTTTAATTTTTGAAGTTTAAGTTTTAGTTCTGGAATTTAGTTATTATCTAAAAATATAATAGTACATCAATCATGGACGAACAATTTTTAACTCAATTAGGTCAAACTTTAAGTGCGATTGTTCAACCAGATTCCGCTGGTTTAAAAGAAGCTACAAAGACTTTGCAATCCCAGTTCTACACCCAACCAAACACAGTTCCAGCTTTAATTCATATCTTACAAAACAGTAATGACGATGCTTTGAAACAATTGGCTGGTGTTGAAGCTAGAAAATTAGTTCCTAAATATTGGAAATCATTGGATGATTCTATCAAACAACAAATGAAATCATCTTTATTACAAACTGCTTTCAGTGAACCAAAGGAAATTATTCGTCACTCCAATGCTCGTGTAATTGCTGCTATTGGTACTGAAGAATTAGAAGCTAACCAATGGCCAGATTTAGTTCCAAATTTAATCCAAGCCGCTTCCGGTGATGATTCTCAAACTAGACAAACTTCTATCTTTATTTTATTATCTTTGTTAGAAGCTTATACCCCATCTTTGACTGCTTTCATCGACGATTTCTTAACTTTGTTTGGTCAAACTATTAACGATACCACCTCTCTAGAAACTAGATCTTTGTCTGCTCAAGCTTTGAACCATGTTTCTGGTTTGATTGAAGAACAAGAAGCTATCAACCCACAACATGCAGCCAAGTTCGCTTCTTTAATTCCATCCGTTGTTAACATTTTGGATGTTGTTATCAAGGCTGAAGATACTAATAATGCTAAATTGATTTTCAACTGTTTGAATGATTTCTTATTATTAGATTCCCAACTAACAGGTAACACCATCGTTGATTTAATCAAATTAGCTATCCAAATTGCTGTTAACAGCGAAGTTGATGAAGATATCAGAGTTTTCTCTATTCAATTCATCATTTCTGCCTTATCTTACAGAAAGTCAAAGGTTTCCCAAGGTAAATTAGGTCCAGAAATTACAGTCGCCGCTTTGAAGGTCGCCTCTGAAGAAGTTGATGTAGATGAAGAATTGAACAACGAAGATGAAGCTGGTGAAAATGAAGAAAATACCCCATCCTTAACTGCTATTAGATTATTAGCTTTTGCCTCCTCTGAATTACCACCATCACAAGTTGCTTCTGTTATTATTGAACATTTGCCAACTATGTTGCAATCTTCTAACCCATTCGAAAGAAGAGCTATCTTGTTAGCTGTCTCAGTTGCTGTTACTGGTTCTCCAGATTACATCTTGTCTCAATTCGACAAAATTATTCCAGCAACTATTGCTGGTTTGAAGGATTCTGAACCAGTTGTCAAGTTAGCTGCTTTGAAGTGTGTCCACCAATTGACTACCGATTTGCAAGATGAAGTTGCCAAGTTCCACGAAGATTACTTACCATTAATCATTGATATTATCGACACTGCTAAGCATGTTGTTATCTACAACTATGCCACTATGGCTTTAGATGGTTTGTTGGAATTCATTGCTTACGAAGCCATTGCTAAATACTTAGAACCATTAATGAACAAATTATTCTACATGTTAGAAAGCAACAACTCTTCTAAATTGAGATGTGCTGTTGTTTCTGCAATTGGTTCTGCTGCCTTCGCTGCTGGTTCTGCATTCGTTCCATACTTCAAGAACAGTGTACAATATTTGGAACAATTTATTCAAAACTGTTCTCAAATTGAAGGTATGAGTGAAGACGACATTGAATTAAGAGCTATTACTTTTGAAAACATCTCTACTATGGCCAGAGCTGTTAGATCTGAAGCTTTCTCTGAATTCGCTGAACCATTAGTCAACTCTGCTTACGAAGCCATTAAGACTGACTCTGCTAGATTGAGAGAATCTGGTTATGCTTTTATTGCTAACTTAGCTAAAGTTTACGGTGAAAACTTTGCTCCATTCTTGGAAACTATCTTGCCAGAAATTTTCAAGACTTTAGAATTGGACGAATATCAATTTAACTTCGATGGTGATGCTGAAGATTTGGCTGCTTTCGCCGAATCAGCTAATGAAGAAGATCTTCAAAGTAAATTCACCGTCAACACTGGTATTTCTTACGAAAAGGAAGTTGCTGCCGCTGCTTTGTCTGAATTGGCATTGGGTACTAAGCAACACTTCTTACCATACGTTGAACAATCCCTAAAGGTCTTAAGCGAACAAGTTGAAGAATCTTATGGTTTAAGGGAAACTGCTTTGAGTACTATGTGGAACATTGTTAAAGCTGTCTTGTTGGCTTCTAAGATTGCTCCAGAATCATATCCAAAGGGTATTCCAACTGGATCTTATGTTGACGCCTCTGTATTAGCTGTTATTCAAAACGCAAGAGAAATCTCTATCAACAACTTGAATGATGAATTCGAAACCTCTATGGTCATTACTGTTATGGAAGATTTTGCTAACATGATTAAACAATTCGGTAGTATTATCATTATGGATAACGGTGACTCTACTATGTTGGAAACATTATGTGTTCAAGTCGTTAGCGTTATCAAGGGTACTCACACTTGTCAAACCATTGACATCGAAGAAGATGTTCCAAAGGATGAAGAATTGGATGCCTCTGAAACAGAAGCTACGCTATTGGATGTTGCTTTGGAAGTTTTAGTTAGTTTGTCCCACGCTTTGTCTGCTGACTTCGTTAAGATCTTTGAAAGCATCAAACCAGTCCTATTTGCATTATTCGAATCTAAATCTAAGAACAAAAGATCTTCTGCTGTTGGTGCCACTTCCGAAATTGTCTTAGGTATGAAGGAAGCTAACCCATACATTCAAGAAATGATGGAAGCTTTGATCATCAGATTGACTACTGATAAATCTTTGGAAGTTAGAGGTAACGCTGCCTATGGTGTTGGTCTATTGTGTCAATATGCCCCATTCGATGTTTCTGCTATCTTTGAACCAGTTTTGAAGGCTATGTACCAATTATTAAGTGCTGCTGATCAAAAATCTTTGACTGCTGAAGATGACGAAGCTACTAGAGAAATTCTTGACAGAGCCTTTGCTAATGCATGTGGCTGTGTTAGTAGAATGATCTTGAAAAACCAAGCTTTGATCCCATTAGAACAAACAATTCCAGCCTTGTTGGCTCACTTACCATTGAATACTGGTTACGAAGAATATGAGCCAATCTTCCAAGTTATCATGAAGCTATACCAAGATAACAATGCCACCATCACTGCTCAAACTCCAAAGGTTGTTGAATTCTTAGCTGCCGTCTTCACTAAGGATAACGAAAGAATCAAGCTAGAACAAGAATCTACTTTGGGTAGAGAAGAAAACATGGAAAGATTGAAACAATTCCAAACCGAAGAAATGAGACAAAAGGTTGTCGAATTGTTGAAATATATCAACAGTAACTTTAACGGTATCGTTGCTCAAAATCAAGTTTTAGCACCTGTCATTGCTTAAACAAGTATTTTAAACCAAGGGAAATAACAAAAAAAATGAAAGGAATGTTCATATCATCATTTTAATAATTGTATTTTAATTTTAAAGGATTCTCTACAATTACAACAAGCATTTGTGTCTGTTTTTTATTTTCAACCAGTAAGAACAGTTTATCCTATTTATCTTAATTTAGATTTTATATTACTTTATATTTCATGATAAAATAAATATATCAATATCACATTTAAAAAATTGCAGGATTTTAATCCATACAGTAATAGATGTTCCAAAAGTTTAAATGGTATTATTTCAAAACCTGATCTTCGTTGGATATTGGATTTAATTAGAACAAAATAGGTGACATTATACAATATTCGTATTATTATCATTAAATACGTGTTGAAACTTTAAGATGTTTTACCGCTCTTCAAAAGGCCATTGAAATTTAAAAGTTGTTTAAAATATCTATAAAGCCTAGTAATGATGAATAATAAATAGAGAAGAAAGACAATTAATAAGGTAGTAGAGTACCCTAAAGCTTGATATTATATACTAAGGGATTGGTACATTATTCTGAGATTTTCATTGATATCATTGATCGATTTTTTTGTTGAGAAAAGCTATATTTAGGAACCCCCCTCTTCTTCGATTACATCATTATAATCAAATGTCATTTTATGGTTCTGGAAGTAATACATCATCCACAGGTTCGACTATTGCTACGACTAAAGATATGGAGAATGATATAGTAGTAAACAATGCTGCTGAGGACTCAATTTCTGATATCGCATTTTCTCCTCAGAGTGATTTTTTATTCAGTGTCAGTTCATGGGATAATAAAGTTAGAATATGGGATATTCAAGGAGGTGTAGCTCAAGGAAGGGCTCAATTCGAGCATGCCAAGCCAGTCTTATGTACAAGATGGTCACTTGATGGTTCCAAAGTTGCTTCAGGAGGTTGTGATAATATAGTTAATATGTATGATGTTAATAGTGGGCAAAGTCAACAAATTGGAACTCATTCTTCAGCAATTAAAAGTTTAAGATTTGTACAATGTGGTCCAAGTAATCAAGAGTGTTTAGTGACAGGTTCATGGGATAAAACTATCAAATACTGGGATTTAAGACAACCGCAGCCAATTACTACACTCGCTTTACCGGACAGAGTATATTCGATGGATAGCAAAGGTAAATTATTAGTAGTTGGGACAGCTGATAGAAATATTTGTATTATTGATTTAAATAATCCTGGGAATATTTTCAAGTCCACACTTTCACCATTGAAATGGCAAACAAGATCAATTGCCTGTTTTAATGAAGGTGATAGTTTTGCAATTGGTTCTATTGAAGGACGTTGTGCAATTAGGTTTGTTGACGATATGCAACAAAAAAAATTAGGATTCTCATTCAAATGCCATAGACAAAATCAAGGCAATACGCCATCATCAAACGCATTGGTGTACCCTGTGAATAGTATTGCTGTTCATCCTATTTATGGCACCTTTGTCACTGCGGGGAGTGATGGCTGTTTTAATTTCTGGGACAGAAACAACAGACACAGATTAAAAGCATTCCCAAAACAAAATTACACAATCCCAGTTGTCTCATTTAATAGGCAAGGTACCGTTCTGGCTTACGCTTTAAGTTATGACTGGTTCCAAGGACACACAGGAAATAGGCAAGATTATCCTAATGTAATTATATTGCATCCAACATCAGATTCTGAAGTCCTTGAGAAGAGAAAATAGGTGAATTCTAATACATTACCTGTCTTCTAACCTATAAGATATACCCATCTATACCATCCACCATTCATTTATTTGTTATTATCAATAGTCATCGATCACGGGCCAAACAAAAATTTTTCATCGAGATCTCATCGATTTTTTTTATAGTGAAAAAAAAATTGTCCAAAGGTTTAAATATAGCCAAGAGTTGGAACTTTAAGGTTTAAAGATTACTATTGCTTGCCAAAAGTCAAAAGTAAGAGCAATACGGCGACTCTTTTTAGGTGTTCTCTAATATTTGGTTATTTTTTAAGTCTGGAGTAGACTTCTGGAGGAAATTCAAGTATAAGAAGAGGTTGATCTAAGGAATCTTTTTGAGGTCAAAGGAAGGTTCTTGTAATAGAAGAACGAGGCATAAGGATTTATTTTACTAGTCCTAATTGTGATTTTAGATTGAATTTTATCAACTGAACTTATTTGATTTCAGGCTGTGGTTTTGAATTTTTTTTTTTATCAGTCCCGGGTATTGGTTTGTTTTATTTTATTTATTTTTTTATTATCAATAATATCATTTTGATAGTTATTGGATTGGATTATATTTTGGGTAGGTTGTATTGTACTGGCATTTGTTTTATTTGGCTTTCGATTTGTTGATATTATTATTCATTTTTGCTTTTGATTACTTTGATCATGCCAGGTAAAATTGTGAGCGTTCCATTTCTTTCTCAAATTGAGGATATGGACAGTTATATCAACCAGTATCAAATTTTAAAGAGCATGTCTCCACCTAACATGACTTCTCATCAACAGCAACATCAGCATCAGCATCAGCATCAAGCTAGGTATAATAACATTCGAGTTAATGCATATAAGATATCTGGAGGTAATAATTACAAAAATTACAATAATGGTAACAGTGGAAACAGTAATTACGATAACATTATGAATGGTAACATTATGGGAATGATGGGTATGAATAAAAGATCTATTCAAAATAAGTACAATAATGCAAGTAATGACAATTTGAATAACAACCACAGTAATGGTAATAATAACAATAATAATAATAATCATAGTCATAATGATGGCAATGGTAATAATAATCATAAAGATGATAACGGTGTGGGTAACTTTAGAAAGAGAAACTATAATCAACAGGGTTATAATAGATACAATAACCCAAACATTAAATATTATGGTGCTAGTGATTCTAATGATAGCAATAATAATAGTAATGAGAATTCTAATAATAGAAATCATTCTTCGCCATATTCCCAGAATAATATGATGGCTTCTCATTTGAAGCAAACATATTCTTCAATGTATTATAATTCAAACAACAGTGGAAGTAATAGTTCACTGTCTCAATATAACTCTTCGTTATATCAAAATGATAATTCTCAATTACAATCATCCTTAAAGGTAAACACAGGAATGATGAACTCCTCAATGACGAACTCGTCAATTCCATCAAGTTTTAATAGTAGTAATTTTGATTACATATATCCTGGCAATTCTAGTGAAATAGGTTCTCAGTATCATTCACCAATGGTCAACAGTTTACAATTTCCTAGTTATTTGGGGAGCTCGATTTTACCAGGAAGTTCAGTTTCCACACCGGTAGGTACAACACCGTTAGCACCTTCAACTAGTGCTGATTTGGTTAATGGACTTTCTTCTATATCCTTGGGTACTACTAATAATAGCACAAGCTCTTTGGCTTTTGCTTCAAATTCGCCAATGAATATTTCACCATCTAATTCTGCATCAGGATCAACTTCTACCAATGCTAATGTTAATTCAGCTGCTATGGGCAATGATAATATTTCAGGTAATTTAAATTTTATTAATGACAGCTCATCTACCTCATTTGGTGGTTCTAATACATTGTTGATGGGCGAGTCTTCATTTGGTTGGGGTTCAAATCATGCAAATGTTACCTCATCCACCTCTGGTGGATCTTTCGGTATCTGGAGTAATGATATGAGTGTTTGGAGCTAATTAATATCTTTCAAAACTCGGTTTTGTTTTCCTTATATTTTTTTTCTGTTAATAAAATGGTATGCGGTTAATACTATTTTATAATTATAGGTATTAGGTCATTGCATAAAAGGTTTAAAAGGAATTGTTCTGATGAGATGAGTTGATAGTCATTGACATAAAATTCCAGGAGATATGTTATAAATTATGCATTTTTTTACAATATTATTTTTCCCTTTTGTATATATATCCTTTGGATACAGCATCACAATATATTATATAATGTTCATTATGTATGTATCGTTGTTAGTTACGCTAAAAGTATAGGTTAATGTTGAGATATGGGATCTTAATCGCACAAATCATTAAGTTTGAGGATTTGTTCTTCAAAATTAATTTTGAATCAAGATTCTTTTTTTTATTAAAATGGTATAAAGTAAAAAACTTTTCGTAAAACTAAATATTATTTTTAATCTAATTTAGTTTAACCTATTTTTTAAAATATAGATTAGCAGGAAGTTGAAAAGATATCATTTATTTAACTTTGGCAATACCAACCCTTCCAAAGTACTTACTTTTTTCTCCAGAAAGCAGGATTTAACTCTTTTCTTATGTGCCACAGACTCACCTTCATCACCGTCCTCATTGGCATCCATGAAAAGAATGTCTGAGTTTCTTGATGAAGAAGAAGTATTCATATTATTAATTACCTCATCTGCTTTTATTGGTATTTCATCGAATATTTCTTTTTTATTTCTTCTTGAAAGAAGACTAGGTGGAATCTTCTTCTTAAAAACATATTTATTCATGTCATCAGTCTTGGTCGTTTCCATAATACTTTCCATATCTATTGACACATTTTCCAACTCAGTCTCCAAATCCATAGCTTTCTTATTGGGCTTTGGATCGAGTTTGATTTCTCTAATGAACAATTGCTCAATTGGGAAGTCTTCTGATCCTACTGGGACTGCATCGTAAAGGGTATTGCATTTTGGCCACATCATATCAAGCTTATTATAAACGTATTGCTGATAACATGAATTCCTTAAATTTATTGTTCCATCAATTGTCATCTCCATATCAAAGAGGAACCAAGTTCTCATGGAGTCCAGATATGGATACTTCATCTGATCACATATTCCGTGTTGACATTGGAAAGCTGACTCTTCCAGCGATAAGATTGTACTTTGCAGTTCTCGAAGTTTTATCCTACTCAATGAATCACCATTGTGACCTTTTTCCTTGAGTTGTGTATTATTTTCAATCTTCTGAGATGGAACTTGTTGTTGATTTTGTTCAACGATTGATCCTAGATTGAACTCTGAATTTAAATGGACAGGATTGCATTTTTGATTCTCAAGATTATTTACATTGGACAACCTTCTCCGCTGTCTCTCATTACCAAATTTTATAAGTAAATCTAAATTAGTATTCTTAGTAGGTTCCAAGATCACATTAGAGTCTCTTATAGGGTCATCGAAAATAGTTCCTTTATTCTTCAAAACTCTTTGTCTATTACGAGGCTGATTCGTAGAATTGACATGGAGATTTGTAACCACATTAGTATTTTTGCTTGACAATGGGAGTTTTTTCTTCTGAATCTTATTAATTTTATTATCCATGTTGCGGTTGCTGTTGAGTTAGAAGTTGGTAAACTAAGATCGATATTAAAGACAAAAAATAATCACAGAACAAACAGGTAGAAGAAGTTGCTAAATTAAAAATATTTAATCCACCTTGTATTGAATGTCATTTGTGTCAAATAAGAACCTCTAACTGCCTTCAAAGGAAGAACTTCTTTAATAACTGTCACCTTCGTTATAATTTGTGTCATTTTTATATAGTGACCTCACCAACTGGCAGATGCTGTCACTTTATCTTATGAAGACGATTAGGTAAGATAGAATAGGTCTAAATCATATCAAATTATACAAGGAAGATATAGGGAATTGGGTTGAACGAAATGTTTAAGAAGAAGGATATTCGAATTTATAACTATCATAATGTAGCAATATATGTTTGTAGTAAAATTGCTTCTTGTTGAATTAATAAAAAACAAATATTAAATTTAGACATAAGATAGAAATAAAACTATGTTTTGCATTTCAAAAGTATAAGTAAATACTATAATATGAATAAATCCCAAGGTTCTAGATGTAGATTCTTTCTTTTGATCCATCCATTCTCTTGTAAGAAAACAACTTAGATATATGATTTGAAGTGAGAATGATGATGGTGATGACGATTGGCTTCGGGAATAGTTGGAGGGTTGAGAGAGTGTCCCTCTAGATATAGCAATAGTGACAGGATAATTGTAGAAAGATTTGTAATGATCTCAAATACACCACCACCAACGAAAGTAAAAAGAAATAAGTAATTTGAGGTCAACATTTAGATGAATGTACGTTATTTATTTTACCTTTCATCAGATAAACATATCTATATCTACATCGATATATATATATATATATAAATATAAACATATGTAGATGACGAAGAAACGAAGAATCAATAATATGAATACAGAAACATAACGCATATAAAATAAAAAAAATATAATAAATTACCATCTACCTCATTATCGTATGACTAAATTATCGTGTTATGCAATAAAAAATTAAATATTAGAATTAAAGAAATAAATTCTTGATTAAGCAATCACTTATAAAGAACCAAAAGTGTTTTCACCAGAGTAAGTGACATACAAAAATCCATCCTTGTCCTTATGCTCTTGGTAAACGGCAGACATCAAAGCTGCAGTTGGTGGTAAAGTATCATTAACAAAAATGAAAATAGCCTTTTCAGGAGGCAACATAATTCTTTTTCTAATAACGTAGACAAATTGACCTACAGTCAAATCAGATGGAACTAGATATTTACGCTTATCTATTTCAGGAATATCAGATTTTTCTGCTTTTTCACAAATAACTGGAATCCTATTTTGAAACTTCTCTGTAATCCTTTCGGATTCAGTCTTTCTCTTTTCAAAAGGATATTCTGATTTAAAACTTGATTTCATTGTATATATAACTCTAATTTTTTTATTTTTTTGACGTCCAGTAATTCACAACCAAATCAAATCAAATACCCACAAAATTTTTAATCAATATAAAACAAACTACGTCTAGTAAATTAAAGCCTGAGTAAAACTGGCTCTCTATAACTGTAATTTTTCCTTAAAATAAAATAAATCAAAAAAATTTCCTTCCTATAAAGAACAACAGTATCTAAACAATCAATACCTCTTGATCTGAAACTAAAATATCGTTGATCCAACTACCACAGATAGTACTAAAAATATTCCTAAAATACTTCACCTCATCTGAGATGTTAATTAGGAAATATAAAAACTTATTTTAAATTTTTTAATGGCTCTTTTTATATCAAACCATTTCAAACAAAAATTCATCGCAAATCCCCTATTAGAGAATAAACGAGTAATTATCCGCAGTACGATTGTCCTTCTCCCTTTACCGCAATACAAAAGTCGGAGATGGTCACGTGAAAGGAGTTCGTATTTGTTTACCCTTTTGGGACATATTGTGTTGTCCGGGTAAAAATACACAAATCAATAAAAATGTATCACGTGATCGATAAGTCTTTTAAAAGATATTCTAATTCTTGTTCCCAATGTCCTTGACTTTGTAGAAGTTCTATCAATTCATCATCGGATTCATCTTCTTTGGATTCTCTTTCTATATCTTCCAAGAATGTTTCAGAAACTACGTTTTCTTGGGCAATCTGTTTCAACTGTTCGAGTTCATGAGACCTTTCACTTTCCATGATGAACTTCTCCATTGATTCAATCCCACCACGATTGCTGACTTGTCTTCTCTCTCTTATCTTGTTCCTTCTCGAGTCCTGTTTCAATTGATTTTGAGACTTTTGCATTCCCTGTCTGACTCCTCCATGAGTTGGCGAACTCATCGAAAGCTTCCTGTTCATTTGACGCAGAGATACCTTCCTACTAGAGAGAATATCGTCAACAAGGGAACTGTCCTGTTCAGCAACAGAATCGTAAATACTGTCAATGTCATCATCGTTACGTGTGTTTCCCTTCCTTGGCGTCAGATAGAAGCGATGACTATTTGGTGAACTTAATTCACTACTAGCTTCCCGTTCCTGATCATTCAACCTGAAAGGTGACGAATCAATATTGTTCATCAACTTTGAATTCAGGTCCTTATCCATATCTGCATGTACCATCGAAACCACAACTTCTTACAATATGAATAGTCTTTCATCAACTACTATCTCCTTTTAAACCTTTTTTTTTACATTACGTGTTTAATCTATTAAGGAAGATTTAAACTTTATTTCTTTAAGAACTTCAAGAAAGGTTAGCCGATGGGAAATTTTAAGAAAAATGTAGGAAAATTGATAAAATGATATAATTTGTAAGAATTGCGACCCTTTAATCAATTACAAAGAAAATTTCCTTGAATTTAGTTTGCATTTCTCCTATTGTATCACTTTTCAAGGGCTTCAATTGGAGCTGCTTCTGATTTTATAATAATATATTTTAAATTTTTTTTATTATAACGTAGGGTAGATAAAAGCAATTATACAATACAAAAAAATATCTATAATCTGAAAATCTTCAACTTGAAGACGGTGTCATTGATGGTTTGTTCTTCGTCAGCGATGGCATCACCTCTGCTACCAGCATCTTTACAAATATCGGATCTACATGTCTTAGTCAACATTTCATTATGTTCTTTAACAATATCTTCGAAATCGATAGTGTCCTTAACCAATTCATATTGAACCATAACATCATCAGTAGCTTCCAAACCACATTTCTTTCTCAACTTTTGGATTCTGTTGACTAATTCTCTGGCTAAACCTTCAGTCTTTAATTCTGGGTATATCTTGGTGTCCAAAATGATCAAAACTTCTTGATCAGTTCTAGCTTCTTGACCTTCTTGAACTTGAGATTCTGGTAAACCTCTGATGGCGTTTAAGTCACCCTTAACCAATTCAATACCAGCAACTTCAATCTTACCGGTGGTCAAATATTCCCGTACTTCGTCAGAAGTAACCTTTGGCAAGGCATCCTTAACCTTCTTGGCGTCCTTCTTCAACTTCTTACCCAAAACTGGCCAGTCTGCAACAGCTTTGTATTCGACACCGTATTTTTCTTCATCACTAGTAATAATGACGTCACGAACATTCAATTCTTCAATGATGTAGTTTTTCAAATTTTCAACATCCTTCAAATATTTTTCATCACCATGCAAGATAACCAAACTCTTTAATGGAGTCTTCAAAGAAATGGTCTTCTTTTCACGAATGTTTCTACCTAATTCAATGACAGATTGCATTCTTGAGACAGCCTTTTCAATGCCTTCGTCAAACAAATCTTCGTTAACAACTGGGTATGATAAGAAGTGAACAGATCTAGAATCAGTACCGAACTCAGACAAGACAGATTCTGGGATGAATTCCTTCAATCTCATGTAGATACTATCGGACAAGAATGGTGTGAATGGTGCCATAGCACGAACGAAAGTGAATAAAGCATCAAATAAGGAGTTCAAAGCCTTCAAACAATCTTCAACACCATTTTCACCCTTCAAACGACGACGGTTAAATCTAATGTACCAGTTGGTCAATTCGTCAATAAAGTTCAACAATCTTGGAACAACAGTGTATAATTTGTATTCAGCCATTTCTTGGTGAATGAATTGAACCAATGATTGCATTGAAGCCAAAATCCATTTATCCATGACATTGTCACTCTTGACAGTTGGATCATATTTGAAGTCAATATCAGAGTTTTTCTTTAGCAAGGCAATTTGACCTTCCAAAAACTTGTAGGAGTTCCACCATGGTAATAGAACCTTGGAAACGACTTCTTTAACACCTTCTTCCTTAAACTTCAAACTTTCAGCCTTCAAAACTGGAGAATTGATTAAGTACAATCTTAAAGCATCTGCACCATATTTGTTCAAGACAATGTTTGGATCTGGATAGTTCTTCAAGGATTTAGACATCTTTCTACCATCAGCAGCCAAGACAATACCAGAAACAATAACGTTTTTGTATGGAACTGTACCGAATAAGTGAGTACCCAAGACACTTAAAGTATAGAACCAACCTCTAGTTTGATCCAAACCTTCAGAAATGAAGTTAGCTGGAACTCTTTGAGAGAATTTTTCGGTATTTTCAAATGGATAATGTTGAGATGCGTAAGGCATAGAACCAGATTCAAACCAACAATCGAAAACTTCTTCAATTCTCTTCAATTCACCCTTACCTTGCTTAGATGGGATAGTGATCTTGTCAATAGTATCACGATGCAAGTCGGTAATACCAGTGACACCGGATAATTCTTCTAATTCTTGAATAGAACCGATACAGACAATTTCTTGGAAATCATCAGAAACCCATAATGGGATTGGAGTACCCCAGTATCTATTTCTTGAGACGTTCCAGTCACGGGCATTGGCAATCCAGTTAGCGAATCTTTTTTCCTTAATAGTGTTTGGAACCCAATGAGAGTTTAGGACAGAGTCCAACATCTTTGGAACGATATCCTTAACACGAACGAACCAAGCTGGAACACTACGGTACAACAACGGGGTGTCAGATCTCCAACAGAATGGGTAAGAGTGGCGAATTTGAGTTGCTAACAATAAGTTACCTCTAGCAGTCAAGTTCTTGATAATCTCTTTATCAGCATCCTTGACATACATGCCCTTGAAGTCAGTGATGTTATCGGTGAAACAACCGTTATCATCGACTGGGTTTGGGGACATAGTATCCTCTGAGATGACACCGTTTTTCAAACAAGCGTTGTAATCCTCTTCACCAAAGGCTGGAGCGTTGTGGACAATACCAGTACCAGAATCGTTACTGACATAGCTGTCACCAATAACTCTGAAGGCAGTTTCCTTGAATTCTTCGTAAAAGTATGGGAATAAAGGTTCGTATTTCAAACCTATTAATTCGGAACCCTTGATCTTTTCAACGATCTTGAATTTTTCAGCGGCTGGCTTCTTGTATAAAGCTTTGATCAAACTTTCTAATAAGATGTAGTAACAATCTTTCTTTTCGTCGTGAATTTTAACATATTCAAATTCTGGGTTAACACATAAAGCCATGTTTGAAGGTAATGTCCATGGGGTAGTAGTCCAGGCAACCAATTGAGTTTTTTCTTGACCGATAACATTAAAACCGATAGTGACAGCTGGATCATTAACATCCTTATAGTTTTGTTGAGCTTCGAAATTACTTAATGGTGTGGTTAAACCAGTAGAATATGGCATAACTCTGAAACCACGGTAAACTTGATCTTTGTCGTGTAATTGCTTGAAAGCCCACCAAACTGATTCCATGAAAGATGGATACATAGTCTTATAATCATTATCGAAATCAATCCAACGACCTAAACGACCAATGGTATTTCTCCATTCTTCGGCATAAGTCATAACAATGGCTTTACATTCTCTGTTATAGTTATCAATACCATATTTAAAGACATCTTCCTTACAAGTGATACCTAATTTCTTGTCAATGATATGTTCAATTGGCAAACCATGAGTATCCCAACCAAATCTTCTTTCAACGTGATGGCCAGTCATGGTAGCATATCTTGGAACAATATCTTTGATGGTGGATGCTAAAATATGACCATAGTGGGGAGTACCAGTAGCAAATGGAGGACCATCAAAAAAGGAAAATTCTGGCTTGTCCTTAGTCAACTCTAAAGAGACATGGAAAGCGTCAATATCATTCCAAAAGGAAAGAACCTTCTCTTCTTCCTTTGGAAATGAAAAATGATTACTATTCTCTGACATCTTCGTTTTTCTCTTCTTCTCCTCTATAGCTTTCTTCTCTTAACTAAAAGAAAAAAAGTATAAAAAATCTAGTCGACCTCTTAAACTTCAATTACAAAAACCAAATATTCAATAAGATATATCAGTGCAAACCATTAGATCAAATTTAACCTTGCAATTATATCACAAGTTTTATTCGATGACTCTAAGATTTAATTAGTTTCGAAAGTGAAAAATTTTGCTTATTATGCAAAAAAAAATTTCATCATCTATAACGTTTTTGATATTTAAAGATCGAAAGGTTTAAAGGTTTTAAGGTAACCTATCAATAGTGGTAATTAGTCATTGTAATGGAAGGAGGTGGTGGTGGATATGATAGGAGTATTTGATTTGTAATCTAATCTCATATACTGAGATTCAAGTTAAATTCTTTGAATTTGAATTTGAAAGGTTCAAAATGGTTTAAAATTGAAAAATTTAGTAGATACTATATAGGAAGAGAGCCAAAAAGTTGAGGAATATACTTCTTGATTTAATTTGTAAATTATTTTGAAGTTGAAGAATTTAATTATTAGCTTTAATACAGAGTCTAATTTATTTATTTATTTATAGATAAAAATATTAAAATGTAGGTTATGTATTTGTTAAAGAATAGGGTAAAAAGAAAGGTATGTATAGATAAATATTAGATCAAAAGAGAGACGTAACAGGCATTAAAAGGGAGGGCATTGAATTAATTTTAATGGTTTGGATCAAAACTAATCAACTTCTTCAACAGTTGGTCCTGATTCTTCAGCTGGTGGGGCTCCACCTGGAGCTCCACCTGGCATACCACCTGGGGCACCGCCAGCAGCACCGTAGAATTTAGTCATAATTGGATTGACTTTACTTTCCAATTCCTTTTGTCTATCTTTATATTCTTCAGTTGAGGCAGCTTGAGAGGCGTCTAACCAATCAATAGTTTCTTGTGCTGCAGTTTCAACAGCTTTGGCATCTTCTTCGCCAACTTTTTCTTTGAAAGATGCTTCATTAACTGTATTCTTCAAACTGAAGGAATAAGATTCTAATTGATTCTTTGCTTGCACACGTTCGGCTTCCTTTTCATCTTCAGCTTTGAACTTTTCGGCTTCTGATACCATTCTATCGATATCTTCTTTTGATAATCTACCTTTATCATTGGTAATGGTGATCTTATTAGATTTACCAGTACCTTTTTCGACTGCTGAAACGTTCAAAATACCATTAGCATCGATATCAAAGGTAACCTCGATTTGAGGAACACCTCTTGGGGCCGGCGGGATGCCTGCTAATTCAAACTTACCTAATAAGTTGTTATCCTTGGTTCTGGTTCTTTCACCTTCAAAGACTTGAATCAAAACACCTGGTTGATTATCAGCATAGGTAGAGAAAGTCTCTGATTTCTTAGTTGGAATAGTGGAGTTTCTTGGAATCAACTTGGTCATGATACCACCTGCTGTTTCAATACCCAAGGATAATGGAGCAACATCTAGTAACAATAAGTCTTGAGTTTTGGAAGAAGTGTCACCGGTCAAGATAGCGGCTTGAACAGCGGCACCGTAAGCAACAGCTTCATCTGGATTAATAGACTTGTTTGGTTGCTTACCGTTGAAGAAATCAGAAACTAATTTTTGGACCTTTGGAATTCTGGTAGAACCACCAACCAAAACAATTTCGTCGACCTGAGATTTATCCAACTTAGAATCAGCCAAGACTTTTTCAACTGGATCTAATGTAGATCTGAACAAATCAGCACATAATTCTTCGAATCTAGCTCTTGTGATGGAAGTGTAAAAGTCTACACCTTCATACAAGGAGTCGATTTCAACGGAGGTTTGAGCAGAAGAAGACAAAGCTCTCTTAGCTCTTTCAGCAGCGGTTCTCAATCTTCTCAAAGATCTTTGGTTACTGGTCAAGTCTTTCTTAGTTTTTCTCTTGAATTCCTCAGCGAAGTGATTAACCAATCTGTTATCGAAATCTTCACCACCCAAGTGAGTGTCACCAGCAGTAGCTTTGACTTCAAAAACACCATCATCGATGGATAACAAAGAAACATCGAAAGTACCACCACCTAAATCGAAAATCAATACATTATGTTCAGTGGTACCTTTCTTGTCCAAACCGTAGGCAATAGCAGCGGCAGTAGGTTCATTGATAATTCTTAAAACGTTTAAACCCGCAATTGTACCAGCATCCTTAGTAGCTTGTCTTTGAGAATCATTGAAATAAGCAGGAACAGTAACGACAGCGTCGTTAACCTTGTCACCCAAGTAAGCTTCAGCAGTTTCACGCATTTTAGTTAAAACCATTGAAGAGACTTCTTCAGGAGTGAAAGTTTTAGTTTCACCTTTGAATTCAACTTGAATAACTGGCTTTCCCTCTCTGTCTATAATTTTAAAAGGGAAATGCTTAGCGTCAGTGGTAACTTCAGGATCGTTAAACTTTCTACCAATTAATCTTTTAGCATCAAAAACAGTGTTTTCTGGATTAATAGCAGCTTGATTCTTAGCAGCATCACCGATCAATCTTTCAGTGTCAGTAAATGCAACATAAGAAGGAGTAGTTCTGTTACCTTGGTCATTTGCAATAATTTCAACACGATCATTAGCAAAATGAGCAACACATGAGTATGTAGTACCCAAATCAATACCAACAGCTTTAGTCATCCTAAAGGTTTAATTAATAATAATTTTTTTAGTGTTTTTTTTAAAGTATTTTCTGTCTCGAATTAACTATGACTAGTATTTAATCTTATAGATAAAATCTAATTGACAATAGTAAATATTCTTGAGGTTTTTATTATATAACAAATATAGACAATAAAACAATTGAACAATTACAAAACATAATTCCAATTGGTTTAAAATGCATTCTTCTTATATACCTTTAATTTTTCTAATCTTCAAGCTCTCTCTAGCATCTGACTACACTATATAATATGTCCTTAGTCTTCTTCTATCTCTTGGGAAACAACCAGAACCATCTCGTACTAGGCTCTCCCCCCCTAACCTGATCTCGAAGAATCTACAACGACAGTCACCTGCAATCCAGAACGTTCCAGATAATACGAACCACCATATAATCCCCTCAAAACTAAGAGCTTAGTATCGTTCTTAAACGTTCTAGCAACCAAATTTCAAGATTACTACAGTAAGTAATATACTAAAAAACATGCATTGATCATTCATCATATGACCGTTCTACATGTAATCTACGTATAAGAAAGACTCGTTCTTCAGTTTTAAAACTGCATTCCACATATACAAAACTCCACAATCACCAAGATCAAATCCAAAGCCTTTAACAAACTCTTCTTAACAAACTCTTCTTAACCTCAATATCCTCTTCTACTAATCCTTAAACTATCAACCATCACCATATTCGAGTTCGAGTTCGAGTTCGAATTCGAAATTACTTTAAAGCTCTGGAGGTTTCTAGAATTTGCCATACTTTAAAGGAATTTTCGAAATATCTCGCAGTAATCAGCTGAGAGTTTTCGAATCTAAGCTTTGTAGAGGAGATGAGATAGATGAGTACGAAGATAGATATATAGACGATGACAGTAAAATTCAATTATGGAATGGTTTACTTGATTGGTTTAGATTGTTAGTTTTAGATGTAGTTGTAGTTGTAGTTTTAAGCATATCTTATGTTTTTAGTGTGTAAGATGTGTTGAGTCTTTTTTTTTGAGGGATTGTTCGTAGTGTTCATGGTGGTATCAATCCTGGAGACCACGGGATGGCTTCTAATGATTCTTTCTGTTCTTCTTGCCAATGAGAGGTTTAAAGGGAATACTTGTTTAAATACTATTTAGATCTGTTTGATGTTTGATGTTTGATGTTTGATGTTTGATGTTTTTACGAATTTGCTAATATTCGTGGGGGAGAACATCTAGTCGATTGGGTTTTTAAATCCAATCTAACTGCTCTAATAATACTTATAATTATATATGTTAAAACATCTATCTTGTTGAAATATTGGTTAGGCAAAAATATATATATTTCATTTTGAATGCAGACTCTCTCTTTTGAGATATTTATCATTAGTTTGTTCATGTTTCCTTTTCCCTTAATATGGATATTAATTTAAGGCTGTTCGCTGGCCTATGTTTCAGCTATAGACATCCAGGTTTCTTGAGTCAAAGTACCGACATTTGCATTCGTTGTTACTTCTCAAGAATTTTATAGTTTTTAGATACACTTAGGTTGACAAATTTTACACTACTTATACTGTATCTTTTCTGCCATCTATTCAGTCGCCTGTGACCTATGAATTAGGAGTAGGAGTTTGATATAATTACATCGATATCGCTCTTTCCTCATCTTGTGTTATGGTAAACTCCACTGATTACAGTAGGTTCCCACTGATCAGTTTCATCTTCACTATCAATGTTTGGATAAAATACAGGAGGTGGTCCCTCAATGGATTCAAGTTCTTCAATTTCGTCTCCTAATTCGCAAATTGCAGTAAGTTCAGGTAGTCTTTGAAGTAAACTAGATTTAGTCGACGTTAATTTCTCACCGTTTAAAGATTTATTTAAAAATTTATCCCACGTCTCACCATTAATGGTATAATCAATATATTCCATAGGCAATGAACTTATTTGTTCTGAAAGCATTTTATCCAACTTCTTCAATATTATGTCCTTGTCTGAAGTTTCAGAACTATTTAAAAGTAATTCTATCAGACTATGCCATTGCATATTAGACCCATAATTGGCAAATATCATACTGTTTAAGAAGGAGAATTGCAATTCACAAAACAACCTGTAAATATTATTATTATAATAACTTGGCAATATTATTTTATTCAAGTAATATGATTTATCTAAAAAATCCTCCATCTCGTGAGAAGGCCTAATAGCTATATTTGACTTGAATTCAATAGGTGTATAGTTTAAATAATCATCATCAGAACTCTTACCCAAATCAAGTTTTAACCTTTCTGTTAACAACTTCTTCTCTTCATTTGTGTTTAGTGTTGAATCAACATATAATAAACGTGACGATGAAGAGGTTGATTTATTGAAATATTTAATAATTTGATCCCAATTTAGATATTCACTTAAAACAAACCAATCGATTTCAGTAACATCAGATACTGATGGGTAATTCACCATTAAATGTTGAAACTTTAATTGTTCGTTAACATCAAAATTTTCAATTATTTCAAATATCTCATCTTTAGAATCATATTGAAGAAGTAATGATTCTGTTGGATTGATAGACTCAGAATTAAACCAATAACCGTATCTAAAAGTATTCGACTTCTCTTGTTGGAAATAAATAAGATGTATTCCCTTTGGTATATTCTTTATACCATAAAATTGTGCATTTTCATTAACGGTGAATGAATATTGATCAATACCAACCGTAACGTTAATTGAAGAACGTATGAAAAGGTACATCTAACATATATTTGTCTTTACAGTAAACAAACAAATGCTATGACGTTGAGAGTTCTAGTAATAATATTTATCTGGTTGAAATAATGCTACAAATTGTATTCTGTAAAGTTAAAACTTATATATTATATTGCCATTAAATTACATTAAAGTGCTTATTTATTTTTTAGCGGTCATTCTTCTTAAGTAGAAGGCTAATTCATCACCTTCCAAAATGTAACCATCACATCTACCTGATTGACCTGGTCTTGAAGAAATACAAGCGTATAATCTACCAGCACCAAATTGTGATTCAACAGCTTGTTCAGTCTTGGCAGAAGCAGCTCTTGAAGCCCATTTTCTTTCAGCATTTTTAGACTTGTTAATGGTTTCTTCTTCAGCAGAACCCTTGACATTCTTCTTTTTACCTAAAGTTTGACCGTAATGAGCTTCATACCATTGCTTGAATGGAGTAGCATCAATTTGAACAATGGCAGCCTTAGTTAGAGTGTTGGTTCTAACCAATTCATTGTTGGAAGGGTGGTAGACGACACCTACAACTCTGGTCTTCTTGGCGACACCTTCGGAAGCCCAAGAGAAGTTACCAGTTTCAATTCTCAAAGCTCTAAATTTTTCATTACCACCTCTAGTTCTAACAGAATGAATTCTCTTGGTACCAATCTTAGTATTAGCAGCTTGTCTACCTAATTCAAACTTTCTCTTCTTTCTAAACTGAGCCCTTTTGGCACCAGTAGCTGATCTTTTATGACGTGAATCACGAGAGATACCCATTGTTCTATATCATAAACAGTAAAAGTTAGTAATCTAATTAAGTCCATATCATATTACGTCTATCCCTACTAACATCTTTCCCAAATATCCTCTTTTGTATTCTCCAAAAAGATGACAGGAGTACCAGTCAGTATTCTCAGATTCCAACCCTTAACCATGCACACAAAACGAACACAACAAAATGACCTCACCAAACAGGAATACCCATCCTTTAACCTATTTTTTAATATTACTTTAGCATAATTCACTAAAATCAAATATACACTTCTTCCGTCATGCAGGTTAAGATTCGAACCTAATTTAAACTGGTGTCTTATTTTTTAACATACACTTTGATGATAAGAATCTATTTCTATGAACCGTCTTTAAGCCTAATCAAACAGTTGAACTGGTAACCAAATAAACATGTAATTCAGTTTATAAACCTTCTTAACCTCATCTCATCTCATCTCATCTCATCTCATGTAATTATTTACATCACCCATTAACATTCATAATCCTCTAAGCTTCGAACGAACTTCTCCTCTCTGTCTACGGAAATGTGAACATTTTCTCTGCCTAGCCCTGCCAAACTCTTCCCGAACGCTGCCTGGCCTCTGCCTAAATCTTCGAAACGGCTTCCTTCCAAAAGAAGCGCGACTTTGCTCTCTGTCTGGCCTCCTCTGTTGCGGTAATTTCGAAACTGCTTACTGTGAGTGAGTTCAATAAATTTGAAAAATTTTGATAGCTTTTAGGTTGTGTTCCACGTTATTTTCTTAGTATTTATGGATTTTAAATTGTCAACAGCAACAAGAAAAGACCAAATTTCGAATCAACTTGATCGATTTTTCAGTAAGAATTGACGTAATTCCACCACTTGCATAATGGGATCAATCTACATGCATGCTATGCTATGCTATGCTATGCTATATGATGGATGAATCAATCAATATCAAAATTAATAGGAGGTCTTGTTTGTTTTTATAAGATTATTTGATCATTGCATATAAATATTTGGGTTCATTTGGGCCAATTGATGTGTATGGCTTTGCTAATTCCTTAATACCTTCTTGATCTGGTTGTGCTTATTTAGAGCAATCAATAGTACAGTTTAGTGGGAAAATACAAGGTCACTGTATATCTTATTAGTGTGATTTAGAAATAGGTATATATATATTGGGTCACTATGTCAAAGGAAGATAACCAACCGGCTCCTATGCCTAAGAAGATTGAGGTCGAAGACAGCTATTTGAAAAGAGTTGCTAGACCTTTAAGACATGTTAAATTTATTCCAACCAAGGCTTTAGTATTTCAAACAAAGACTGGTCCAGTTGATTTCACCTATGAAAATAAAATAAAGACTCCAATTGGTTCCAGTAAATTGGTTGTCGACGTTAGATACGTTGGTTTAAACCCTGTAGATTTAATGATAAAAAATGGTTATAACCAACAGGGTTTCTATGGTGAAATCGGTCTAGGTAGAGAATATTTTGGTGTTATTTCAGATATTGGTTCAAAGCTAGAATCCGATAACCGTTGGAAGATCGGTGACGAAGTAATGGGTATCTACTATCACCCTCACATCGGTTATGGTTCTTTACAAACTTCTATTTTGGTGGATCCAAAACAAGACCCATTGGTATTAAAACCAGAAAATGTCACCATGCCAGAAGCTGGTGGTTCATTATTTTGTTTAGCTTCTGCTTTTGAAATATTAGAGAAGCTAAACTCTTTAAAGAAATTAACTCCAAATGCTAATATCTTGATCAATGGTGGTACTTCCTCTGTTGGTTTATTTGCTTTGCAATTATTGAAGAATTATTATCACATCGTATCGAAAGTTACTATCGTCACGTCTGGTACTGGTCCAAAAGTTATAAAACAACACATGCCAGGTTTTGAAAAAGATTTCATATTCATTGATTATTTAGCTTGTCGAGGCAAAGCTTCTAAACCATTACTAAAATTACTAGAAGATAATACATACACATACTTCGACGAAGAAAACGGTACAGAATCAATTGAAAATTATTCACAAGGTAAATACGATATAGTATTAGATTTCATCGGTGGTTACGATATCTTATCTCAATCACAATCCTTAATCCATTCCGGTGGCCATTACGTTACTACTGTAGGTGACTATGTTGCTGACTACAAAACAGATGTTTTTGAACATTGGGATAACCCAAGTGCAAGTGCAAGAAAAATGTTTGGTAACATCCTGTGGTCTTACAATTATACCCATTATAAATTTGATCCAAATGGTAAAACTGAATTAATTGAAAAATGTGCTGAATTGTTGGGTAAAAGATACGTCAAATGTATAGTGGATAATGTGTATGACTGGAAAGATTATAAAGAAGCTTTCAATTATATGAAACTTCAACGTGCACAAGGTAAATTGATTTTAAAAGTCGAAAAATTCTAATGTATTATAATAAATGTATTTTTTTATGATATCTGTTCCGTAGGTATATATAAATTTTCTTTTCTGTTTAATTACTTAATTTTTAATAAATAATGATGATACCAGTCCAAGCCTTAATTACAAAAATAACCATCACTCCATTTAATTGAAAAAAAAAAAAAAATATAAAATTAAAGTTGTACTTATTGCTTTCTTTTGAATCCAAACAACTTAGATGTACGTTTTATGGATTTACTAGAGAATGAACTTCTTTTAACCCTGTTATCTAGAATTTCATTATCTGGTTCAACCTCATTAAGTGTCCTCTGTTCCATTAATTCTTTACTACGAATTTCCGAACTTCTAAGAAGTTCATCATCACTAATGAATTGCTGTAGATTTTTTTCGTATTGATCAATAGGTTCTGTTTTATTATCTAAATTTATTTCATCACCATTATTTTCCATATCGCTATCCTGCGTTTCAATTGTTTTATAAAACAAAATGTAAGCCGTTGCCAGATCATTACTGTCACCAACATGCCTTAATACATCCTTTTCAAGAACTGCTTCTACAGTTTCATCATCATATAATAACCATCCAAACTTTTCAGTTTTACACATTGCTACGTAATGTCCATGTTGTGGCCCAGCTCCAAGGTGGATAATAATACCACTTAACTCATATTTCTTGGAGATACTACGATCGAACGTAGAACGTACATGCAATTCAGATGGGTATGTAATTTTATTGAATAATTTAATATTTGCATTGTTTTCTTCTGAATATTTAAATCTCTTTAAATGTAAGGAAAGGATTTTTGGCAAGTGCTTTATACCAACAATTCTTTCAGCTTCTTGTAATCCACAGCAACCATCACAATAAAATTTGTTAGATCCATTCAACATTTCTCTTTGATGATAATTTGACAGAGCTTTCTTAATATCAGTTTCATTCCTTGATTTAACTTCAATCGGAAGATCTAAGAAAGGCTCATCCCTCGAAGTTACATTATCACATGTTAAACATCTAATCTTATTAGTTAGAGTACCCTGAAATATATTCTTAATAAAATTTTCAGTTTTTTCAGTTTCTTCTATCTTTAAATTGGATCTATCTATATATTCACTTAATTCATTAAGAAGAAAGTTTAAGAATTCGTGAGCATCTTGGTGCATTCCTGTATCAAATAATACATTTTCTTTCTTTAAAATTTCAATTAATTCGGATGGCGATACTACTCCTGTTAGATATCTGTTACCCTTAATTGTTAAAAATATGTCCTTTAATCCATTATACATATTAGATTCACTCGCTTGGTTAAGCAATCGATCAATGTTTATTACAGGTCCTCTTGCGAGAGCATTTTTTTTCCTTTCTTCAATAGTAATACAAGTGTTATGATCATTAGTTTCGTTATCTTTAGAAATGTTTGTATCAATTAGATTTTGTTTAGAGTTCGTAAATGTATGATTATTTTCTGTATTTTCATGATTATTCTCTGGTTCATTTATAGCGTTTAATTCCCGACCTTGATAACTATGAGTATTTAATGTCATAGTTGATTTTGATTTAGCCACTTGAGGTCTTCCAACAATAATAAGTTTTGAAGTGTCAATTTGTTCTTTGACTGCATGTTCATGACCTGAACTTTGTAAATTACCACTGGATTCATTTTCATTTTCATTTTCTTGCAAAGAATTAGAAGATGATATTGTTACTAACGATGCAGATGTAGAATTAGTAGTTAAGTACATGTAATTATTGTCCTTATTCCTTTTTACATTCGATTTACTTTTCGCAGATGATACAGAATTCAAATTAAGTTGGTCATGCGAACATGAAGCATTATTTGATTTCAGAATATTCAATTTACTGGAACTATTCTTGTTTGAAGAATTATTATAATAAATCCCTTGATTTTCTTCATCACCTATTACATTTTTAATACTAATAGAATTATCGAACTGTTCAGGATCAAATTTTGCCTCTTCAGGATATAAAATCAAATTATCCCTCAACTCAGAGAAATTGTATAAGCACTGTAACACTGAATTACAATAACAGGTATTGCCAAAATTCTCAAAACCGAAAACTTTAGTTGAGCTATCAATCCTTCCTAATTGATTATTCAACTCTTGCATTTGATCATCAATATCATTCTGCATAGGTACAGTTTCATGAGCCTCTACGAATTCATCATTGCTTTCATCTGCAGAAGTTACAGGATATTCAGTAGAATGCAATTCTTCATTATTGGTAAACGATAAAGTGTTGTGAACACTTATCTTGGAATTATTAAGATCCAATTTCAAAAATGGTTCATTTAGTGATAATCTTCTATTTCTTTGTCTGTTACTGGAGTTTCTAGGGGTATTTTCAGCAGTACTAGTATTCTCAGGTAAGCTTTCCTTTGAACTGTATTTCGACCTACTAGAACTACTAATAGACAACCATCGTTTTAACTTCATTGAATCTAAATCACTACCTTTTAACTAACAAATCTTGCCAACCTAAAACTTTCTGATTTATGATTCGTGTCCTCTAATACTGTCTTATTTTAGTCAAATTTGCGTTTTCTCTAACAATGTTATAATTAGATCTCCAAAAGATCTCAAACAAAATTACCAACTAAATTAAAATAAACAACTTCAAATCACCTACAATCACCTACAATCACCTACAATCACCCTCCAATCGTCCCTTGTGTGTGCAAACAAGTATTGGCATCTTCCAATTGCCCATTATATGCCAGATCTTATTGATTTCTTATTGTTTTTTAAATAGCAGTTTACTCCTTTGTTCGAAATGAATGCGATTGTTTACCAAAATGACGTTATTAACAGATTCGATGACAGCAATTGCCAGGTGTCAGTAATAGAATAATCGTCAAGATCCACATGTATTATACAGATTCTAATCTAATGTAACGTAGAGAGGTTGCAAAAATATGAATAAAATAAACATATAGGTAAATAAATAAGTAACGGATTAGTTAAATCAATAAATAAATATTATAGAAGACGATCATTATCAAAATAAAAACAAAGACAAAATATGATCGAAATAGATTGATACAATTATTAACGTAGTAACATATTGACTCTTCTCAAGTGCTATCATAGGGAATGTAAAATGTTTATCAGTAATAGTAGTTTTTACAATGTTGAGTTGAAACTTTAGTTTTCCCATACCTGATCTATTTCTTCGCAGATTAAAACTTTGAGTGTATCAGAACAAACGATTTTATTAATACACAATAATTCTTAGAATTCTGGTTCCATATTCATGTCAAACCACCCTAAGAAATCATCATTTATGGAGTTACCCTCTAGCCAACCAGTACTCTGCTGCAGAAAGAAGTTGTCTAAATCGGATAGTGAATTTACATTATTAGGCCCACTAATATTAGCAGTATTACTCTTGTTCACAGGGTTTGTATTTGACAATAACCCATTGTTCTGTAGAAATTGGTTTAGTTTAGCATATGCTGCAGAATTGTTATTATCTGAGATTAAACCAGAATTTGGTGAATTTAATCCAGTTGAATTTGTATTCGTATTCGAAACTTTATTTAATTCTTTATTCATATTTTGTGGATAATTCGACATATTACTAAATAAAGAATCAGATACATTTGGTTTATTATAGATTGGCTTGCTGTTATTATTGATTTCATCTTTGACACTGATCTTTGGTGCAGGAATGCTGTTAGACCTTTGCATCGATACATCTCCTGTTTGATCCTGCAAATATGGCAAATGATTCTTCGGATTAGAGGAATTAATATCTGATGATGATTGTGGGAAACTAGTCTCTAAATTTAATGCAATGTTACTTCTTGTGAATGAATATTGTTGTTGGTTATCTATATTTACAGGTGTCTCATAATGAACAGATGCGCTTTCAGAAACTGTGTTATATTTTGGATTATTTACATGTTGGAACACACTTTCTAAATTAACGCTACCTGTTTCGTTTAGCATAGATAATGGTATACCATTAATTTCCATAACAGCACCACCGAAATTTTTCTTACTCAATGCCATTTCCTTGGCTTGTTTTAATGCATTTTGAGTTGGAACCAATTTTGTAACTGTGGTACCTCCTGGAGTAGTCTTTGAAATTGTCTTGAAATCTTCTCTTGATATTTGATTATAAAATGGTAATGGGAACAATCTCTTACCTATGAGATCCAAGGCTGGATGTGCGTTGGCCGATTTTCTTAGTGCATCTAACCTTTGCATTGCTTCTTCATTGTACTTAGGATCCATTTCTCTTCTTCTAGCTTCGTGAACACACCATACCAAGTCATAGAATAAAGAACCAGTCAAGTGTGACCTCATTCGAGAAATGATACCGTCCGCTTCAACAAATACTTCAGGATGAGTAATCAAAACAAAATTCAATTTTTCCAGAACACTTGCTGTCCTAGAAATGTCATTCTCAACTTTGGTCGCCCATGCTGTTAACTGGTTTCTGTATAATCTATGTACAGTAACAATAGATTGGCGAACAGAGTCTATGAATTGATCGGTCATTAATGGTGTTAATTGTAACTTGAATAATATCAATGCTGCATATGTAACACTTTGTCTTACATAGATGGGTAATTCTATCAATTGTTGTGTTTCTAACATTTGAGTTAATAGTGTCACCACTCTTGTTGCAGATAAATATGCTTCAGTGATATATTGAGTTTGATCTGTCCTTGGGGTTTCCGGTAGAAATGCGAAACAGCATATTGTCAATTTCACATATAAATAATATATCTCTACAGACTTATCCGCAGTAAAATTCAAGCTTGAATTTAAAGTTTTTAATTCTCTGTCCATCAATGAAATTGCACTTGCTCTATCTCTAGGTTCTAATAAACCATCAGAAGTACTGATACTTGATCCAATCACACTGTATAACTTACTTTGGAAATGAGACAAACATATCAATCTTCTGAACTGGTTTGGCAAGGTAAATATCTCATCAGCGGTAGTAGAGCTTAAATCTGTAGTATGCTTCAAAGGCGAATCAGAAGTTTCCCCCTTGCTTTTATCAATTTCGTCTTTACCATTTCTTGCTTGTTCAACTAAATAATCAATTTGAGAAGTCGATGGTAAACCTAAAGTACTTGCCCAACAAACCTCAGAAAAGAAAATACCTAACCAAGTTCTAGTTCTCCATTTTTCAGCATTAGGTAAAGAAGTCTGTGATCTGGTAAATTCTGAAATAAATTCACCTCTGTGTAAACCTAATTGCAGTGAGAGAGATTTAGCTAAACCAACAAATCTATAAGAACAATCATCCAAAATTTTTTGATTCGGTAGTGGCCAGGTACACAGTATCAACAAAGCTTGCGAAATATGAGTAGATCTTGGCGTTCTTAACCAACAAGTTTCTATCGCTAATTGTTTTATTAATTTTGCAAGCTTATTGTATAATGTTGGTTCAGGTTCTGACAAACAGGCAGTTAACATAACAGTCCAAAATAATAACTGAGATTGATCAAACAATTTCTGTGCCGAAACTGAAGTCATGATAGGGAAGTAAGGTAAATATTTTGCGACGAATAAATCATGCAAGTAATTAGCCTTTTCAATAGATATTCTTACTTCACCAAGCACAAATTCATCAACGTTACCATAAGGAGAAGGTAACGGATCGATTGTACTTGTTGTTGCTATAACAAATGGAGATTTTTCCTTTAATTTGCTGGATGATTCTGAAGAAGTTGAACTAGGAGCGTTAGAAATTGATGATGTCTGAGTAGAATTCAATAAAGGTGGTTTCTTTGCCAAATAAGTTTGTGCACAAATTTTTGAACTTGAATTTGAATTTGGCCCAGAATTACTATTAGAAAATTGACAACCGACATTAGAAGGAGTGGTTACACTGCCAATATTTGGATCAACATCTTGTTGCTGCGGAATTTGACTATTCTGTAATAATTTCAGTGCTTCGATAAACTCTGTATTGTTTTGTATAGGAGCAGACTTCAATGCATTTAAAATAACAGAATCATTTTTCAATAAATTTTCAATTTTCAACTTCATATCATCTACATCTTTCCGTAGATTTTGCAATTGAGAACCTTTTTTAGGTCTAAACTGAGGATCTATTTCACAATTCAAACCCATTCTATCACATCTTGAACAAGGATCTGGGAAGTTATCACTTGCATTACATTTAATTTTGTGCTGTCTACAGTGAGTGCACGAAGTCACAGGACGATGACCAGTATTCTGAGTATGGTCTTTAATCCTAGTTGATGGAGGTGTATCACTTAAAATCAAGTTATCATCACCTTGTTGACTTTTCTTTAATCCACCACCATTTCCACCAGATATTGTGGTTGTATTAACTAGTCCTGAAACATGAGCTTTCTTCTGAGAAGGACCAGCGCCTCCATCGACACCCGAAAGCATCCGTTTATTCATGTTTAGATTGTCTTTCATAATCGAGAATAATTTGATATTTGAGTGTTGACCTTCTGACTATATTAAATATGAAATGTTCACCACCTCAAAACCAAAATTGGGGTCTATTTAGAAAAAAAATTTTTTTTAATTAATATTTCAAACTATTCAATTCTTGCAATATACTCCACAATTATACCTCCCAAGAGCATGCTCAATTAAAGCTCTAATATCACTAAACTTAACCGTAACCGACAGTGATAAAACCTTGTCTGTCTAAGTTTATTTGTCTGCTTGACACAATTATTTCTAGTCTTTTCAACTAATAACTGTGATGTTGTATTCCAAGTCCCTGAATACCTAACCAATTTAATCAGAAATAAATAACAAGGCCACACACGACAGTTATCAACACGTCCAACCTTTAACAAGTAATCACTAATGTGTAATGCAGCTTTTAACCTTCTTTCTTATCTGATTTTAAACCTGTTATTGTATCTTGTTTAAAGTTTTCGTCAATATGAAATTTTAAAGGCCTTTAAAATTATCGAAAATGTGGATAGTGGAATAGTGTCAAAAGAAGATTGATTAATGACGAAGGATGAGATGGTAAGAAGGGTTAACAAGGTTTTAATTGTCGGCTAATGCTATTCAAGTTCGTATTTATGTGTGTGGTAGTTTTTTTTGTGTGTTGATTGGCTTAATGGAGGATATTTTACGATAAGATTCATAAGAAATAGGAATATTGCTTTAATAATCCTGGGGGAAGGGGGAAACAAGAAGAATTAAAAAAAAAATGTATGTGGGGATGGGTGGGAAAGAGGATGGAGATAGGAACCACATCTTTATTTCTTTTCTTCAATCAAACCATCCATCTATATATGCTGATGATCAGTACGAGATTAGAATCAAGAATACTCAAATCGGTAAGACAGCAAGATCTATATTTCAATCTTTTGTCGATTCGTTACAAGTCTAGCAAGTATTATTATGGAGATAGATATGGGAATTGATTCAAGACATGTAATGTGGGTTAACATTTAGAGAACTAGGTTATTTTTTCTTTGCCCAGTTTGTATCTAGAAATTCACTCAGCTGCTGGGACTGGGACTGGAACTGGGCAGACAAAGTGAAAATTTTTTAACAGTTTGGTTGCTGCTACGTAATTTTTTATTTTATTTGCCAGACGTTCTTACAGTAATGGCAAAGAATTAGGTATAATGATATATCGATTTGATATCGATTCTTACCAGATACAACAAGTACGGGTCTGGTTGCATACATACTGTACTATCTTGTGGGTGAATACAATTCTTCGTTGTCGGTTTGTCTTCTGGTCCTGATCCGTACAGTAGCTTTGGTTCAAGTTTGCTGTGCTACAGGTTAAAAATATGTAGAGAGAGGTAAGTGAAGAAAAGTTGTTAGCAAGAGAGGCATCAAGTTCATTTAGAGAAACATATAATGGTAGCCAAAAATGTAATGAAATGGTTCAGATTCTATTGATGTTAAATAGAGTATTTCCTGTATGAGAATTTTGGTTGTTCAGATATTGAATTGAATTGAATTGAATGGAATTAATTTTTTGTTTATTAATTATGTAGGCATACGAGATGTTTTTTAATTGAGATATACATATTATTCTTTGGATTAAACAGAATGGTTTCTTTTATCCCACTGGGGCCATTGGTTTGCTAGTCAGAATGGGTCGGGTGGTGTGTGTGACGACAGCATTGTTTGTCACTTCCACTGAGGAAAAACTCTGTTCCATTGATGGAACTGAATTGGTTAGTGTGCTTGAAACGTATGACGTAAAGCCTGAGGATAATGATATTTGAGAATCCAATTCAGGAAGAGTGCTACTTGTAGGTAATTTCGGACTCCTGGAAAGTGTAATGAATTTAAATAATGATTTTCTCCTGGAGAGAATTCCATTATTCAGTATAGAAAACCGTTTCCTTCTTTGAGTAGAGTCAAGATCTTTATCTGGACTAATACTTTTCAATTTCTCTATTGCTAGGTCGTATCCATTTTTGGCAGATTTCTGGTACCAACTGACTGAAAGGTCTATTGATTTCTCACATCCTTTCCCTTTCTCGTATAAATACCCTAACAAGTATTGGGCCTGGGCTAAATTTCTTTTGGCTGCTGATGCCACCCATTTGAAACCAATATCCAAATCTTTCCTTAAATAAGGTCTCAAACCTGTCAAATAATAGCAACCCAATCCATACATCCCTCGAGAATTGCCACCAGCAGCTGCCTGCTCGTAGTACTTCAATGACAATTCAGGATTCCTTCCAATTTCCTCTTTGCCTTCCTCATATATCTGACCTAATGTGGAAGCTGCTGATATATTTCCTAGAGATGCAGCTTGTATATATAGCTCTGTGGAATACTTTTCATCTGGAATGATCAAGTCTTTGTAACCTACTTCAAAGATCTTGGCTAGCTCGTATGGGGCTTGTGAAAGTATCTCGTTATTCGCAACAGTTGCAGCCCTTGTTAACCAATTGACTCCTATCAACTTAGAATCAATATCCTTGGTAATACCAATATCTTCGTAATAAAGGTACATACCTAATTTGAACATTGAGGCAGGATGGTTTTTGCTTGCTGCAAATTTTAGATAATCAATGGCTTTAAGAGTTGATTTCTTAACACTTATTCCCATCTCATAGCAGCATGCTGTCCTGAATGCACATTCGACATGACCATGTTTTGCTGCGTGTCTGAACATTTTGAATGCTTTTTTATTATTCACACTACCATAAACACCAGAGGAATAAGCATCTGCAAGATAATATTGTGCTTCTAAATATCCTCTATAAGACAAATATCTCAAATAATACCTTGACTCTTTGAAAAACTGTTCCTTGAGGTATTCGTAATTTTCAATTCCTGTATCTTCATTGATAGATATTGCAGTATTCATCATATCTTGTGCATATTGAAATAAAACATTGGGATTGTTTTGCTTTTTAGAGTGTTTCCTGTACATTTCTATTACTGACATGTCTGGAAGTAAAGTGAAGGGTTTCTTTGATGTCCTGTCACTAAAAGTCCTTTCCTTGTTCTTTTCTGTCAATGAGCTAACAGTGACAAAACTCCTGACATCATCTGAGGAAGCATAATGAAATATCGAACTTGTTTTACTATTAATATTATAACCGTTGTTATCATTGATTTGTGACGTATTTCTAGATATTTGAATTTCCATATTTGTATCAATGATACTATTATTATTATTATTATCGTTCTTGTTGTTATCGTTATTGTTAATAGACTCTTGGGCAGTATTATTGATGTCAGGTTCAGGTATTTTATAATTTGTTGGTAATGACAGAATGGATATCTGATCATTGTCATCCTCCTCTATATTATCATTATCAGAAAAAAGTTCAGGAAGCGACAACGACGACTTTAATGCAGCTTTCTCCTCGTTGGTTACTCCAAACTTAACCATCATTGTATTTGATATATCTTCCTGAAACTCCTGTTGTTGTGACATCACTACTCTATAAGTCAGTTATATGCAAATTTTGAACCTGGACCAGTAGTTTTCCAAATTCTTTTAAATCAATTAAACAATTGAGAAATTATTATTCAAAGTAGCCAGCAGAATATTTTATTGATCATTTTATAAACGATCTTGAACCATCAACTGAAGCTTTAAAATACTAAAACAGTTTTTGCTTTACTCAAATATTAATTTTAACGGCTTTTTAATGTGACGCAATTGTGACCATGTATCAATAGCAAAAAAGTGGGAATAATACGAGGCAGGTTATAATAATTGATATAATAAGTTAAACCAACTGATGGTAAGACGAGTATTAGCAAATAAAGTTGGAGGATATTTTATGAATATTTTTAATGATCAATTCATCTTTTGTTAGTATTGAATGAAATTTTTTTCAGGTGCATTCTTGTTAATGGACAATAACGTAGTATAAAATATACGCAGGTTAAATGGGATTGTGACAATATATATCTATGTAGTTTAATTAATCGTATATGCCTAAGTAAAGTAAAATATAATAAAAACAAATGACTAGTATTGGAAAATGATGAAATCGGGGAAAGGGAGGGGTATAAACGAAATATTGAAGATTAAGATGATAATTATGAACCAAAATGAAATGCTACGTGAAAATCAAACTAACATATATTGCGATAAGCAGTATGGTTGATCAATCTTCATCTTCATCTCTTGGATCTCCTACACCATCTTCATAAATGGCGAAAACACATTCGGCCTCAGGAAGACAAGGTGAATCCACAACTTTACAAAGTCTTTGGCAACCTTTACCTTTTCTGAAGGCCAATCTTGTTGTAGAAGAATGGGCCATGATATTACCACCAATTGGTTTCTTTGGATCAGGGTTGAAAGACATATTACCATCAACTTGAGCGACAACTTGATTTGTCACTACGACTGCGACACCAAATTGGTCTGCTAATCTCTGTAAAGCCCTCATAAATTTAGCCAAATGCATTTGTCTGGCACTTAATTCACCACGACCTGAGAAATCTGTTCTGTATAATGCCATTACCGAGTCTACAACAATCAAGGAGAATCTGGATTCGGACATCATTTGAGCTGCAGCATCTAAAAGTCTAATCTGATGGTCTGCGTTATAAGCTCTTGCATAAGCAACATTATTCAGAGCATCATCTGGATCCAAGCCAAATCTCTGAGCTATTGACACAAGTCTAACAGGTCTGAAAGTCCCCTCTGTATCTATATACAAACATTTACCCTCGCCACCGCCGATATCTAGAGGTAATTGACAAGTGACAGCTAGAGTATGACACAACTGAGACTTCCCCGTTCTAAATTCACCAAACAATTCAGTGATAGAACCAGTCTCTACACCACCACCTAGTAAAGTATCGAAGTTTTTCGAACCTGTAGTTAAACAAATCATTTCCGATCTTCTTACATGGAAATCAGCAGCTGTGACAAACCCCATTGGAACCAACCTAGAAGCTTCATTCAATAACTTATCAGCTTTAGCCTCGGAAATACCTTTGATATTCAATAAATCTTTCCTTGGAGCATAAGCAACAGCCTCTGCAGTATGTAAACCGTTCTCTCTTAATTTTCTCAAATCACCAGAAGTGATCCCATTGACCTGCAATTTCTCAAGAGGTACAAAAGAGGCCAGAGCCATACCTTCCTCACCACCATAATCCATCCCAACGTCTCCCTCGCCATCGACCACATTCTCTTGGCCACCAGCCATAGCTGGATCTTCAACCGAATTATTAACATTAACATCTTCTCCTATCTCCTGCTGTTGAGTTTGCTGGGAATCAGTAACCACACCATCTTGAGCCTCTGACATCCTAAAATAAAATAAAATACACTTAGAACTCTCGCCTTGCCCACTTATAAACCAGATATAGACCTGTCAAGACCTCGAAAGTCAACCATAAATAGCCAATCAACATAACACTTTTATATCTTTTATCAATGTGATGTGATGTGATGATATGATATGATATGATATCTTGTTGACAAATTTCCAAACGCGTAAACTTTCTGCATTTAATCCACCCGATCACGTGACACACATAATGTATATCGATAAATTCACGCGTCTCGCATCTTTTTTCAGTTTTCGGTTTTCGGTTTGTTAAAGGCAAGAAAGAGGAACTTGACCTTTAAACTAAGACCATCTACCAGCGAAGTTGCAATAACCATGACGATATTGATGATGATGATGAGTTTTTATTGTTGTTGTTACTAGAGATATTGGGTTGTGAATGGAAGGGAAGGGAAGAGGAGAGAAGTGAAGGGCTGATATGCAGTGTATGTGCATTGGTTAGTGTTGTTGTTGTTGTTGTTGCAATTTGTTCTGTTTTAATCGTTTAATCTGGAGAAGTCTAGTATTGTCTAGATAGAAAAAATATAGATTTTTGACCAATTGGATTAAAGCCTTGAAGGATTTCAAGAACTGGTGGAAGTAGGGAAAGAAAATTAAAATACGAACAAGCTGACAGGGAAGGTACACATTGGAGTATAGGAAAGGAACTATATTGAGATTGGGATTTCTTTTCGAGTTTTGGCGAGGTTTTTTAAAGTTTGATAGTTTTTTAAATTTGAGGGAGAATATTCGAAGAGGTTGGTTGGATTTGGGTTATATGGAGTCAAGGATGTCAAGGTTGGTTCCGGTAAGGAGTATCGACGAGGGCGACTCTCATGACGATAGCAGGGATAGAATAAGTGCTTTCGAGTTGAAAAGTGGGAATGGGTTTCTAGAGGAAGAGGTTGTTGGTGTTGAAGATGAGGTTGAAGAGGATGAAGGAGAGGATGAGGACGAGGATGACGAGGGGAGTGAGGAGAGGAGTGATGAGTATTGGTTAGCTGTGAGTATTTTTGATGGGAACTTTGATGGTGTCAATTATAAGGAGTATGCTAATTATCTTGGTAGTCCAGATAGATTGCCTGTTTTGAAAGAGTTTATAAAGTTGTTACAGCCATTACCAAATGACTTGTTGGGAGCTCTGGGGAAACTTTCGAGCAGACTGTATTTTATAGCAGAAGCTCAAAATATAGATAGAATATTGGAAGAGTTAAGCGGACAATGGATGAGCACTCATACTTCGACCATCTGGGGAGATAATAACAGTTGGTGCCATATTGTCTTGTTCTCATTACTGTTACTGAACTCAGATTTACACAACGATGAAAATATAGGGAAACAGTCAAGGTTTACTTGTAAAATGTTTATTGAAAATACGTTGTATGCTTTGCGCAAAGATTGTGAAAGAGAATCAAAGGAATTGTCAAAGGAGAGAGAACAAGACATTTCTCAAGAACTGGCGATTTTTTACGAGAATCTGAGGTTCAATCCATTGCCGCTGTTTACAAGAGTAGATAAATCGGCCCCTTCAGTGATCAGTAATATCCATAGACGACAAAGAAGGTCCTCTGGCTTTTCTACAAAAAGTCCAAGTATTCATAGTCTGAGCAGTACGATCTCACACGGTTCATCGATGGCACTTGAATCACATACAACTTCAAATTGGAAGTTTCATCATAATTTGCCTTTGCCTATTCTTTACCTAAAGGAGAACTTTGATAACGAATTTGTAGGTGTGAACGGGACATTTTGGACTATGGATGGTGTGTTGTCAATCGCAGAGAAAAAAGAGAGTAAGAATCGTAGAAGTGATGATCAGTTGGCCTCTACTGCAGAAGTTAAATCAAGAAAAACTCCAAGAAAGCTTCTGTTTAGTTGGTTGAAAAAGAGTAAAAAACCATCAATTTTTGAAGAATCTAATTCCCCAGTGGCTTTCTTGAATGAACACTCACAATGGTCAAGAGCCAGAATAAGAATCACCGAAGGTAGAATATTCATATTCAAGTTGAAGAACAATTATAAAGATGCATTTTTGAAAGAACAAACATTAGAAAGTATGAAAGCATTGTCATCCAGCTATGTCGTTTACAACTTGTTCGAAGCACTAGCCGAAGTTGTTCAAGAAAATGTCGTGATAGGTACATTTCCATCTAGCAATAATATTCTTTCTAATAGGGGAAATTTCACAATTACGATTCCAATGGGTCTTCATGAGTACAAAGTGTCCTTAGAATTCCAAACGGATACAGTCGAGGAAGCATATGCCTATGTTCAATCGATTAATTTCTGGGCAGCAAGGTTAACTCCAGTTCCGTCTGCAGAATTCGAAATTGTCTCTAATGATGAATACGGGTGGGGTTCAAAGCTATTAAGAGAACGTGAAAAACATAAAAAGGAGAACCCAACTGACCGCAACCCGATTACAAATGCAAAGGTATCAGTGTGGTATCCTCTGTTGTCATTAGACCTTCTATACAACGAATTTGACAATATAGCTGATCAAACAGAATTAATCAAACGATTACAGGAGATACGAGAATTCACTGAAAAATTAGAATGCCTAATTGACAAGCATAACGAAATGAAGCCAAGGATGGTATCTGCATGGGCTGGATCTCCATATTTCGAAAAAGTAATGGACAATTGGAACAGAAGATACTTATATCTCAACAAACAATATGAAAAGACTAGCATCTACATGAAATCGTTAACTCTAGCTTCAGAAATTATCTGATCACACCCACTCCCAGAAATAATAATAAAAAATTAAAGGAAATACACATCCTTTTAATATAAATATATAAATATACATATCAATTGTAATAACTAATAATTAATAATATATCTTAATCAATCAATCATTCATTGTTCAGAAGGTTCATCGTTACTGTCATCTTCATGACCATCTTTTATGGTTATGTCCACTAGTCACATGATCGCATTTTAATTCTGTTTAAGAAAATATTCGTTCATTATGATATTCCGGTGGCAAACAAATAATTTAAAGGAAGTTCCATTGAATATAAAAGAAAGTTAACCAAAGTTTAAGATACTTACTTTATAAGATAGGAAACTATCTGGAATTGAGACAATAACGAGGTTCTAAGATATCAAATTTGCCAATTGAAGTGTTGAATAGCGTGGTTTTAGTTGTGAATTTGTTTTGCTGATTTCGTTTGTTGTTCCTTTAGGTTTTCAGTTCAAGTTTTTAAGTCAAACCAAGATTCAGGGTAGAACTAATTTTGTAAATTCAGTTTTCAAATAATAAATATTTACAATGTCTGATCCAAGTAGTATTAATGGTGGTATTGTAGTCGCTATGACTGGTAAAGATTGTGTTGCTATAGCTTGTGACTTACGTCTAGGTAACCAATCTTTGGGTGTCTCAAATAATTTTGAAAAAATCTTCCATTATGGCCATGTCTTTTTGGGTATAACAGGTTTAGCTACAGATGTTTTGACTTTAAGTGAAGAATTCCGTTATAAGACCAACTTGTATAAGTTGAGAGAAGATAGATTGATCGAACCAGAAACTTTCACACAATTAGTATCGAGTACACTATATGAAAGAAGATTCGGTCCTTATTTCGTAGGTCCTGTAGTCGCAGGTATCAATTCCAAATCCGGTAAGCCTTTCATTGCTGGTTTCGACTTGATTGGTTGTATCGACGAAGCCAAGGATTTCATTGTAAGTGGTACCGCTTCTGACCAATTGTTCGGTATGTGTGAATCTTTGTACGAACCAAATTTAGAAGCTGAAGATTTATTCGAAACTATAAGTCAGGCTTTATTAAACGCCGCAGATCGTGATGCTCTATCAGGCTGGGGTGCGGTAGTGTATATAATCAAAAAGGATAAAGTCATCAAAAGACACTTGAAGACAAGACAAGATTGATCAAACATCTGTCTTTTGATTTCTTCCGCCTTCCCTTCTCCATATCAAATTCACCAATTTGAACTAAAACTAAAATAAAATAAAAACTAACAAAAAAAAGGATTAAAATATAAACTTATATTATAATTGTTATCACCCCTCATATTTACATTTACAATATATTATTAGATATATACTCATATATACAACAAGCATTAAAGAATATTTAAATAATACTTCCATCATCTCTGCTATTCATCACCGTTTTGGTACAACAGTTTCTGTGTATATTCTAGAAAGTCCATCACTTTTTCCACCATCAAGATATTCGAATCAGGAACTATCTATATAAGATGAATGAACCACTTTAAACTAAGCTAGCCATAGAGAATTGATGCCATCTATTAGAGTTGAGGGTTATATGAAACAGTATACAACTCAATAATGGTGGATACTAAAGGAATCCTGAACGATTCCAAGTTAAAAGATGAATCTTACAGAGAGAGAAGAAAGGTCCAAATGTTACGATTTTTCACTGCAACTGCGTTCACTTTAGTTTCATGTAGAATACTTAAAAGAGGATTAAACAAACGTCAATGTATGTTCACATTTATATCTATATTACATATTACCTACATGTGTTTTTTAATATCAATTTTACTAACAATCTAGGACTTCATTACAATCGTCGTCATCTTCAGATATGCCTAACATGTTTCAAGCAAACAATCAACCACAACGGTTTTCATATCAATCAGAGGCAATGTCAGCGTTCCTGTTCGCAACAGGAATGACCACAGGTGTTTTTTCAATGGCTATATTTGGATCATGTTGGATATTCAACATATCCACTCCCAAAGAGTTCAGTTCCAGTTTAAGAAGTTGGATGGGTCTAAGTGATTTATCTCAAGACAGTGGGAACGATATCCTCGATGAGGAAAGTTCAAATTTGATAGAACAACTAACCAATTCATACAACAAGGATTAGCTGGTCGCTGTCCTCACTAAAGTGCACCTTTGTATATAGATAGATCGCCAGTTTTGATAACTTTAGTAGTTGTAGTAGTAATATTCGTTATTATAATATATTCCTGGTATTATTTGGTGGTATATATCACGTGATCAAATCATTGATATCGATGATCATGAAAAGTTATAAAGGGTAAAGTTGAAAAGGCACACTCATATCTTCTAAACCGATATTTGAACTTACAAGCACATCGAGGATAATATAAGATCCAAGGGTATTGGGACTTTGATCTGGTTTAAATGTGGCGTTCAGTTTACCAAGCAAGGCTAATACCACAGGTATCTAGAGGTTTAGTGAGGTCTAGACCTGTTTCTTCAAGATTAGGTCTTCCAACATTAGCACGATTTTACAACAATGGTCCAACATATCGTAGATTTAACAATAGTTACGGTGGGTATAATGGAGGTTGGTCTATATCCAGGATTCTTTTAAATAGAACTTCTAGGAACTATCTGACGTTTTTTTTGGGTGGTTCAGTTGTATTTTATGTTGCTAATCTGGAAGAAGCACCGGTAACTGGAAGAAAGAGATGCATTTGGATCCCCAGATCATTAGAGTTGAAGATTGGTGATTACTCATACAAGTCAATTATGAGAGAGAGTGGTAGGTATATCTTACCCGAATCACATCCTTTGACAAAAAAAGTCGAAAATGTATTCTCTAGAATTCTTGAAGCTGCCTATAAGGATCCAAGTGTCGATAAAACACTACTAGATGGTATAAATTGGCAGATACATGTGGTTAATGATCCAAAGGGCCCTCCAAATGCATTTGTTTTACCTGGAGGTAAAGTCTTTGTATATTCTTCAATTTTACCAATTTGTAAAAATGACGACGGTTTGGCAACTGTCCTGTCTCATGAATTCTCACATCAATTGGCTAGACATACAGCTGAAAATCTATCAAAAGCACCTATCTATTCGATGATCGGAATAGTAATGTATACTATTACAGGTGTAGATGTGATCAATAATTTATTATTGGACGGTTTATTAAGAATGCCTGCATCAAGGCAAATGGAAACGGAAGCCGATTATATAGGTTTAATGATAATGGCTAGAGCCTGCTTCAATCCAGATGAATCGATAAGATTATGGAAGAGGATGTCAGAGTTTGAAAAGTCTCATCATCTTGGAGCTAATGGTATTCTAGAATTTTTGTCTACACATCCAGCAAGCGATACAAGAATCCAAAATATGCATAAATGGTTGGGTAAGGCAAAACAAATTTATGAAGAATCTGATTGTAGTTCTATTAGAGGCTACTATTCAGGTTTAAAAAACTCCATATTTGGTAATGACAAACCAGAATTTCAAATAGTGAGATTTTAAATAATTAGATACAATATATAATTAATATTCCTGTAAATGTATGCTAATATGCAAATGTATTATTACTTATTATATAAAGAAAAGTATGCTACTGTCTATAAGGGTCTTCTTTTTTTGAATCCAACATGTACATTACTCTGTGTTTGCATTCTCTTTGTATTAACGTTTGAAATTTGATTCGTTGTTATAGGTTGTTCCTCTACAAGTTTCTTGATGTTATTAATGAGAGTATCCCTTTTAGCTACTACAGATTTTATTCTCAAGTCTAATTCATCTACTTCACCACTATCTTCTTCTTCAGTATCATACCCATAAAGCTTATGCCCGGCATTACTCGAACTGCCGATACGCTTAAGGTCATAAAGAAATGGTCCAAAATCAACTAACCAAAATGGATCAACTGCTGTAACGCATGATATATATTCCTTGTTTGTCATTAATAATTCATGATAGACAACGTATGGTGGAAGGTCACCCAAACCAAATAAGGCACTGGTTGGATGAAGATGAACATCCATACCAGTTTTTAAGTGTATATATTTTCCCAATCCAGAAAGTTTTGCAGCTTGATGTGAAAACCCCGAACATATGCACTTTCTTATAACATCCCAGTCACTGCCAGATGATGTCAAGGGTATATCCAATTTCTTCATTACCTTTGATAACTGGATTCTAATATCATTTGCTCTTTTCAGCGATCTATAATTTAAGAAATGTTTGGTACACCATAAATGAGAATAACGATTACTTTTCCATTGTGAAAATACATTTAATAAAGTTAAATGATCAGATTCTGGTACAAAAAATCTACTTCTGGCAGTGTCTGATTCTTGTTGTTGCTCTTTTGGCCTATTAAATATATTTGGTACTGATAGCATTGATACTATGATTAACATTTCTTGACTACATCCATTTTTAGAAGAAATTAGAAGAATCTTTGAAAGTGATGGAGGTAAGGGGAACTTTGACATTGTTTTACCTAACGAAGATAAATTACCGCTATTATCAATTGCACCGATGAACCAAAGCTCATACATAGATGCCAATAATGTTTGAATTGGTGGAGGATCTAAAAATGAGAAATTGAAAACATCTGTAATATTCAAAGACTTTAATAGAAGCAATGTATTGGATAAATTGGTTCTTTGTATCTCTGGAATAGTTTGTGTGTACATGTCTTCTCTCATTGTTTCTTCAGTATATAGTCGATATGCAGTCCCTGGCGCTGTTCTACCTGCTCTTCCTGACCTTTGGTTAGAACTTGCGATTGATATAGGTGCCATTACTAAACTATCCAAACCAATTTTAGGATTGTATACTTTAATTTTTGAATAGCCACTATCAATTACATATCTGATACCATCAATCGTCAGAGAAGTCTCAGCAATATTTGTCGAGATCACGATTTTTCTCTTTATGCCATGAAGATCTTGAAATATACGATTTTGAATGTCAGAGGGCAGTGCTGAGTATATTGGGAATATTTCAAAATCATTTTCATCAATGTCTTCTGTGTATTTCCGTTTCTTGGAAAATACTTCTAACAACTTTTCTTTTATGCAATCGGCGGTAGCCTCAATATCTTCTTGACCAGTCATGAAAATTAAAATATCACCACTTTTAATATCGGTAGATACATGTATCCGAACTGCTTCTGTCACTGCAGCGTGAACATAATCACCTACGGTATGCTTCGAGTATATTGTTTGAACTGGAAATGTTCTTCCAGGAATTTTAAAATGAGGTGCACCTCTGAAAAATTGTGAAAACTTGCTAGCTGATAAGGTTGCTGAAGTTATAATTAGTTTTAAATCTCGGCGCCTGACCAATAATGCTTTGAAGATACCTAATAAAATATCAGTATTAAGTGACCTTTCGTGAGCTTCATCCATGATGATACAACTGTAACGATCCAACTCACTGTCTACAAGTGATTCACGTAACAAAATACCATCAGTCAGAAATTTCAGTTTTGTACATTCAGACGTGACGTCTTCAAATCTTATGGAGTAACCAACTTCTTTTCCTACCTCTACGCCAATTTCATGAGCAACTCTAGTAGCAACAGACATTGCGGCAACTCTTCTTGGTTGGGTGCACCCAACTATCTTATTATTCTGACAGTAACCATCCTCAAATAGATACTGAGCAAGTTGTGTTGTCTTACCTGAACCTGTTTCACCAATTACTATAATAACCTGATTTTCTCTAATCATTCTTAATAAGTCATTTCTTGTTTTATAAATTGGTAGTGATCTTCTAGTAGCCTGTATATCTTCACTTATATCATTAAACGTTTGATCTATATTTGAGTCATTAGCTTTTTTCTTTTTGTTTTCGAAATGTTCCTTTATGCCCAAAACCTCACCTATCCTAGTACCAGTAATAGATGATGTTTCTTTATTCTTTTCAACATTTTGCCTATGTGCTCTTTTTTGAGCAACTAATAGACTACCTTTCTTTGCATTTAATGTAAAATCACTCTCTAAATTCTTATATGGACTCGCTATACCTTCATTAGAGCTTTGTAAAAGGGATCCTGCAACTGTTTCGCTAGAGACACCATGCTTTTCACCATATTGTTTTAAGAATGGTGGAAGCAAGTCTTTACGCTTCTCAATTGATAAAGTATTAACTTGAATTTCAGTATGCAAATTGTCATATCCATCTTTGTAATTGACTTTTGAGTTTGAAGTAAAGAAATCTTGCTCATCAGCGGCATTTTTATCATCCACTGCAATATTCCCATAATCGTCGTCATTATCATACCATTCTCTATCTTCTACAAACGTGTCAGAAATGTCTATATCTGATTCAATGTCATCCTCAATCCCACTACTCGAAACATTATCGTCTATATGTGTTTCCTGTACTTCTTGTTTGAATGTTTTAAACGTCGGTATACAAAAATTAGAATCCTTTGGGTGTTCAGTTATTAAAGGTGAACCTGAATCTGGTTTGGCTGGTAATGAAAACTCATTGAGTTTTTTGGCAGTACCTTTACCAATCTTTTTAAATTTTATTTTTGAAGAAGTACCCTTTTTATTGATATTTGGCTTTCCAGATAAATTTATACTATCTTCCTCATCCTCATCGTCGATATTGAATTTTTCCCAAGGTTTTAATTTAACTCTTTCTATTATCTTATTCTTTTCAATACCTCCACTTTGTTGTGATCTTAACTTCAGATATAAGTCATTAAGAAACTCTTGCTTACCATTAAATTTACCCAGAGCTGTGCAAGCCTTAACAAAATCTTGAGAGTTTTCTTTTTTTTCAGCTAGTTTCTTCAAAATATTAATAAAATTGACAGAAACATTTGATTCAGTGTTCAGTTGAACCAGTTCAATTAGCTTTCTAGTATCTGTATCATCCATTTCTTACCTAATTTAATGAATCAACTTATTTATTGCAATTTACTTTTTATTATCACGAAGTAGTTCCCCAGCATTCCAGCGAAAAGGGTTTAGGGTGCAACTTTACCAACTTATAACCTTCGAGTGACACTCTCTTAGCTCTCACTGGGTCTTAATTTGGCGTTTCTTTGACTCGATTGATGTTAATATATCGAGATGAGCTTGGTTTTAAGCTACGATATCGTGAAGTTATCTCTTAAGTATATATTCGTCCACAATGATATTGGTTTTTTAGAAGGCACGTGATATATAGCTTATATTGAACTATCTTGAACCATTGATTAACAGAACTGTCTCTATATTCAAGATATATATATATAACTTATTGAAACCTGATTGTGTACAATCCATTTCACTAGTGTCAGGATTTCCCTGATCCGATACGTCGACTTTGCTGCTGGCAAATGTAAATTGTCACTTCAGAGCTGGCAATAAGTTTCAATGTAGGAAGCTATATCAAAGGAACACAACATGGTCGACCAAGGTGTAGGTATATATATCTTGGAAATACAGTGGGTAAAAATGTAACCCTGATGATGAGTTGGTATGCATTTGGTTCATTTTCTTTTGGTTGGATCCTCTCAAGTTAAAGTGTCACTATTGGCAAAACTAGAATGCGGCTCTCATTGGCACTCGATGTTTCATATCCTTCGAAGTATAGATTTGAATTAAATCGTTAACAAGGCATAACAGAATATTTTAGACTCTGTAAAGAATTAATCTGGGGATTCCCCTGTGGTTCTCTTTTATCACTGGAGAGAGCAGTAATGATGTCACCTAACTAGATCAAAAGTATAGTGAGAAACCAAGGAGTATATTGGAAAGATGTAAGGTCCATGATCCTATAGTGTAAATGGCAATTTAAGAAGTCTTAATAACTAGACTGGAGTTAGTTTGGTTGTGATTGGGACCAGATTACTCTCAGAGAGACATATAATATATATACTATACGTTTGCCATTTGGTAGCGACGTGTAACTCTCACATATAAAATGTATTCGTTACCCGCACACTTCTCTAAAACTGAAATTGAAAAATTGCTTACAATAAGAAGACCTTCACTTTAAACAAGAACCCAATCTAAGCATCAAACCAATTATAAAATAGGTATTGATCTAATTGATTAGAGGCCTAGTTATCCAGGACAGGTGATTGGATTTAGCTCAATTGAGAGGTTTGGTTTGTCTCTAGTTCAACAGAAATACAAAATGTATAAAATTGTGAGAAAGTTCCATTCGAATGGTGTCCATTTTAAAGATTTATCAAAATTTGTAGATAAATCTACAAAGATTCCTACTTTGAAAAGTAGTCCCACATTATATAATCCTGTTAGTTCTTCTTCTAATTATAAAGGTTATTTGAGAGCCAAAGTAGAGCGTGGATTTTATTATCAGCCTTCTCAATCTTCTGTTACTGGTTCTATTAATAGTGAAACTATTCCAAGCTTGTTTTTAGCTAAGGATGATCCAAGAAAGAATATTGCTTCACATATCTCAGATAATGATCCTTTGAAAGCTGTTGATGCACCACCTGCATTGGTTGGTAAAAGTACATTGAGAGCAGAAGGTAAGACCTATCATTTGAAACCAGAACAAATAGAAGAAATTAAAAAATTGAGATCTCAAGATCCTGAAAAGTATACTAGAAAAGTGTTGGCAAAGAAGTACAATGTTTCTGCATTGTTCATCTCGTTGGTTGCATCTGCTCCAAAGGAAAGAGTACAAGAGATGGACAGAAGATTGAACGTCATTAAATCACAGTGGCATCCAAGAAGGGCTATCGCAAGAGAAGACAGAAAGAAAAGAAAAGAACTATGGTATAGAGCATAGGTTTGCACCTCCATACCACCCTTAATGAGATATAGTCCAATAAAATAATCTTCTAGACGTGTAAATAACTTATATAAATATGTGTATTCAATAATTATAAATACTAACGGGAATATATTCAAATAAAACTAAATTAAACAAAACTCAAACAGACATAAACATAAATATAAACATGAAATTGAAATATTACAAATTCAAATAGACACTACTTTGGTCGTCTATTTGATATTACATAGAGTATTTTGGCTGTGATCACCATGGAATTTCATCCATTATTTCATATTCCTCTTGAATTCGAAATAAAGTATCATTAAAGCCTCTTTCTTGATCTCTATTTTGAAACCTCAGCTCCAAAAGAACTTTTAAATTACAACTTGTCACCTTTATATGCATATAACGATGTCCCTTAGTGACAATATCATTTAATTTCTCAAACCCATCAATTAGATCAGTCTTACAAAAAGAAGTTACATCATTCCAATTGAAAATAATTTGATATCGAGAAATTGCCATTTGATTATCGTGCTCCAAATACTCCTGAATCATTACCATTCCTTGGAACAACAGACATCTCTCTTCGGAATGATCCTTGTTAGAACCTGTTACTAAATCTGGTGGTAGAACATTAAATAGTTTGGCTGTTTGAAATTTCCACAATTTGCCAACACTCAATTCCACCTCTCTACCAACAGACTCCAAACAACTCATTCAACTTCCAAACAACAAATAAATAAGTATAAATAATTCACACACTCGATCGAATAGGTTCTATTTTTATTTTCTTTTGCACTCTCTATTAAAACCTTGAAAAAACCTATATTCTTAACGGTTGATTACCCAATTTTGTTCCTATTTCCTTCAGATAAACCACTCTTTTTTGCCTAAAGCTACACATGAAACTAACCAACAATCTATAATGATCATCATAGGAAGCAACAGCTCCAATACCATCAACCCCAACTTCTTTTTTTTCTATAAACTGTTAGGTTCATCCCATCTCATCTCTTTTTGATATCAAATTTTTAAATATCTTAAAGCCTTTGACCCTTCAAAGTGAAAAATTATTTAAATACGTTTTAACCAATGAACTAACCAGTACTTTATAATTGAAACAGGATAGTAACAAGAGACAAGTAGTGCCAATAGGATACTCTCTAGTGATTGTTGGAATAGATATTTGTTCTTTTTCTTTGCTCTTTTTAAGATGGCTGTTTATGATAGTGATGATGGTTACAACGATGAGTTGCCAGCTTTTGAAGATGAAGCTGATTTTGATGATTATTTAAATGATGAAGAGTACGAGTTGATGAGTCAATTGTTTCCTAAAGCTAAGAAAGAGTTGGTTGATTATCAAGGTTGGAATAATTTATCAGTGAAATTGGCTATTTTCGATAATGATTTTAATCTTGACGAGGCTTTAACTCAATTGAAAAGACAATATAAGAAGAAAAAGCAGTCACAATCGCAATCACAAGTTCCTAGGAATGATGAAACAAAAGGTATGTTAAATTTTTATTATATTTCGTTATTTGGTTATATGTTTTTTTACTTTTGATGTATATTCACTGGATAATTTATGCAGAATGTGATTTCTCATTCTTCAATATTTCTGTTGCATCCTAAGTTAACGTTAGTATTCTTCTCAAGTTTAGAGATCTAGAAATTGTAAATGAACAAGTCGAAAACAACTTGACAAACTATATTTGTTCAAAGTGGAAAGAGTATGTGTTTTGGTTGCATTTCAATATCGAGAAATGTACTTTACGATACAAGACAGTTGAACTAATTTATTTTGCACATGATAATTGATGGAGAAGGAAAAATCAAGTTCTTTTACTGCTTTGAACTCGATATTAACATACATTATTCTCACATCCGTGCTATCATCGGTTTGTAATCTGGTTTTTTATTTAGAAGAAGTACCGCCAGTTGGAACTATGTCCTAAATTGGAGCTTCTTGCTAGACAACGAGCATTAAGAAAAAACTGAAGCTCCATTCTCAGGGAACATTTAGTGGTCAAGATCCAAATAAAAAGGAAAATCTGTTATCAAGATTACAAAAATCTCGAAAATCTCAAAATCCAAGTACTTCAAGTACTTCAAAAAGCAAGTTTGGCAGATAAATTAGAATTATTAAAAGGTAATCTTTCAAATGACAAGATAAGGTCTACTCCAAAAACTGATCTAGCTTCAAAATTAAGTAATAGGCTTGAAAAGAGAGACACTTCTAAGACTGCAAAATCATCGCTGGCATCGAAATTGTCAGCTTTGAAAAACTCTAACATAACAGCTAAAAAAGAAGATCAACGAACAATGACGAAGAAGATTGAAACTCTGGATACTAAGGAAGATATACCGGTAAAGGAATTTCCTAACATTTCTACTACTTGGGCTATTATTAAAAAAATGAATAGTGAGATAAATAACATTTTTTCACATAAGAATATTGACAATATTGGATTTTCAAAATTTATTGTTGATAATCACATAGACAACAAACCTTATAGAAATATTCAGAAGAGAAAATATGAGGAATTATTTTCTGCTTATTGTCCAAATAAAAGAATGACTACTAACAATAAAATCATTAATATAGGTCGTGAGAAAGCAATTTCTAACTTCAAGAAACCAAGTCCAGATGATGTCGTCTTGGAAGCACAATCAAAAGTATTTGATGAAGTCAAAAAAGATATTTCAAAATTAGATATCTCCAAAAATGAAAAAAATGGTGATTGGTTCCAAGAAGATGGCTTAGTTGAAGAGAGTAAGCAGGAGCCTGTTGTAAAAACTTACAAAAAAATTACAGTTCCAACTAAACCAAGAAATCCCGTCGATTTGAAAGCATACATTGAAAGCAACAAACCACACTGTACATTTGTTGTTTTAGGTCATGTCGATGCAGGTAAGTCTACTTTAATGGGTAGATTACTGTATGATATTGGTGCTGTTGATTCAAATCATATCAGGAAGTTAAAGAGAGAAAGTGAAAGAATTGGTAAAGGTTCTTTTCATTTAGCATGGGTTATGGATCAAACTACAGAAGAAAGGGAAAGAGGTGTCACTGTCTCGATTTGTACAAGTGACTTTGAAACCGATAAAATCAGATTTACTGTGGTTGATGCGCCAGGCCATAGAGATTTTGTTCCTAATGCAATCGCAGGTATCTCGCAAGCAGATGTTGCAGTATTGACAATTGATTGTGGTACTGATGCCTTTGAACATGGTTTTAACCTTGATGGTCAAACAAAGGAGCATGCATTGTTAGCAAGAAGTATTGGTGTTACTCATGTCGTTGTAGCTATGAATAAAATGGATAGTGTAGAGTGGGATAAAAGTAGATTTATGGATATTAAAAGCGAACTATCTATCTTTTTTGAAGATATTGGCTTTAAAGAAACACAAATTACTTGGGTTCCTTGTAGTGGTTTATCAGGTGAAGGTGTTCATAAAACACCATATCCGAGCTCCCAAAACTGGTATACTGGTCCATCATTAGTCGGTGAACTTGAAGCATCTGCTGAGAAGGTATGCAGTGTTAAGGCCCAAGAGGTAATGGAGGACCATTCCTATTTTCTACTTTAGAAGTTATTTCATCTAATAAGCATGAAGAAGCAGTAGTTTCAGGTAGGGTAGAATCAGGTTCTATTCAACCTGGAGAAACTATAACATTCTATCCATCAGAACAAAGTGTTCTGGTTGATAAGATTATTGCTGGAAGTTCTCAATCCAGCATCCCAGCAGCCTTCAAGAATGATTTTATAACATTGAAATTACGTCAAGCGCATGCTGAAGATATAGAAGGCGGTGATCTTGCTGCCTCTGTTGATTATAATATACCCCCATCCCAAGATTTTGAAATCAACATGCTAACATTTAACTTGGAAAGACCTATGCTTCCAGGTACTTCTATGATGATGTTTAGAGGTGTATGTGAACAGCCTGCTATGGTTAATAAGTTGGTTTCACTAGTTGACAAACATGATCCATCAAAAATAATTAAGAAAAAAGTGAGACATCTTGGTTCTAACCAATCTGCTATAGTAGAGATTGAGTTGACTGAAAAGAAAAGATGGATCCCACTATTATCGTTCAAACAAAACAGACACTTAGGTAGAGTCGTTTTAAGAAAGGATGGTAAAACAATTGGAGCCGGTATTGTGATTTAAATAATGACAATTAGATTGATAGATAATATAGAAACCCATATATATTTATATATTATTAAATGCTATTTTATTCATGTTTATAACTTATTTATCGTTATAGATGGTATATCTACTCAACCTACATAATCAAGGAGTAAAATGAATAATCCCAGTAATATTGCCATATATGTAGTCATTTTAGCTGTTCTTCCAGCTGCCCTTTTGGCTTTTGTTAATTGTTTATTACCTTCTTGGATATTAACCTCTATAGTATCTTGGTTATCCAAGATGTTATTTATATTTTGTGATTGTTCTTGTAAATGGGAAGCCAGCTCGTTTTGAATAGTCGCAATCTCCAATATTGTTTTATTAATATTTTCAACCTTCTTCAGCTGATCATTCTTATGATTCAGCAGTTCTTCATGTTCTGTTTCCAACAATTGAATTTGTTCTTGCGTTAGTTTAGAAATAGTTTCTTCGTAATGTTTCACTTCGTCTTTGGTGGTTTCTAATGGTTGGCTTTGAGTCACAGAAACAGATACAGGAGAATCGATTTCTAGCTCAGAAGGAATAGAATTAAATATTGGTTCATCGAATTTCCTTTGAGAATCCAATCTTTCCTGCTGCATTGATGTAAGCTTATTTGAAACTGAATTTAACCACATATTCAATGATTGAAGTATACCTGATCTAAACTCGTTGTTAGAACGATGGAATAAGGTTACCTTGTCAGAATTCTTACCTTGAAGGAAGTATACCATGTTGTTTTTCGAGGATAAAACTTCATCTTCAATTAACTTCTGTCTTTTCTGTTCATAGTCCTGCAAATGTTTAAACTTTTGTACATATTTTTGCAATTGCAATCTTAATTCTGTGTCAATATCATCCTTCTCATTCTCAGACATCCCACTCTCATTCCTATATTCTTGTTCAACCACTCTCAGTACTTTACGGAGCTCAGAAGAAACTTTCAATAAATCACAACACTCCTTAATAAAAGAATCATCCAATTTCAACTGCATAGCATTGCGAGAACTCTCATTTGACGTCAATCCATCGTTAACAGACTTGTCTAAACTTTCATTGATAACTTCAACGTACTTATTAAATAAAGGAGTTAGGTTCGACATATCTCTAAAGCTTTTATCCACCAAAACTCAACTAAAAATGAAGCTTCAAAAACAGTAAAAAAGAGAAAACAAATTCAAATGAGCATGTACTACAAGTCACAGACCCTCTAATCACTGTCAACTTATGTGTATTTATCTTCAACACCTTCAACTTCTTGTTTAAAGTTGATTCTTGTCCTTATATTGGTTCGATCTTTGCAAAATTTCAAAATCAATTTTTTATATGCTTCAAAAAGGGGTGACGCGTAAACGCGTAAACTTTAATTTGCATTTGAATTTGAATATTTAACATTTTGAATTTTAGTACTTAAAGATGAGGTTAATCTCTGGAGTAGAAGTGTCATTTGAAGTTTCATAAGTAGCTGATCAAGCAAGGTTGACAAACTGATTAGTCTACATTTGTATTTGTGATTGAAATTTAGAATTTGAAGGAATTTGCAAGAATTTGAAGGAAATGACAGGCGTTAATAGTACAGAAGTTGTTAACAATGAAGAGTTACAATATTTAAATTTATGTCAAAGAATTATTGATGAAGGTGAAGATAGGCCTGATAGAACTGGGACAGGTACTTATAGTATATTTGCTCCTCCTCAGTTGAGATTCGATCTTTCTGGTGATAAATTTCCCTTGTTGACTACCAAGAAAGTGTTTACCAAAGGTATTATTTTAGAGTTACTTTGGTTTATAGCAGGTTGCACAGATGGTAAGAAACTGTCTGAACAAGGTGTTAAGATTTGGGAAGGTAATGGATCTCGTGAGTACTTGGATAGCTTAGGTTTGACAGATAGACGTGAAGGTGATTTGGGTCCTGTATATGGGTTCCAGTGGAGACACTTTGGTGCAGAATACAAGACTTGTGAAGATGACTATACTGGTAAAGGTGTTGATCAATTACAAGAAATTATATATAAGATTAAGAACAATCCTTATGATCGTAGAATTATTATGTCTGCTTGGAATCCGCCAGATTTCCCAAAGATGGCATTACCACCATGTCATGTTTTTTGTCAATTCTATGTTAACTTCCCAAAAGATGGCAGTAAACCAAAACTATCGTGTCTGTTATACCAAAGATCCTGTGACATGGGCCTAGGTGTCCCATTTAATATTGCATCATATGCCTTGTTGACTAAGATGATAGCACACATATGCGATATGGAGGCAGGTGAATTCATTCATACCATGGGTGATGCGCATGTCTACAAAGATCATATCGAGGCTTTACAAGAACAAATGTCCAGGACTCCAAGAGAATTTCCAAAACTGAAGATCAAGAGGGACATCAAGGATATCAATGACTTTAAGTTTGAAGATTTTGAAATTGTTGATTATCATCCTCATGGCAAAATCCAAATGAAGATGAGTGTCTGAATAAGAGGTAGATTAATTAGGTTCATATATATTTGATTATGAATACGGAATATTGTTCTAAATGTGCATGAGTAACTACGTAAATTTAAATAATTTAATTCAATTTAATTTAATTCAATTTGATTAAAAAACTTTATAATCTTTTGTTATAGTTTCTATAAGTTTTTGGAGCTCTCTTAATATTGGAATTCCCCATAAAATCAAACACAGATAAATCTTCTTCTTGTAATCTAAAGGAATTTTCATTTGATAGTGAGTTCGAGTTTTCATTTGAAGTGTGTAATAATTCGTCATTAATATTGTTTATAATTGGTTTTTTAAATAATTTTTTTGTTTTAGCCTTAATTCTAGAGGTATTATGAATATTTGTGACATCTTTTAATACCAGAGGTGCTGTTGACGCCATTTGTGGTGGTGGTAGTGGAGGTGGTGATGTTGTTGCTGTTGTTGTTTCTGTTGTTGTTGTAGCTATATTTGGTTTGATAATCGGCGAGGTGTCGATCTGTTGAGATAGTTTCCTCTTGGATTTTGTTGAAACTTGTAAATCATGGATATTGGTTACGGTTGTTGCATCTACAAATTTTTCAGTGGGTCTTCTCATTTTAGCTCTTAGAGAAGGTAATGTGTAGTCCACAGTTTTACCTCTTGTTCTTTTTGAACGCGGATTTGTAGTAATTAATGAATTTGGCATTATTTCGTCAACTATTAAATTTCTGTTTTTTCTTTGTTTCATAGAATGTTTAACCTTTTGGGAGGGCAAAGGAGAATTATCATTAAAAACATTCAACTTTTGTGGTTGTGAGTTTAGTAGTTGTTGATGATCTTCCTCTGGTATAGAGCAATCGATCAATGCCATAGATTCTTGTTCTACTTCCACCTCTGCCTCTGCCTCTGCCTCTGGTTGCTGTTCTTGATCTTGATCTTGTTCTTGTTCTTGTTCTTGATTTTGATTTTGATTTTGATTTGTATCCTCTTCTTGCTCTTGCTCCTTCTCTTGTTCTTGTTCTTGTTCCTGCTCTTCTTTATGCATAGATTCTTGATCAAAGACTATCTCTTCTTCCTGTATTGGCTTTTGCTCATGCAATTGTTTTGCTTCGACCTCAGTGATATTGGATTGTTCAATTACTATAGATTCTCTTCTTGAACTTTTCAATCTCTTCCTTGGAGTAATTGGCTGATTAGAAACACTATTTTCTCTAAATCTTTTAAATATACATAAAATCTCATCAAATCTTTGTACCACACCCAATTGTAAAGCATCCAAATCTTGCAATACAGTATTGCGTGGTTCTTCATTTACCTTAGTATGCTTGTAGAAATTCAAATCCGAACGTAAGGACACATTTTCTCTTATAAGTTCAGTTAATTTTGATTCAATTTCATTAAGTTTCATAGAGAGCAATGAATTAGCTCTTGCCAATTGTGAATTCTGTATCGAGTAGCCCAGCTTTATCTCGTTAAATTTTTCATTCTGTGAGTCCATAATGTTCTGCAGTTCCTGTATCTGCAAACTATTACCAATTGTATTCATGCTAATATTGTTGTTGTTGTTTTTCGTCACAGCTGGTGCAATTGGACCAGCTGTTGTGCCAGAACTCGAGTTAACACCCAGCACACTACCACTCGATCTTCTCCTTACGCTCTTTGCCATTAGCAGTTGCCCTGATGGATATTCCTGGTCTTCTTCTACCCTCAATGGCTCAAACTCATCTATTTGAGTCTCTTGTTTATTTATATAAACAATCAAAACTTCTGAGAGTTCAATTTTCTTTTTTGATTGCCGCCACAAATAAAGCCGAATTACCCGGACCACGTGAGTAGGGTAACGTGAGCATGTGACTTCTATTACTTGTATGGCTCTGTATGTGTCTGTCTTTAATGAACTATATGAGTATATAAGACAAGTAATTCTACAGTTGTGAATGTATTGACAATACGACAAGTGGATCAGTAGTTTTGTATCAAATAATTCCACTTGTTTGCCACGATTATAGCCATTAGTTTATAGTTGTACAGAGTTGGGCCATAAGAGACTAACTGTTTAGAGCTTTTACCCGGACTGTAACGTATGTCTCTGCTAGCGCCTCCCTGACTAGCAAACATGTGAACGATCAGAAGAATAAATAAGATTATTTAAAAACAATAACAAGCAATGCAATACATACAGACTCATTGATCATAAGAGTTGACGTGAGCTATACATAGATATATATATCAAAAGGGTCACTATTTTGTATTAGTTCACCGCTTCTTGATGTAACTATGTCCGCTGTTCAGGCCAAACGTGCAGAATTGGACTATCTCAGGAAGATCACTGCTTTGACAGATACTTTAAAATCACAATTGGATGAATTATCTGTTCAAGTTAGTCAAATGAATAACAATGCAAGTGTAGTGGAACAGATAATGGAAAATTGGAATTCAATATTGAGATCCATATCTCAGGCTAGTTTGTCTCTTCACAATTACTCTCAAGGTGATTACCAAGTAGGTGCTTGGAATGAAAATGATGATACAAAAGATGAAAACCCTCCACTACCTGGAACTCTTTTACGTATGAGAGTTGATGGAGATACAACCAATGTAGATTAATGTTTATAAGTATACATTCGTTAATACAAAGATATATATATATATATAGATGATATTGTGTAATAGTAATATTTAATGTTTAATATTTAATATTCGATACTTTTGGTTTCGTAATTTATAGTACATTCATTTCCGGTACTCTCGTTAGCACTGCCAATTATTGTGCTTAATTGTGACTCTAAAGTGTCTCCAATTCTTATTAGATCATGGTATTCTCTTTCGATTGAGTCGCTAATTGAAACCAATACATTATTATCGTTACCATAGATTATACTCAAAAAATTCATGCTGATGCCAATACGATCCATTAGGAACGATACAAACGGTAACTTACAATCGTACTCATATAATTTCCCTTCAAAATATTTAACCAATAACTGATATATTTTGCTATTCTCGCCTTCTAATTGAATAACACCGTCTTTGCTTTCTTCGATAATACAACGTCTCCAGATGCTCTGTTGGAAATATTTACTGACTTCATATCCTAATGAATGTCTATAGATGCAAGTTAATTTTAAAGCTTCGTAAAGATTTTCAACACTGTCCATCATGCTCAACATATCAATTATATATTTGATATTAATTGACTTGTCATTTTGAATGCAATATTTTGTCTCTTGGAACTTTTCACCAAACTCGTTATTGGCAAATGCTTGATTCATTGATATTCCTGTAGGGTCTTCTTCCAATAATTTCTTAATTCTTGTTTGATGATCAATTGTGTCGATATCGCGCTGGATTTCAATCATTTGATTGGCATCAAAATTCTCATCAACTAATCCACTCAGTTTTGCTATGTTCAAATGTAATTGCCTTTCAGAAATTTCACAACCATCCCCTGCTTCACCAACACTTAAAGTTGTTAAAATATCAGATGCCTTTCTATAATCATTATCGATTATTTCTTGTATCCATGCATATTTATAATATTTTGGTGGGGAACTTAAAAGGAATTTATTTAGCAAATCATGATGATTAGGGAATTTGAAGAACAATGCCTTTAAGTCCTTTGCATTTATATAATATTCAAACAAAATTGTAGCAAATTCATACCCAAACATTTTGAAGTATTGATCGTATAATTCTCTCGATATTTCAAAATCCAATTTCTCTAATATTTCGACCAATCCGCCTAAATCATGGTAGAATTCACAGATTTGCAATGCTTCTTCGTGAACACCAATATTGCACAATACATGGATCCAATTAGCATGGTTATCGTTATATAAAGCTTCCACTTCCTTGTATTCCTCAGTTTCAATTTGTTTCATTGATTTATGCCAGATCATATTTTGGTTTATAACATAATACAATAGTTTAACAACTGTTAGTAAGCGCTGTTTATTTTCGACACTTAAATCATTGTCAGGGAATATAAAGGAGAAGAAAATGTTATTCATGGCTTTGATATTGGTCAAATTTGTGAACCACATTGGCTTATTGTCTAATTCAAGTGGATCTAGTTGTAATGCATCATATCTAATGGATTTTTCACAATTTTCTAATACAGCATCGTAAACACAAGTTATTAGTAGATCTACAATTTTAACTTTTTCTTCAACATCATTGAAACCTACAATCTTTGCTGATAAATCATTTAGAAATATTGTGAATAATCTTGGAAATTCATCTAACTTACCTAAAACGAATTCTTCTAAACTAGAGTCATTAAAAGAGTTTAAAACTAAATCTCTCCAAATATTTGACAAAATAGCTTTATCGGAGATATATTTGAATAATGCTAAACAACATTTTAAGATGCTAATTTTTTCGATTAAATATAATTTAACAGTTGGAGATATTTTGTAATTGAAATTTATTTTAGTGAATTCAATCAAATTGTTAAAATACTCTATTCTTAGATTCAAATGTTGTTCTAATGTATTGAGCATTGGTGGTATATAACTGCCTGTAGAATAAAATATTTCATCACATGAAGTTTTGATATCATTTTCTATATCCGTGGTATCCAGTGATAGACTTTCAGGTAAATTAAATTCGATAGGATTTGAAGTGATTGTCGAAAAATATACTGCTTGGTCAATATGAGATTTAACAAAGCTGACTAGTTCTAATTCTTGGTTATTGTTTGAGTGGGAAGCAATCTTTAACACACCCATATCTTTACAAATGACATAGATAGAGTCTGTGCTATAGCCAGAACCAATAATTTCTACATCTTTATTGAATCTGATAATATCTTCCCATTTTCTTCTTAAAGGAAAACTTGAATCTAATTTTGAACTGATTTGGGTCATTACGACTGCATTATTAAATAATACGTATACTGATAGAGTTGGACTAACAATAGAATCCAGGGCATTTGGTATGAATAACTGTGGCTTATGGTTCAAATCTACTGTTGATTTTGTGAAATAGGTGTTTAGTTTATAAATGGAGAAGATTTGGAAACTATTTGTCTTTTCATCTAAAATGACGGTAATCATCAGGTAATAAATTTCGTTACCGTTTGAAATTGATGCTAAAGTTAAATGAGCTGAAGAAGTATCAGAGTATATTGGATGTGAATCTAAAAATGCTAGAGTACCATGGGCAAAAGGGTATAAATCTTGTAATGAATCTAATACATGTTCATAAATATTAATTTCCAATCGTTTAAAGGATTTTGAGTTTATTGATAATTGCCAAATTTGTAAAGAACCACCTCTTGTAGTGATGTATAGTAATCTTTCACCTTTTCCTACAATTGGACCCTTTTTCAAAGATATAATTTCTTTAGATGAATCTAAATTTCTAAAGAAGAAACTATTCTGTGGCTTTATTAGTTGTTGTTTTAATTCAAGTTTCGGTTTACCTGTTGAGTCCTTTATGGTGATAAATAGGACACGGCCCAATGAAGTAGCAATGATAATTCCCGAAGGTTCACAATTGATGGTCGAAGTGATATTTTCATTATCTTTTAATTTTAAATCCAACACATGAGCCTTTGATTTTGATAGTTTTGTATATAAATTGTTAATAGTGCTTATATCTTCGAAATACAAGAACTGACTATTTTTTTTATTGATGATACAAATACCGTTATTAAATTTTCCTGAGTTGATATTACCACTGGCATTGTTGTTGTAGTTTGCGGTGTCGTTATTAGTTGAAGAAATGGAAGAAGTGAATAGACAAATAGGAGGCGAACTCAAAACAGAATAGTCATCATGTAACGAGATTTTACAAATGGGAGTGTCTTTTTGAATTGAGTTGTAGTTCCATATATAGATATGGTCTAGATCGTTTACTAAAGCTTTTTGCAAAGCAGTATCCACCAAACCTTCGAAATGGTGAGTATCAATGGTATTATTATTACCATTACTGCCAGGTAGAAACGATAGATCGGTAGATAGCTTAGTCACGGAATATTTTTCAGTTTCAGTTAAGATCTTTGTATTACCATATTTATTATTTGAAGTGTATGGAGAGGAGAAGTTTGAATTGGCCGACGAAGGCAGCATGATCAGATCCTCTGTAGTGTTTCTGTCTGATAGATCATCGTCGATAGAAGAAAGTTTGTTATCGGTAGAGTACAATTCCTTTCTCAATTGGAACAAAGAGTTACCACCATCGATATTCATTGTCTGGAAGTAATGTTTTGAGATTTATTTGAATTGGAGTCGGAAATGGTAGAGAAGGGTAAAACCGGTTAGATGAGATGAGGTGAGATTGTGGTTTCTGGATAGCTTGAATATGATATGTGTGTTCCCAAAATAGTTGATTGTGGTTAAAGGCCTGCTGGTTGTTTTTAACATTAGTTTGATCAGTTTTGTGTTTAAATTTACAAAAATTTGGGATGCCCACAAAATATTTTTTGGTGGTAGAGAGAGTTTTTTCTCGTGTTGTTCGTACGACGGCATATGCATATGAAATACAGAATGGGAGAAAAGCAAATTTGGGCACGTGATGACTACAATAAAAAATGAAGAGTGGGAAAAGAGTTGGAGGTAGGGTAACTGTGCAGGTGAAGGTGTTTCTGTTGTTTCTGTCTCTGTCTCTGGTTGAGCCCACCCAGACCAGACCAGACCAGACTGGGCCAAGAAAGAACCATTTGGGAATTGGAATGGCAACCACCTCACATGGGTGCAACTGTCATAGGATCACCAACACTCATATTCTCATTCCCACAACAACTCATTGAGGTAATGCTCTCTTGTACTGTTGTATAGCATCCATTGGTTTCTATGACTCTACACGTGATTCGCATTAATGAACGTCTGTTCTTCTCAACGCGTAAACGTGATATCCACGTGATACGTCCCGGGTAACTCCCCAACAGTAAAGAAAATTTTCCTCCAAAATTTCATCGGATTCGATTCGAACTGCAAAGAAATCACATTTTAATTAAAAAAAGATGCGATGAGATGAGATGAGATGAGATGAGATGATTTTAAGATGTATCTTGTTCTATATATGTAAATAGAATCACATTGGTTAAGTTCCCACTGATATTAAACCAACTGTAAGGTACTGATACTGCTATCGCTATTGCTGCTGGGGAAAACACAATGATCAGAACTGTTAAACCGAAAAATGCTAGAGCTAAGAGAGCTCTAGAGAAAAAAGAAGCAAAACTAATTGAAAATGTTAAAAATGCTTTGTTTGTTCCAGGTCAAACTTCAAATAAACTGTTACATGATGTCATGGTAGACTTGAGTGCTTTGAAAAAACCTAATATGAAAAGATTCGACAGGAAGAACGACATCCATCCTTTTGAAGACTATTCAAAATTAGAATTCTTCAGTGAAAAAAATGATACTTCTTTAATGGTATTGGCTACAAATTCCAAAAAACGTAAGAATAATTTGACCTTCGTACGTACTTTTGGTTTCAAGATTTACGATATGATCGAACTAATGATCTCTGACAATTACAAATTATTGTCAGATTTCAAGAAAAAAACTTTTACAGTAGGTTTAAAACCAATGTTTGTCTTCCAAGGTTCTTCATTCGATACTCATCCGGTCTACAAGCAGATTAAATCTTTGTTCTTAGATTTCTTCTCTGGTGAAACTACCAATTTACAAGATGTAGCAGGTTTACAACATGTCATCACATTAACTGTTCAAGGTGACTTCCAGGAAGGTGAATCTTTACCTCCTGTACTATTCAGAGTTTACAAGTTGAAAACTTACAAAAGTGAACAAGGTGGTAGAAAATTACCAAGAGTCGAACTAGATGAAATTGGTCCTCGTTTGGATTTCAACATCGGTAGAATACATACTCCTTCTCCAGAATTAGTTAAAGAAGCTCACAAGAGAGCTAAACAATTGGAAACTAAATCTGTAAAGAATGTAGAAAGGGATCAAATGGGTGACAAGCTAGGTAGAGTCCATCTAGGTAAACAAGATTTGAATAAATTGCAAACCAGAAAAATGAAAGGTTTGAAATCAAGATTCGATCAAATCGATCCGGAAGAAGAAGATTACTTAAACGACAGCGAAGAAGAATTGAATGCTCACAACAACGATGACACTTACGGTGAAGACTTCGTCACCGCAAATGATGACGACGACGGTACTGATGCTGACAAACATACTGCTAAAAAGCAAAAACGTTAAATCAATCATATTTAACTCTCCATCTTCCTTCCCATTAGATATATTTTTAAACCATGTATAGTATAAAAAGATTTGTTAATTCAATAGACAAAAAAATATAAAGAGAGAAACAGAGACAGATAAGTCAATCTGATAGCTTGAAATTCAATTGGCTGAGATATAAATCTATATATCCACATTAGTATTATTAATGTACCTTAGTTATTACTTGTTCTTATCATTACCTTCAATACAGAAACAAAGCCTGTAAATTTATAACTCATAGTACCGATGAAAAATGTTGGTACAATTAAAAGCATATGTAATGAACTAAACCTTTAATTGAATGGAATCTTTCTGAACAGAAAATAAAGGTGATAGTTGATTGCTTTGAGAGCTGTCAAGGTTGCTATTTGTTATATTTGGTTGTGTGTATAAAGTCAACTTTATTCTGTTGGGCTTTATTTTGTTATTTTCTAGGAGTTATAGCTATAATATTTTATTGTTGTTATTATTACTGCTGGCACTAGTGCTATTATTATTTTGATTTAATCCAGATATCTTGGGATAATATAGCTATCACTTGTTTTTGGTGATTATCAGGGTATACAGATTAACAAAAATTCGATATAATTATAATTTACACTTACGTCGAGGTATAATAACAATCCAAGAGAGGAGGGGAGATTTTAAGTCATGGGATTGAGAACTACATCTAAGGAAATGGATCAAAAGAGTCAAGCAGGTCCTTCAGGTTCTAATAAAAGTTCTGTTAGCTTAGTTAGTTCTTTAATGAGATCTTGGAAGATTACGTCAAATCCATCATCTCAAAAATCTTCGAACTCAAATTCAAATTCATATTCAAATTTAAGTGGGAATAGTAGTGGAGATAATAGATTGAATAGTGGGAATTTCGATGCCATGTCTAAACAGCAAACAGCTGCTATAAAGTCTTCGAGTTCCTATTCTCCCTTGAGATATAGCACTCCTGTTAGTGGTATCTCTGTTGGAGAAAGTCCTAGACCATTACTATACAGTAACCATAGAAATGGAGATCATGAAAGTAGCATTAAGAAAGATGCCTATTTTAAAGATTTAGATGAAGATTGGAGTGCAGTCATTGACGATTATAATATGCCAATTCCAACTATTGCTAATGGGGGTATTTCAAGAAGTAATTCGGATAATTTAACTTCAACCTCTTTATCAAAGGCATATGATCCATCTTTACCTTTATCAAGGAAAGTGACAAACAATTCAATGAAATCAAGTTCTTCTTTGGGCACAAATATAACTCAACAGGGCACTGCTCAAAGTAGTCATAATTTATCATATCCACAATTACCTCAATTACAAAAATCGGTAACTTCAGAATTAAAATTGCAATTGGAAATGGAAAACGAGAGGGAGCTACAAAAGATAAATTCAATTATGCAACGTATAACTAAATTTGATTGCATTGTGAGTGATAAAAAAATCATTAATCAACAAGAATTAAGGCAAATTAGTTGGAATGGTATTCCTAGCATTCATAGACCAAAAGTTTGGAAATTATTAATAGGTTATTTGCCAGCAAATACAAAAAGACAAGAATCTTTAGCTAGGCGTAAAAGACAAGAATATAAAGATGGTATTAAACATATATTCACGGAGGAACATGCAAGGGACGTACCTACCTGGCATCAAATTGAGATAGATATACCAAGAACAAATCCGCATATACCTCTTTATCAATTTAAATCGGTTCAAAATAGTCTGCAACGAATATTGTATTTATGGGCTATTAGACATCCGGCAAGTGGTTATGTTCAGGGTATAAATGATATAGTAACACCCTTTTTCCAAACTTTTTTGACTGAATACTTACCACATTCACAAATTGAGGATGTCGAAAAACTAGATCCAGAATCATATATGACTGAAGAACAAATTGGAGATGTAGAAGCTGATACTTTCTGGTGTCTAACTAAATTATTGGAACAAATAACAGATAATTATATTCACGGTCAGCCTGGTATTCTGAAACAAGTTAAGAACTTGTCACAGTTAGTAAAGCGTATTGATGTCGATCTATACAATCATTTTGAAGCAGAACATGTCGAGTTTATTCAATTTGCTTTTAGATGGATGAATTGTCTGTTGTTGAGAGAATTTAATATGAGCGCTGTGATCAGAATGTGGGACACTTACCTTGCAGAGACATCTGTGGAAACTAGTTCAGGATCATCAACTACTTTTCAATCGACTGGTGCGGCAGGAACTGGATCAGGAGAATCTAATCCGCATACTCCATTGCAACCTACTAATCCTACATTTCAAACACCAGGTTCAGACTATCATTCACCTTCCAGTCACACTAATGCTTCATCAAAAAATATTTCAAGTGGTGAGAATAACAGATTGAGATATTCCTCCCTAAATGAATTTCATGTATTTGTCTGTGCAGCATTCTTGATAAAATGGAGTGATAAGTTGATGGATATGGACTTTCAGGAAATTATTACCTTCCTACAAAACCCTCCTACTGCAGAGTGGAACGAAAATGATATTGAAATGCTCCTAAGTGAAGCTTATATATGGCAGTCACTTTATAAAGATGCAACATCACATTGGCAATAATATACTTCAAAAATTCTTAGGATCAGTACATATTACATAGTATATCTAATACATAATTTCTTATCAAATTAAGATATATACATCTCAAACACTGCTGATATATTTATCTCAAGTATTCAATTTTGATAACTAACTTTTTTTAACGAAATTGCCCGTTTGTCAATAAATGTCATTAATGTTACAAGCTTTCCTTATAAAATTGTTCCCAAATTTCTAATTTTTTATGTTGGATCAAAATTGACAACTCCACAAAGTTTAGGATCTTAGCCTTAATACTGATGAACTTATCAAAATTAAATCTTATTAGTTCCTTTTTGATTTCCTTACCTATTTCATTCCATTTGTATTTTATTCTCTTATATCTATTCTCCAGTAATAGGCATTCATCTTTCATCATATCTACTTTTTTAGCATTTGTAGTGGCTAGAGGTGAGCCTTCAGCTTTATGTACTCTGGTTCTTAATTTCAAGTAGTCATCTTCGACTATTATTAGATAATAGCCAAGTTTGTCCCTTTGGTTAAATATTGCTTTTAAGCTTAATATGGACCTCACGTAGTAGTCTTGGATCATGCATAGTTTAGGTAAATCTCCAAAATTATAATTCTTTAATATCTCATTAAGTTCTATATGAGCCCTGGAAAACTTGGAAAGAAGTATATTTGACTTTTCAAGAAGCTCCGAAGGAGATAGTAGTTGTAATGAATCTGAAAACTCTTCGATTGATTTTAATATTTCTCTATCTCCTAAGTCGATCAAGTCGAGTGATCTGTATAATTGTTTCAAATGCAATTCTAAAATATCTATTTTCTGTTTCTCTTTTTTCAACGTTTCATCTGTTTCTCTATACTTCATAGGTGATATGAATGTTATATTCATAAATGAGGAAGAGTACTCTGAGTCGATACCTCCTTCCCGTATTACCAATTCTGCGTCTTCTTTTCCTAGTAATTTTATTTCACTGATGGCTACCTCTGACAAATCGCTGCTGTCATTTGAAGCGTAGGATCCAGAGAGACGTTCTAATATTCTTCTTTCATTAAAGAAATCAACACTAGTCAAAAATGAGATGAAAGCGTCGTCCTTTTGTAGCACAGGGTCATTTGCAATATCACGTAACATCAGTTCGAACTGAGATCTCCTGTATTCAATAAAATTTACTTGGAACCTGCCAATTATCTGTTTTTCAGGAGGTGGAGGTACTACTCTTCCCCAATGGTTGCTTTGTAGCTGACGATATAGCCACCTCACATCGGAATATCTTCTATACACGCTTGAAGAGTTTGGCTCTAGTAAAGGTGATTTTGAAGTTATTAGATACTCGACATGAGCAGAAGTCATATCGCCCACTTTTATTGGATCAGTAACATTTATGATAAAATCTACTGGTGCTTCGACAATTTCTTCTTCTTCACTACCAGAAACCATTTCTCTTTTGTTCTTAACATGTTCACTCAAACTGCTTTCTTGATCTTCATTTATCGAAAGTTCCAACTCATCAGTATTACTATGGCTAATGTCATTATTATTCTTGTTTGGCAAACTATCTAATAATATCAGTTTATCAATTTTTTTCTTTGGAGATAGAGGATCGTCTACTTCAGAGATATCATCCTTCGAAATGCTGTTGTCATCAGAATTCTTGTTCCTCTGATGTGAAGATCGACTATAGGTGAACAATACATTTCTTTTAGAACTTTTTGATAACGAAGAAGACGATACTTTTCTATCTTTCAAAATATTATTCGATTCAGTATCTAACTTCAAGGGAAATATGTCATCACCTTTGCCAACATCACCGAACAAAGGCTTATTCTCGTCAACAGAAGTGATCTCTACATCAACTCCACTAATATCCAAGCTGCTCAAACTGGGAGGGGCCAATTGATCTATCAATTTTTTATCCTCCTCACCTTCAAGTGTACCTTTCAGATCACTAGTATCCGGATGATCGCCCCACAAATACAGCTCATCGTTACCATGATCATTACTATTGACAACGGTACCAGAATCAATATCGACTACATGATCTAACCCTTCAGTCTTGAGCCCCAAAGAAGTAGAACCCATGCCAAAACTCCCAAACTCTAAATCAACCTTCCTATCACCATTATAACGCTGTTTCTTCTGCTCTACTATATTAGGCTTACCTGTGCCCAGCTCATCCCATACAGGTGCTGTTAAATCATCTTCAAATTCCATCGGACCTCCAAATTAATCAGCAATATATCTAATACATTAACAACAATCTAACACCACCAAATTCAAACCCTAGACCAAACTTATAGTCCCTTAATCCTTCTCTATTTGTCGATCTGATTTCTGATGTGCATTTCCTTTAAATTATCCAACTTTTAATATCTAAAGCCTTTAAATATCGAACTTTGAAATATTTTAAAGAATCATCATTCTGATCACATTTTAATGTTAAATAATGGTTGTAAAAGAGGTAGATATGCTGAAGGAGAGTTGTTGAAGGTGGATTTGAATTGTTGTAGTTGCAGTGTGTGTGAATTTATAATGTCTGATATTGATACTAAGGAGAAATTGACATTAGAGGATGACGGTTCTGAGTTTGAAGTTGCAGTTGGAAAACAGCAACAACAAGAACATAAGCAACAGCAGGAATTGAGGATGAATAGGAAGAGTAAGAATGGTGAAGTTAAGGAGAGGAAATATTCTTTATGGAACTTTTGGTTAAGTTCGTTGTGTTTGAAACTTTTGTTATTTCCTGATTATTATAGTACTGATTTTGATGTTCATAGGAATTGGATGGCTATAACAAATGCTTTACCGATTAGTAAGTGGTATTTTGAGAATACAAGTCAATGGACATTGGATTATCCTCCATTTTTTGCTTACTTTGAATGGTTTTTGTCACAATTTGTTCCAAAGATAGTTCGTGATGATGGCTGTTTAGATATTGTAGAGGTTGGTCAATTTGGTTGGCCAACTGTCGTATTTCAAAGACTAACTGTGATTATCAGTGAAATCTGTCTTTTTGCTGTTTTACAGTATTATATCAATACTAGTAATTTGAATGAAAGAACTCAAAGTTTTGTAGTGGCATCTTCGATTGTTTTATCACCTGGATTTTTAATTGTTGATCATATTCATTTCCAATATAACGCATTTTTATTTTCGATTTTAATTGCTTCAATTGTTGCTGCTAAGCAGAAGAAATACATTGCTTGTGCTGTCTTCTATACCATTGCTTTATGTTTTAAGCATATTTTCTTATATTTGGCACCATGCTATTTTGTCTTTCTTTTAAGGGCGTATGTATTGAACTTTAAAGATTTTAAGTTTAAAAGTTACAAAGATTTGATATTTATCGTTCAATGGAGAAGATTGCTTAAGTTGGGTTCTATTGTACTTGGTATCTTTGGAATTTGTTTTGCTCCTTTCATTTTCCAAATGCCTCAAGTTTTGAGTAGACTTTTCCCATTCTCTAGAGGTTTAACCCATGCTTATTGGGCTCCAAATTTTTGGGCTATTTACTCATTTTTGGATAAAATTTTGGCTGTGGTAATGTTGAAATTCCCTTACGTTCATAGATTTATTTCAAAATTCATTTCTTCTCCTTTGATTCCTTCATCAATTGCTGAAATAAAATTGAGAATGGAGGAAAATAACAATGGTTCTAAAGGTTTAGTTGAGGATGTGTTCTTTGTTATTCTTCCTCAAATCCAACCAAAATTAACATTCTTGTTGACATTATTCTATCAAATTTTGGCTGTCATCCCAGTCTTATTCAATCCTTCTTTCAAGAGATTTATTGGTTCTCTAACTCTATGTGGATTAGCTTCATATCTATTTGGATGGCACGTACATGAAAAGGCCATCTTATTGGTAATCATTCCATTCTCATTCTTGGTTGTGTGTGACAGAAGATTGTTATCTTCCTTTATGTTGGTTGCATCAGCAGGTTATGTATCATTATTCCCATTGTTATATGAAAATCAAGATTTCTTAGTTAAGTCATTATACACATTTGTCTGGTGTATTGTCTATTTCTTTGCTTTTAGAAAGACTACACAATATTCAACCAGCATACAAAGGAGAATATTTTTCTTAGATCGTTTAGCCATGATCTACATTTCTTCATTATTAGTGATGGTATGGAGTATCGAAACACTAGATCTTCTAAAGATCAATCATCAATTCTTGGCTCGTTTTGAATTTTTGGGATTGATGACATACAGCGTATACTGTTCTGTCGGTATCATCAGTTCATGGATTGGATTATCTTGGTTATACAACTTTGACGAACCATTATGGCTAAGTTGATGAATTCAAAAGGGAATATAATATTTATTTAAAGGTAAAACTTTTACATCTATATCCATAAATAATCAGTATGTATAGAATAAAACAAACTTTCGGAATACTTAGTTATTCTTGCTCTTGGTTGAATTTATTATTTTGTCCTTTTACATTCCATTTTGTTACATTCCACTTCAAATGAAGAAACTGCTATTGCTGAAACTTAAACGTTAAAAGCAGAGTTGAATAAATGCAGAATCAGATCAATTAAATAAAACAACAGATTTACACTTCGAATACCATCTTGTTGATTTCTTGTTTTTAATCAATTGACCTATGATGCAAGTTGTCCCTTTACTGACATTGCAAATATATTATTTTGATAGCGCCATATTCATTGAATTAAAGATATCTGCATAAAAACTGATCAACTTTAAAATTACCAAATTGAAACCATCAATAAACTAGTTTAAAGGGTTGATGATCATAAATTGCGATTTGAATAACGACGATAAGGTACCTGATTGTTATTATTATTAAGGATAATTGAGTGTTTGTTATTACCAATGGATATCCGCTATAGTTTTCTTGGTACACTCGATCATTTTCCCTGTGAATTAATAAGAACACTATGGACTATTCAAAGTCTAGATTTAAGTGAACAACAAAAATTAGAAGATAGGAAGAACAATGGGGACAATGGTGACGATAATGATGGTGATAGGGTTGCATTACATATGATGTCTCAGGCAGAGTTTTTAAATAACCTTGTTGATGACCAGATACAGAGATTAGAGAGACAGAAAGAAGAACTTCTAGAATTGCACGAGATAAGAGGTAGATTTGAGACTTTGATGAGAAAGAAAGAGGGTGGAGTTAGTGATGAATCTACTGCTCACAAGGAACAAACAGGGACAGATACAAAGAAAAGACCCAGGCTATTAATTAAGTTGAATTTGAAAAAATACAAAAAGGTACAGATACAAGAAAAGAAAGCAGACAAAATAGTAGTGGAGGAAAAAGTTGTTGAAGCACCAAAGATCGTTCCTCTGGAGCCAACATATTGTATTTGTAAAGATGTATCATATGGACAAATGGTTGCTTGTGATAACCCCAATTGCCCTACCGAATGGTTTCATTACAGTTGTGTTGGCATTGTTAGAACACCTGTAGGCAAATGGTATTGCAGTGAAGAATGTAAACTAGCAACTAGCATAAAACCCAAACGTAGTTCTAGATCAAACGTTCAGCGTGTCAAGAAGATCAAACATAAGCGTTGGACAAGGAAACCTGCACGTCAGTGTTAAGTATATAATTTTAACGACATATCTGTAATTACTTAAGAAACAAAAAAAACTAAACATAATGCATAAATAGATTGATGAAAAGATATTATAATTTGTTCAATTAGATATATAGAAATATTTAAGAAATATATATATGTAAATATTCAATTTAAACAATTTATAAGTCCTTCTTCAAAGTACCCATGAAGGCGTGCTTTTCAGCTGGGGTTTGGAATCTACCCTTACCGAACTTAGAAGCAGTGTCAATCCATTTCAAGGTAACTTCTTCCAAAGCCTTTCTAGAAGTGTTGGTGTACAAAGATTTTCTCAAAGTAACAACTCTCTTCTTACAACCTGGGATAGAACCCTTGACCATAACGAAATCGTTGTTGACCATACCGTATTGGACGAAACCACCCATTGGGTTGATGGTCTTCTTGGTTCTGTCGAAAGAGGTAGCAGCGTTAGCTTCATCTTCACCCTTACCGACTCTGTAAACCTTGTGGTTAATAGAGGTTCTGTGATGGTAACCTCTTTGACCAGCTCTAGCAACGGACCACATAACGTGGGCTGGATGCCATGGACCGATACAAGCAACCTTTCTCAAACCTCTATGGGTCTTTCTTGGTAATCTCTTGGTACCCCATCTGTGGGTAACACCTTCGAAACCGTGACCCTTGGTGACGGCGACGACATCGATCATTTCGTTTTGTTCAAAGACGGAGTCGACAGCGACGGTCTTTTCGAAATGTTCTCTAGCCCAGTCAACCTTTTCAGAGATAGAACCACCGTTCAATTGGATTTCAGCCAAATGAGCCTTCTTTTGAGACAATGGGGTCTTTCTAACTTGAGTGTGGACCAAAACTCTGACAACAGAAGCGTACTTCTTAATTCTGGCCAATTCTCTTTCGATGGCAGCACCATCTTGAGCGTACTTGGTGGAGTACTTGGAGAAAGCCTTCTTCTTAGACTTGTACCAGTTCTTGTAGAATCTTCTTCTAACTTCATCAGACAAATGTTCGGCCCAGACGGTGGTCAAGGATCTCAAACCTCTTGGAGTTTCGACGTAACCGACAACACCGACGACGACAACTGGAGGAGTGTCAACGACGGTGACGGCTTCGACGATTTCTCTCTTGTGGAACTTGGAACCTGGTCTGTCCAAATCTCTAACGATGGTGGTCATACCGGCCTTGTAACCCAAGAAAGAGGTCAAAGCGACAGCCTTTGACTTATCGTCCTTTGGGAAAGACTTAACTCTACCTCTGACGGAGGCAGCTCTCTTTCTTGGCAAGAAACCTAAATGACCGTGACGTGGAGCTTCGTATTTTCTGTGAGACATTGTATTTGTCTGATTAGTGTATACTGTTGTGATTCTATTAGACCTGCAATAAAGGAGCAACTATAAATAAAATTAGAGAATAAATTGAATGAATTGCATAAAGTAAAAGTAGTAATTGAAATAAATAAAATATTATACATCTTGATGAATCAACAAATACAGATAGAAAAAGCATTCCATTTATATAATCTGTTCTATTCTATGCTATCAAGTGAAAAATTTTTCAAATCAACGAAGACGAGTGAGCCAGTGAAAAATTTTCTTCTCTTTCGCTTCGCTTCTCTTCTTCAATTCGGTTTCGGTTCGTTTCGGTTCGTTTCGGTTTCAGCTCATCGCATCGGGTTGTGTTGCGTTGGGTTGTTTCGTGAGAGATGATACGATGAGGGAAGAGTTTCGAGTGACTGTTTTTTCTGGTTTGTTGTTGTGTCACGTGTGTGTGATAACGGAATCACCAGAGAGAGATTACCCGGTCAGTCACAGTGGTGTGTACACGTTATTTTCTCTTAATGGGGGATAGTAGAGATGATTGGTGTCTGTGGTTACCCTACCCTGACCCACGTGAGCCTATCTGTTGTTTATTCAAGAGGAAGACAATTGGGCAACTGAACTGTATAAAAACAAACAAAGGGAAATCTAAACAGAAACGTCTCTGTTTTCCTCTTTCTGATACGTTCTGTCCATCGATCGACTTATAAAAGTGGTATAATACCAATGGATGTTGTACATGTATAATTGGCATCTGTGAGATGTTCCCAGTGAATAGGTATCGTCCTCATATGTTTTGGTTGGTTTTAGCCGCTATCATATAATTCCTTATGAAAATACATGTCACGTGAACCAAAGACACGTGCTCTCTGGTCAATTATTTTGTGTTTTATTTCCCTCACATAGTCTCCCACTCACCTGCTACCAAGAAAGCCAAGTACAAGAAGAAGGGTTTCTATGAAGTTCTTTTGTTTGTATCAGTGGAAATTTCTGGAACCTGGGGTTACGTCATTCCATTCCCCATCACCTGCTCTCTCATTGAATAGAATTCATTCATTTTAAAATTTCTCGATTCTTCTAGTCAACTCAACTCAATTCAATTCAAGTCTTAGGGGATCTTTACCAATTCCAGTAAAGTAGCCTGTACGATGACATTCACCACTTTATTACACGAATCAGTGCAATCTCCATTGAGGAAAGAATTATTAAATTAATTAAACATATAAAACAATTAATACTACACAAGACAAGCATAGAAACACTATCCACACACACATACATATTTATATATATAGAGCAAGAATTAAAGGCCAGTTCTCATCATTGCATTACAATTTATTAAGAGTTTAAATTGACTGTACTTCCTATTCGTTTCGAAAATATTGGGATATTTAGGATACCTTATTATTGAATCATAGATAACAATTATGTTAAGACAAGCTGCTAAAAGATCTGTGCCCTTCAAGGGTCATTTCAATTCACTTTCAAGACAATCTTACACCAGAGTTGGACAAATCGGTTCATCAATAGCAACAAGAAATTCATTCTCAATTCTCAATCACATCAACGGTAAAATTAACAATGCAAATTCAATTAGAAGTTTCCATTCTTCAAATAATTTACTGATTCAAATGAGAATGAACCCAAACCAACAAAAGGATAATGAGCCAGCACTGGAACAATTCGGTACAAATTTAACAAAACTAGCTAAAGAAGGCAAATTAGACCCTGTAATCGGTAGAGATGAAGAAATTTCAAGGGCTATTCAAATCCTATCAAGAAGAACAAAAAATAATCCTGTTTTAATCGGCAGAGCAGGTGTCGGTAAAACTTCATTGATCGATGGGTTAGCTCAAAGAATTGTATCAGGTGAAGTCCCAGACTCTTTAAAGGACAAACAATTAATTGCGTTGGATTTAGGTTCCTTAATTGCTGGTGCAAAATATAGAGGTGAATTTGAAGAAAGATTGAAAAATGTATTGAAAGAAATTGATGATTCAAATGGAGAAGTCATCGTGTTTATCGACGAAGTTCACATGTTATTAGGTTTAGGTAAAACAGATGGTAGTATGGACGCTTCCAATATCTTGAAGCCGAAATTAGCAAAAGGTTTGCGTTGTATTTCTGCCACCACAATCGATGAATTTAAGATTATTGAAAAAGATCCAGCTTTGACAAGAAGATTCCAACCAATTATCTTGAATGAACCTTCTGTTACAGATACCATTTCAATTCTAAGAGGTTTAAAGGAAAGATATGAAGTTCACCACGGTGTAAGAATTACAGATGCTGCATTGGTTTCAGCTGCTGTTTTATCTAACCGTTACTTGACAGAAAGATTTTTGCCTGATAAAGCAATTGATCTAGTAGATGAAGCTTGTGCAGTTCTAAGACTGCAACATGAGTCTAAACCTGATGAAATTCAAAAATTGGATCGTGCTATAATGAAAATTCAAATTGAACTAGAATCATTAAAAAAGGAAACTGATCCTATATCTGTAGAAAGAAGAGATAAATTAGATGAAGAATTAAATTTAAAAAACGAAGAGTTGAACCGTCTAACTAAAGTCTGGGATGCTGAAAGGGCTGAAATTGAATCTATTAAGAATGCAAAAGCTGATCTGGAACAGGCCAGAATCGAATTAGAAAAATCTCAAAGAGAAGGTGACTATACAAAAGCTTCTGAATTGAGATATTCAAAAATCCCTGAGTTGGAGAGAAAAGTCTCCTTAAGTGAAAATAAAAACAAAGAAGATAGTGAAAGTCAAGTCTTGCTACATGATTCTGTCACTTCTGATGATATCTCGAAAGTCGTTAGTAAGATGACAGGCATTCCTTCAGATACAGTAATGAAAGGAGATAAAGACCGTTTGCTGTATATGGAAAAGACTTTGCAGGAAAGAGTTGTTGGTCAAGATGAGGCCATATCAGCTGTATCAGATGCTGTCAGATTACAAAGGGCCGGTTTAACAAGTGAAAAAAGACCAATTGCCAGTTTCATGTTTCTAGGTCCAACTGGTACTGGTAAGACAGAATTAACGAAAGCTTTAGCTGAATTTTTATTCGATAACGAATCCAATATTACAAGATTCGATATGTCTGAATTTCAAGAAAAACACACTGTTTCACGTTTAATTGGTGCCCCGCCAGGATATGTATTAAGTGAATCAGGTGGTCAGTTGACAGAAGCTGTAAGGAGAAAGCCTTATTCTATAGTTTTGTTTGATGAATTTGAAAAAGCTCATCCAGATGTCTGCAAGATTTTATTACAGGTTTTAGATGAAGGTAAACTAACAGATTCATTGGGTCATCATGTTGATTTCCGTAACACTATTATAGTCATGACTTCCAACATCGGTCAAGATATATTGTTATCAGACAAAGAAACGTCTGATGATGGTAAAATCAACAAAAATACTAGAGACAGAGTGATCAATGCTATGAAGAAATCTTATCCACCTGAATTTATCAACCGTATTGATGAGATGATTGTTTTCAACAGATTATCCAAGAGTGTCCTAAGGTCAATTGTCGACATTAGAATTAAAGAAATCCAAGAAAGATTAATAGAGAAGAGAATAACTTTGAAACTAACCGATGAAGCTAAGATATGGCTGACTGAAAACGGGTATGACGCAATGTACGGTGCCAGACCATTGAATAGATTGATTCATAAACAAATCCTAAATCCAATGGCAACATATATGTTAAAAGGTCAAATCTTGAATGGTGAAGATGTCAATGTCATTGTTGAGAAGAACAAATTGATAGTCAAGCCAAATCATGAAGAGGGAGAAACAAAACCAGAAAAACAAACCTAGAGCTAGTTAGTATTGGATCGTTAAATTAATCAATAATCCATTTTTCAGCTTTTCAATAATATTTTTAAAACATATTTCATGTATATACACATTTTTGATGATTATGACAATTTTTTAGTTTAAACATTTAAAAGAAATAAAATTAATAAATTGGAATTTTTGTACCTTCTATTATAAGTTCCACAATCAGTTTACTTGCAAAAGGACTTTCTCATTAATTATAACTTTTTTTTTGTTACTTGTATTATAAAAATTATTTACGGCAAGGTATTTAAAATGTAAATTAGCGACCTGTACGGATGATACCAGAAGCAATCAAAGTTTGAATCTTCTTGAAAATTTCAGGATTCTTCATATGCTCTTGTAATGCAGCAGGGTTTTGTTGAGCTTGTTGTAAGATAGATTGCATCACTGGATCTTGCATGATGGCAGCAACTTCAGGATCTTTCATAGCTCTTTCATATGTTTGTTCTGGAGATTCATTACTGTCATTAGGTTGGAATCTTTGTTGAGATGCTTTGATGTATAGTTGGTCGATTTCTCTTGTGTTGGCACTTTTGTTTACTTCAGCATCCTTACTACGAGCAGCATCTAAAGTTTCCAAAGCAGAGGAGAATTCTCTGACAGCAATTTGGGCAGTAGCTTTTCTGATGTATGCTCTTACAAAGTTTGGATCTTTTTCAATAGCTTTGTTACAATCGTCGATGGCTTCTGGGAAGGACATCAACTTTGATAAGACAGCAGCTCTATTGGAGTAACCTCTAGCATCTTCTGGAGCTCTCTTGATCATTTCAGTGTAAGCTTTAACAGCATTTGGCCAGTCACCCTTTGTAAAGTAATCTTTACCTTCTAGACGAGCCTCTTCAGCCTTTTCTGGATTGATGTAGTCTTCAGCTTCTTGAATTTTAACTTGCTTTTCAGCAGCTCTTAACTTTGACAAAATTTCTGGAGTTCTATGTTCGGTCAAAGATTTCTTGTAGAAATCAATAGCTTTCTTCAAATCATTTAATTTGGTGTAGCAATTACCCATACGAGCAAAGGATTTGGCGATAACTTTATAGTCTGCTCTCATTTCTCTACCTTTTTCAACAGCTTCTTCTAAAGTTTTGATTGAGGTTTCATAGTCACCCTTTTCGAACTCAGCAGCAGAACGGTTGTTCAAGTAAGTGATGTCATTGTGAGCTTCCCAAGCTTCGTTATATTTAGCAACGGCTTCATCGAATTGACGAGCTTTGTATAGTTTGTTACCTTCAGCTTTGGCAGCTTCTGCTCTTTTTTTGGCGTTTTCATCTTCATTTGAGTCAACATCCATTTGTTCTGGCTCATCAGCTTGGACAACAGGTTCCTCCTTCTTAACCGGAGTTTCTTCCTTCTTTGGCTCTTTTTCAGCAGCTGGAGTGGCAGCTGGAGCAGTAGCATCAGCTTGTTGTGAAGGCATAGAGTTAGAAGAGTTCAAATCACCGATATTCAAATCGACACCCATCAAAGTAGCCATGATAGTCATCAATCTTGGATCGGTGAACAAATCTTGACTGATAGCTTGAGGGTTAGATCTGTACTGGATCAATTTTGCAACTAATTGAGGATCCTTCATCATTTCTGCGGTCTTTGGATTTTTCTTCAAGTTCTCAATCAAATTTGGATCATTAAACATCTGAGTCAAACCCATATCTGGCATACCCCTTCTGGATTCCTGAGTTCTATGGACCTGTTCCAAACCTTCTTGAGCAGCCTTGTTAGAAGCATCCAACTCCAAAGCCTTCTTATAACCAGCCTCGGCCTCATCTAAATCACCCATACCAAAATGGGCAGCACCAACTCTGTTATAACCCTTAGACCAACTTGGATTGATCTTGACACATTCTTCAGCATCTTTCAACGCATTAACAAACTTCTTCAAAGAAGTATAACAAGCTGATCTGTTGGAGTACAAAACATGGTTTGGTTGTTCAGAAACATCAATGGCCTTACTAAACAAATCAATGGCCTTGTCATAATCCTTAGCTACAAAGGCAGCATTACCTTGTTGCTTATATTCATCAGCAGATAAAGACATCCTTTCTTAATATTTATCCCAAAATAAAATAAAGTAAAATAAAATAAAAATTATAACACTGCACAAATGTATCCTATCTCTCTTGTACTCTCAATCTCCAAGACAAAAACAAAAACAAAGCACGAAAGATCCAATCTAACAGATTAACCCTTTATATACAAAATAAAACAGTAATAATCTGGAATTACATTAACTTCAACATCAATCCTTCAACGTCTAGCTAGTATTTAACTTTTGGATATATTCTAGAAAATTCTTAAAGGCTTTAAAATTCATTAAAGTTCCGTTTCTAATGCTTTGAAAAAAGTTGGTGATGGTTTGAAAAAAAACCGGTGAAGATTTAGAGATGAGGTATGGTTTTGGAGGTGATTAGAGGTTGATCTTGGTAGTAACTGTGAATCTTTTGTTGTTGATTTGGGGTTTTAAAGTCTTTATTTGGCGGGTACAGTTTTTTTGAAGTTTCAATTGGGTCTGTATTGGTAGAACTGGAGCAATTTGTAATTACACAAGATGTCAGAAAATAGTTTTGAAAAATGTACTGACAGTTTTGTTCAATGGACTGTTGGAAATGGTGGTTACACGGTTTCTGATAAGGTTAAGGTGATCGATTATCGAAATGTCGGTCGTGGTAGGGCTATGGTTGCTGTCGAGGACGTCGCTGAGGGCGAGACTCTGTTTGAGATTCCTAGAGGTTCGATTTTGAATGTTAATACATCTGCTTTGACTAGGGACTACCCTTCTTTTGGAACTAGTCAATTAGGTGAATGGGAGGAATTGATTCTGTGTATGTTATATGAGATGTTTGTCCTGGGGGAGAATAGCAGATGGTATCCTTATTTCAATGTTCTGCCTTCTTCCGCCGAATTGAATTCTTTGATTTATTGGTCAGATAGAGAATTAGGGCTATTGAAACCTTCTTTTGTTATTGAGAGGATTGGACGTGGGAAGTCTCAGGAAATGTTCAGTAAAGTCCTCAGTTATATCGAGAATCAGGACTCAGATCTATCCCTGATTGCGAAGTATTTGACGTGGGAGAACTTCGTTTATGTGGCCAGCATTATCATGTCTTATTCCTTTGATGTAGAAGATTTGAACCCCCAGTCTGATGAAGATGATGAAATAGAGGATGATGACAACGATTCTGAGATGTCTCCAGACAAGTCTATTAAATCTATGATTCCCTTGGCTGACACTTTAAATTCAGATACGCATCTGTGCAATGCTAATTTAATGTACGATAAGGAGACTTTAAAAATGACAGCAATTAAACCCATCAGAGCTGGTGAAGAAGTGTTTAATATATACGGTGAACACCCAAACTCAGAGATACTAAGAAGATACGGTTACGTTGAATGGAAAGGGTCGAAATACGATTTTGCAGAGCTCCCATTGGAAAAGCTTACGGATGGTGTAATAAGTCACTTTAAGATGCAAGATCAACAACTCCTTAGAATGATATTTGATATTATTGGAAAAAATGATACTATTAACCAAATTGCAGAAGGCGAAAATATAATACTAGACACTTATGACTGTTATCGTGACGGCCAGACGTTAGTTGAAGCTATTTTATTATTACAAACTGTGTGTATTATATACCAAATCCCTGACATTTTAAAGGCTTCAGAAGAAGAGTTAACTAAAAATGTTGAAAGATCATTTGCAAAATGTTACCAACTGATTCAAAGCGGTAGAATTACAAGACAATGTTTGAAAGCCTGGGAGAAATCGATTGAATTGAGGATATCGGATTACCCTAGTCATGCTAACAGGGAACTTACTCCACAAACTAATATCACAGATATTACCACATTGAGAGATGCCATGGCCCATGTTGTTCTGCAAGGTGAGGTTGAAGCCTTACGCAGCTGTCGTCTAGCTCTAAGATCAAACTATAAAGTTATCGAAGATTCCAAATTGCTAAACAATATCTTGAAAAGAAAGGCTAACAGTGCAGAGGAGGACGATAGAGATGGCAAACGTCAAAAACAATAGACAATATATTTCACCAAAAAAAACAAAGATATCGAACAATTGAAAATAGTTTACTGACCCCAGGTATGAATCTTAATCATTTTGAATACGTATATATGCATGTCGATGCTTTGTTTTAATTTATAGATACAATAAATATAATTTGCTTGGGTTCAGTTCTATATTTTTGAATATTGCTGGATTTGTCTTGAAAGAATCATCAGATGTGGCTACACATAATACATCTCCATTGCAAACTGTTTCCACTATGCTATTTTCATCGAATTTGGGTAATTGCTCTATCTTCTTTCTTGAAGTCAAATTCCAACAAGACATGCAACCATCAGACCCACCAGTATATAAAATATTCGAGTTCGGTACGAAACATAACGAGTTTACTGGAAAAACGAATTGACTATCACTTAGACTTATTCTATGGCAACGAAACGCAAATTTTTTAGTGTCATCATTGAAGTATTCTACAGCAACACGACCATCGACACTACATGAGACATAAGCATCATGCTGGGGAGTAATTTTGATGTCCCTAATTTGGTATTTCAAACCAGATTCAACCTCATTACCCTTATCATCCGTACTCAAAGGTATATCGAATGTCACAATCTTGTTCCCTGAAGTGGCTAGGATGAGCCTTTCGCCATCAAAATCAGATACTAATATTTTCTTATCAATTTTAACCATTTTAACCATCGAATTGGTAAGCACATTTATCACTTGTATATATCCATCCCAAGAGCAGGTGATAACCTGTCCTTGGCGAGTCGAAAATATCCCACAAATCCCTAGCTCATTGCAAAGAGATCCACTAACAGGAATAAATGTCCCATTACTCAATTCAACCTTCAATACTTCACCTTGAACAGTCCCAACGTATAAACAACGTTCGTTATCAATCATAGATTCGGTACAACACGTTATCGCAGTATCATGTACCAATCTTACCTCTAATACCACATTGTTCCTATCTCTATAATCATAGATGGATAAAGAACCATCCCATGAGGTGACAACCAACTTGCTTAAACCCTCAAGAAACAAAACCTGACTGATATAATCTGGAGGACAGTCTACAATCTCGACAAAGTCGCTTCTATTTACCATAATTATTATTATTAGCTTCCTCTTCTTCTTTTTTGATCACTTTCAGTTCGAATCAAATATCCTTTGATCTTGACCTATAGAAGCAAAGTTGACCTGCCAAAAACAATGGGAATACCTCTAAGACAACTTGATATCCAACCTAGACACCATTATACCCCTCATTAACCTTCCATACCATCACCTCATCCTTTGATTTAACTCATCACAACATCAAGTTTTCTTGTTCTTATATCAAAATTAAATAAGAACATGAAATTTTAAAAGTGAAAAATTACCATCATACAATAGCAACCTTTAAAGAAAGGCAAAGGTTCGATATCAAAAGGGTTAAGATAATCATATTATAGAGTCTATAGACAGGTGGGTGTTGGTTGTGTGATTATACTATTTGATGGAATCAGTGACGAATTTCCTGTGGAGTGAAGCCTCCAAAAGTGATTTATTGCAAGATGTTCTTGGAGCAGATGATACATATGTTAAGGATCCCAATAAACCATCGTCTGGAGGAGGGGTTAGTACAGGAGGGATCAAGTCGAGAGATGATTCAGGGATTGATTTAAATGGAGTTGGTAGTCTTTCAAATGCTGGTCTTCAAAAGATGATGACAGACGCCTTGGTTGAGAAATTAATGAAAATGGCATTACCACCAGCAACAGAAATGGGTAGTACGATATTAGAACAAAGAATTGAGTTTAGTAAAGACAGGCCAAGGTTATCGGTGCCTGTTATGAGTAGGAATTTTATTTTAAGCAATGCGAGATTTGGTTTACCGTTTACTATGGTTGATGAAGTTATCTATATTTTCAGTTGGTTAAACCCTGCTTATACTTTATCCATTCTAATAATATATTCATTTATTATTTTAAAACCATTGCCAAGTTTATTATCTATTCCAATATTTTATATTTTATTTGGTGTAATGGTTCCTCAGTATCTATATATTCATAAACCTGAGACATTACCATATTTTGATTCAAATCCTACTCCTGCTCAGGGCCCTCCACTTAGGAAACCTGCTGTGCCTGAACCAGCGTCAGAGTTAAGTCAAGAATTTGTATTGAATTTAACTGATTTACAAAATCATATGTTGATATATGTTAGAGTTTATGATTTTTTTGCAAAAATATTGGGTAGTTTTGCATTTTTCACTGATGAAGCTGTTTCCGCTATGGCATTCCTAATATTATTGTCATTTGCATTGATGAATTGTTTATTCATAGATACATTTGTTAACTATATCCCTTATAAACATATTCTATTGTTTTTAGGATGGGCTGTAATGTTCTCTTTCCATCCAATTAATAGAGATAGATTTTTGGGGATTTTGAATTCAGAGGAAACAAGATTACGAGTATTGACTGTAACGAACAAATTAGAAGAATTGATGAATAATGAACTGAAAACGGTGGAAGCAAGTGAAAGAAAATTAGTAGCCGTTTATGAAATACAAAAGTTGGGTGAGAAATCAGAATGGGTTCCAATTGGTTTCTCTAATGACAGCTATACTTTATTCTCAACTTTGAGAATTAATGAACAAAAAATTGAACGTAGATGTGCTTCTCATCTAGAAGAAGTTATGCCACCCATTGATTGGGAATGGGTTAACAACAGCAAATGGGTACTTGATTTGGAGCCTACAGAATGGGTTGAAAGAAATTTTGTACAATTTGTTGAGATCGATTCTGAAACGAAATGGGTTTACGATGTAAATATCGATGGTAATAGAGGCTCATATAGAAGACGGATGTGGACAAATTTATGTACCAGGAAAAAGGAAGATGCTGTGAATAAAGACAATAACGAATTCGAAGTTGAAGAGGTTGTTAACCCTCTTCGAGATGATAATTATAGTCATGATTTAAGAGGTGTAAGTAAAAAATCATTTACTGGGTTATCAAATCAATTATTTGGAAAGGCTAATTCTTCTCATAATAAATTTGACTCAATCTCAAGCAATGAAGGTAGTGATGCTGGCAAAGTACCAGGAACAGAAAATGTGCGTGGTGATTCAAATACATCCACTATTGGCAGTTCAAAAGCCATGAGTTCTTTAAACGAAATTTTATCTGCAACGCTTTAAGTTCAATATAATGTCCCCATTGTGGTTAAAGTGTGATTGAGTTTCAAATGATGGCATTTTTTTTATTATTGTTATCATTGTTTTCATTATTATTCAAATGTAGAGATAGACCAAATAGTAATGTGTTTTAAGCTATTGGGCAGGTATAGAATATATGTAGCGATGTTTATACATCTAGTATATAACGTTTAAAGAAAATTTTAATGAATCTTATATGATATCAAACCTTAAAATAAATTTAGTATTTCTTTTATCATTAATTTAATCTCTATTAATTTGGTAAGGACTTTCTAATCCTATAAATTCTATGTCGTTGTGGTCTATATACAAACAAATCATTATAAATACTACATGCATTGTGAAATATTAATTCCTTTCATTACTTTCTCTAACCGTTTTGGCTATTTACTGCTAACTCCATTATCAGTCTTGTAGTCAAATGCAAAAATGGGTATGCTGAAAAGGTACACATTTCATCATCAGTTATTTTTGACAATGGTAAAGGGATACCTCTACTATTTTCCCAACCATCGAATTTAAAGTCTACCAAATAGTTATTGGTTTCGATTTGGAACAATTGAATAACAATTTTCATTAGGTCAGGGACAACTTCATTATTTTTTTGCGAAACATCATATTTCCATCTTACTCTAATGGTCCATAAATCTTCTTCAGATGGCTTAGCCCATTCGGCCCCTAGATTTTTTAAAGCAATGTATATTTCACCCATGACGTCCAATGGATAAGACCTTGATCTAATACCAAAATGCCATTTTGTCTTTGATTTTTTATTGACCAAAGGCGAAATTGAGGCTGCAGTTGGTAATCCAGATGCCAGCAAGTTGGCTCTATGGATTTGAGGTAATGAAGTTGGTAAAATTGCCACTGTAGAATTTTCTTCTTTAGCTAAATCCATGAATGTACGTGTTCTTTGTTGGGTAGAAGCACTAATAATCGGTCTTTGGTGATGTCCGTAAGTGTGTAAATTTGGCTTTCTGTTTAACGATGGTAAGGATTGAGTGAGTAAAGTGTCTAGATCGTCTTTAGTTTTCACTTTCGAATTTATGTCATTCATTAGGTACTTACTTTCTTTTATCAACATGTATGCATCTCTTATTTCGTTCGACACTGGGTTATCTTCTGTAGATTGTAAACACTCATAAATTTCATGTTTCTCGTAACCCATTGTTCTTGATAGGATGTCTACTAGATCTTCATTGATTTCTTCTGACGATCCATCATTACTGTTGTTGTTATCCTTGGAGGATTTTAATTTCATGTCCTGCGGCTCTAAATATTCTGGGAAGTCTACTCTAAACCATTCATCCTCCATGATTTCGTTCATGCTAATTCTATTCAACGGATTGACGATAAGCATTCTTTTAATTAAGTTTGCAGCGCCTGGAGATAAAAATTTAGGTAAAGTGTAGATACCATTGCTGATATTTTTAAATAGGACGGGGATGCTATCGTCATCGAAAGGTAGACGACGGCACAACATGACGTAAAGGATCACACCACAGGACCAAACATCTACTTCTGGACCTGCATAAAGTTTCCCACTGATGACTTCAGGGGCAGCATAATTTGGAGAACCACACGAAGTCTTTAAAAAATTACCATCAGTCATTATGTTTGACAAACCGAAATCTGCAATCTTTACGTTCAACTCTTCATCCAACAGTAAATTTTCTGGTTTTAAATCTCTATGAACAATTTTATGTCTATGACAGTATTCCACAGCACTAATGATTTGCTGGAAGAATTTACGAGCTTCATTTTCACTCATCTTATCTCTTTGGACAATGTAATCGAACAATTCATGATCAGCATACTCTATGACCATGATAATATCTTCCTTTGATTTTATAACATCGTACAATTTAATAATGTGTGGATGTCTCAATAACCTTAAATATGAAATTTCCCTTTCTATTCTTCCTTGCATATCACTCTTTGCCAGTATTTTTTTATTGATAATTTTCAAAGCAACCCTTTGATTAGTAGTAACATGGTAAGCCAACTTAACCTTACCAAAGGAACCTTCACCCAGAGTCTTGATGATCTGGTAGTTCCCGATACGGCTCCCATCATTCAAGTTTCTTTGTAACGTAGGATTAAAATTAGACGAACTCCCCTGGTGGTGATGCTGATGAACATGGCGAACACCGCCATTAGAAGAATTAGTATCCATTTGAAACCATTCAATTCAATTCCTCTCTATCTCACACACTCTTCCACTGCTAATCTCGCTCAATATCTCTCACACTCTCTATAAATATATAAATGTAATATATTCTTTCCCTTGGCTTGAATCGATCGAGCAATCAATCACAGACTATCCTTAAAATAAATCGTACCAGAAATCCCTTAACGAAGCAGCCTAATCCTAACCTTGCAGCGACCAAAACAACTCGAACCAAACCTAAATTGCAGATGAACAATGAAATACAGTCCTTGGTCGACCAAAACAACAATCAACCCTTTTTATCAACGGTTTGCTTCGAATAGTTGTTGCTGTTAAAAGCATAAAGTTGTCCATTTTTATCGCTCAAATTTTTCATCGTCAAAATAAATTTTTTGGTGAAATTTTTGGTGAAATTTGAGATTTAAAAGACAAGATGAAGATGAAGATGAAGATGACGATCAGTTTGGTGAAGGATTGGGAAGTTATGGGATGGGATGGACATCTGGGGAGATGATGACAAGAGCGTTGTGTATTTGAGATGTTGGTTTTGCGTTAGTTTTGGTTTTTACAGGTTCACGAAAGCTTGAATGCTGGTGATTTGGGGAAAGGTTTTTGGTATGGTGACGGAACACATCGAGATGAGATGAGATGAGATGAGATGAGCTTAGTTCAATGTCCTTGGGTTGGGGGGGGGTCGGCCTTTGGGCTCAGTTCGACTGGATTTGAATGGAGATATCAGTGTGGATGTGGATGTCACTCGGTGTTTGTTATGGAGGGGTTGGGCACCAGAGGAGAATAGGCTGGTGCTTCTTAAAATTGAGGGTGCACCCACACACCTCATACATAATATGCATATCTGGCCTAATGATATCCCATCAAATGGCTGTAATCATTATGGAAATTATTTGATCTTTGTTCAACTTTTACAAAAGAACTGGTCGATACAATATATAACTCAGACTTTGGTTATTACATAATTAAGGTGTCAGTACTATAAGTGTGAGAAACTTGTTGTGTTCCACTGCAAGAATCCCAATACCCTCTTTCTCTCGTTTCTGCTCCTGCTCCTGCTCCTGCTCCTGCTGCTCCTCAGAGAGTTGACGTTAAAAGCTAAATTTAAATTTAAAGTTAAAGTTGAACTAAGATTGCTGGCCAATAGTTTTACCTGCTGAACAATATTACAAGAAACACGAGAACAACACATCCATCTACTGGTAGATAAATCGTTTTGGTTCTAATCCTGACTATAAGAAGAAGGTCCTGATTGAGCATAATCCAAATTTTTTTTTTTATTGGATCCCTGAAATATTTGATCTTAGGTTTCATTTTGAGGTAGGCAGTCTGTAAAACTTGGGTTGCCTCTAATACTCTGATAGATCGCTGATATTTTGAACTTCTCGATAGATCTAGCTGTTCAATCACTTTGGCCATGCCTATTTCTGAACATGATGAAACTTTGAGAAACGTCTATAAACATATTACCATACATACAGATCGGGTAGCTATTCCTGTCCAGGATCAACATGCTTCAAATAATCAGACTCATGATGATAATGCCAATAAATTTAAGAGCTCGGTGTCTTTCAACACTGTTCCGGTAACTTTGGGTTACTCATCCCTAGATGATGATGATGTAGAGTTTACTGGTGTGAAATTTCCATCTGATTACTCCTATGAAGAATTTTATGATGATGATGATGATTATATGGATAACTATTCTGCTAATTCAAAAGGTTTCCTATCGGTACCAAGTGTTAAATATCGTGGTGTTTCTCCTCCCCCTAATGCCAGAAGTACAAAACGCAATAGTGCTTCTCTGAATGATATGTTCAGAGTTGCAGAAAATGGTAGAATTGTAAGAATCGATTATCCAAGTAGACCAAGTGTCACTAGTGATGCTATCGTGATAAACAAAATCCAATCCGACTGGCATGAGCTTTGGAGACAAAGGAAACACTTGATAGAGAAAAGAGTTATGAGGAAGGAAGATTTCTTTAAGTCGCCACAATATTTATTCTCTAAACCTGTACAAAGAAAAATAATATCCGATGATGGTTACACACTATTGACTAAAAATCAACGAAGAAAAGAAGAGATCTTAAAATCAAATCAAGGTTTCCCCAATACTCCAAGAACAATAGTCGTGCATATCAGTGGAAGAAGACACACCTGGGTTGCTTTAGATTGGACAATCACAGAATTGTCGAAAGATACTGATCATATAGTTGTCATCACTAATCTTCCATCGACTACCACTTCCCAAGACGGTTACTATAGTGATGGAACTCGTTATAATAGCAATTCAAGGTCAAGATCAAGGTCAAGGTCAAGATCGAGATCTCAAAATTATAGAAGCTCTTCCATGGCACCATCCGTAACAAATATAATGTCAGATGAATGGATTTCAATATATAGTAGAGAAGATGTGGAGAGAAAAATTGAAGACATTTTTGAATATATCATGGTAATATTACCTCCAAAGAGATCAATTAAAGTAACAATTGAAGTCATCTTAGGTAAGACTTCAAAGGTTCTCTTGAATGCAACAAATGTTTACTCTCCAGATTTTTTTGTTTCGAGCACATTGAAATGGAAAAGAACTGATAATATGGTAACTTGGAAGGGAAGGCGTATTGGTGATATGATATGTACCGAACTACCAACTCCTGTATTCATAGTACCAACTAAAAGATTATTTGAGTACCAATTAAAATTGCAAAGAGATTTTTCAAAGAATAGCATTAAAGGTAAAATTGCATATGAAGATGGGATTGCGACTGTTTCAACAGTAGATGCTGACGATGGATCATTTACAAAACATGACTTGATCTCAACGGATTCTATCACTGCGGACCTTATCACTGAATATAATTCTGATGATGAAGATTTTAGTGATAGTGATGTAAGAAGTACAAAATCCGCAATTTCCAACACTAAGGAAAAATTACATAGCTTTGCTGTTGCTCATAGATCTACAATGGTTAAACATTTAAATGAGGTCGAAAATTGTGAAAGATTAGATAATGGAGATAAATTATTAAAAAGGATGGATGTTATTATCAAAACTTCACTAGAGTTTGTGACAGATTTAGACAACATATCAATTACCGATGTAGATGACCAAAGCTCTGAATTTGTTGAATTAAAAAAAGTCTTAACTGGGGGTGTTGTCATGCCTGCCCCTTCATCTAAAAAGTCTATGGTTGACGTTGTCTCTAATAAAAAATCTTCAAAAGTAAAATCTCGTAGGCAAAATTCATCTCAAATTAAATTTGCATCAAACGTCAAGTCAACCGATGGTATAGATGCCTTAGGTAATACTTCAAGACCGAGTAGAAGCCGGTCCAGATCTCCTCAAAGAAACTCCAGTTTGCCAGAGAGAAGATCTCTAGATTTGGCGCCAGTCAGCTCTTATAACCCTAATACCTCACGTTCAATTACAGATATGCATAAAAAGAATCAAAAGGTTACTTCTGGATCTTTAAGAAAAGTCAAGAGTACAAGTAATATGGATAAAGTTAAAACAGAATATTCCAATGGATCAAAAAGTACCTCAAAGAAATCAAAGAAAAAAAGCAGTTTCTTTTCATTCCTGTTTCCAAAGTGATGAATGATAAAATGAGAGTTTGTTTGTTCTTTGAGATTCATTGTCTCAGTTATTGAGATATATATATATATATATATATATATATTGTTTGTTTGTAAAATTTGACTGTCCTTTATAACAATTACATACATATGACGATATAATATTCATATTCATTTTGCTTATTCAATACTAATGTTATTCTAATAATTTAAGGTATCTAAGTGGTGCTTGTACTTAATTAAATTTTACATCATTGACAGACGCCAGCATCTATTTGTTTAAGTGCTTCACCTCTATCTCTGTTGGGTTTGAACGTTCACCGATTGTTTCTTTTAGTAAAAATCCGGCAATATCCATATCTTCAAAGTAGGAAACATGAGAACTAATCGCAGATATCATATCAACGTTTAATAAATTTGGTGATAACGCGTAGTCGATTCTCCCAGAGGAGTTTAATTTTTTCAATTTCATGACAACATCGACGGGCAATGTAACCTTAGTATGGGAAGCTTTTTGCTTCTCTGAAACTGGAAACTCTTTCAAGAAATTGCCACTTAGTTCTAGCATTTTGTATGCAATTCCTGATTCCTCAAAATGTGGTAAATATTCTTGTTCGAAATCTGCCATAGAAAGTTCAACTAATGGCTCCATTCTGTATGCGATAGGATCACAAATATGGAAAATATTGTATAAGTTCTTACAACTTGGTATTTGGGATAGAACGTCTTTCCTAGTCTCATAGGGGTTGTTACCGATTCTTGTTCTTTGAACTAATTTAAAGACACCAACTGGAGATCCAATACAAAAAAAGTTATTCACCTGAAAATCTAATTTATAGTGTTCAGGGTCAGATAGTACATCAAATGAAATTAAACTGCCTAATGAATGACCAACGATATGAACTTGCCCATCAAAATTAGGATTTTTCTTCTTGAATATTGTATAAACATTATTAAGTTCGTGATGAAGTTCATGTAATATACGATCTTTATAATGAGGGTCGTCATATAATAAAATGTCTAATCCTACATCACCTAACATTTTTCTAAAGGGAAGTATACCATTTACAGTAACATCTTCTAGAGTGGGTAAATTTGCTTCTTTATTGGACTTTCTGTGAGCATCAGTATGAAAACCAATGCTATGCCTCCAGGATATAGGCAAAACTTGAACATTACAATTAGTCTCCCAATCTTTCAATCCAATCTTTTTATTTTCTTCTCTTAAGTTTGAATTTTTGTCATATATTGCCTTAATGTTTTTACGCAATTGATTAACTGTATGGGAGAAATTGAATTGTTCATATCTTTTACCTAAAGTTTGACCAATCCCATGGACACAAAATATCAGATGTTTAACATCTCTTTTGTTAGATTTTTCATTTCCAGAGGGATTCGAGTAATCATTTTCAATTTCACTTTTGAAAATATTATTTTCATATTCTTCAGCACTTAAAGTTGTCTCCCCCCTATTTAAACCCATAATATCGGTTAATTCAGAGTTCAATAATTCAGAAAAATTTCCAAACTGTATGAAATTGCTCTTGGTTTCTTGATCTTTATCAAGATCTTTAGTTTCCATGATTTTATTTATTGAAATTCCACTCTTAGATTGTACATTATTATAGCCTCTAATGACTCGATGGACATTAAGAGGCAACGATTGTCCCAATGATGTTTTCAGAAACTGTAATTGCAATTGCCCACCATTAATATCTTTCAAAATCAATGCTGACTTATCGTCAATAAACGATATCAGACTTCCCTCTTTATAGTCTTTGATTAAATTAAAAATTCTATGAGCACCACTCCCTGCAGCTTTTAGTCCTTCAAAATCTACCTTAGAATAATGTTGTTCTAATTCTAACGTTAAGTCTTTAGATAACGGATTCCCATTAGTATCAAACCATATCCCCCTTCTAACTTCAAAACCTGCACCAGACCAGTATATTGGTTTTAATTCCATATCCCTTAAATCAACTTCAAACAAGTAATCCTCATTGACAGAGATAGTAAAACTTTCAGCATTTCCCAAAACTACCTTCTGATCCTTATGTAACCTCTGATACAACTCTTCGAGTCTTTTAGAATCATGTTTAGAGAATTGAACATAACTCGCTGGTGCTTTAGTCATTTTATAATCACCTTCTAAAGGTTTTGATTTTGGGACATCAGTAGCATAAAACCAACCGGTAGTGAACATTTTATTAGATTTTGAAGATGTACTGTACAATGAATGATAGCATAAGTTAGTTCCAACTCTTCTACCCCCAGAAAGCATCTCTTTTAACTTGTTTCTCTTATTTCTTCATTTATCCTTCTTCTATTCTATATCTAGCTATATAATTAAGGCTTTTTTTTCTCGATATATTAAATTATAATCATCGATCTAAGCTTAACATAGATCAAAAATGTGTCTCATAAAGAGTTTTTGATTGCTGCAATGACAGCTCTATAGATTAGTTGGATGATTTTAGTAAACATAAAATTTCGGTGCAATTCAATGGAAGTGATGTAAAATTAAATTAAAAAATATTATATATTCTACATTATATATCTCTACAATTGAAAAAAAAAGAGTGATACGACAGTTCGCATTAATTAATTAATGGAATAGATCAATCAGTGATAGATGTCATAATGGTTATGCCTTAATTTTGATTTTGCCCTTAAATTATAATGAGATGACCTCTTTTCATGCTCTGGTATTTCTGCAAACGCTAATGCATCTGGTCTAGCTTTCTTTTCTGCTGGACGTAGTCTTCCTTTTATGTCATTATTTGTATCATTATCCATTTGCGTATTGCTACGTTTTCTTAAGTTTCTTCTAGTCTCTACAGTTGCAGCTGTTGTGGTGGTTGGTGCAGTGGTGCTGTTTGTGCTGGTAGTAGTTGTTGGGGAAGGAGTTGATCGAGCTGAGTTTTCAGCCGATTCTCTTGTATCACCGTTTTCAACAGCAGACTCAGATGGTGAAGATGCTCCAGATACACTACTTGCTGATGGTGTGTATAGAGGAGATGAATCATCTTTTTCATCATTAACTATGCTGTCAAGCTCACTGACATTTTCTTGTTCATTTGTAGATTCTGACTCCGACTCTGATTGATTCAGTACTACTTCTAAATCTTTCGATGCATCCTTTACCATATATACCAATTCATCAAAATCGTCCTTATTGTTATAGTACTTTTCTAAATGTTTAGTGGATCTTTCTTCCTTTCTGCTTGATAGTTTTGAAGAAATAGAAGGGTTCTTTCCTTCCTTCTTATCGAAATTTGGTATGGCAATATCGGTAGGTAAATATTCTATATTTGGATCTAGTGATAGCTCTTTGAATTTCTGTAGAACTTCAGGGTCTTGCTTGTCATCGCTCAGAATTTTTTGATTTTTCAAAAGCGCTAACAGTTGACTTTGGTAAGTAGTGTTATGCTTTAGTCGTGAATGGTTTACTATCCCCTGTGCAGATGTGAAGCCTTCTCTATTACAATTTGAGCAGGATATTATAATCAATATACCATCGTACCTTCTAAATATTGGTAAATTATCTTCTGTCTTTGCTACAACACCGCTATTACTAGAAAAGCAAGTGCTGCTATAATTTCTTCTGTGATGACTATGAAGATTTGATCTCTGTCGAAGGTTTGGATCGAAACCTTTTTGAGAAACATCACCATAGTTCTTGTTATTATAGTTTTGTGGTATTGATTTTGATCCACTCATCCTCATATCTATTATAGTTGAATTCGCTGGTCTTAAATTTGGTACTTCATTAATATTTCCATGACTTTTACTTCTTGTTTGATAATAATATTGACCGGCACCACTCCCCATGGACCCTGGCAACATATTTGTATTTCCTGATAGATATGAGGTAGAAGAGCCATCGCCATAATATCCTGACGATGTGCTTCTGGCGCTTTCTAATTCTCTTTTCTTAATTTCATTTTGTTTCTCATGATGTTCTTCAACTTTTTCAGTTAATTTCTTATCCTCATTTAATGTTTTCAAAAGAGTAATCTGGGCATCCACACGTTGAATGGCATTCTGCACTTGTTGAACTTCTTTATGATTAACCAAAGTATGTAAATATAATTTTTCCATAATTTCCTTCTTAGCGGTTTCATACTTAAACCTTTCCGTTTCTTCACTATCCCCAGAATGATGCCTTAAATCAGGGTTATCTTCTCTACTAATATCACCATCTAACGTTAATTCATGAGGTGATTTAGGTGTTGCCACTTGGTAATAAGCAGATGGTGGGACATTTGAATTATTAGCCCTATTTGCTAATTCCTGAGAATCCATAAATAAAACTTGGCTAGGTAAACCAACGTGAGACCCTTCACCTGAAATCCCTATTGAACTACTCAGTGAACCGTCCTCATTATGTTCTTCCATCTCGATCTCAGTCAAACTTTCTTTTGTTAAAGTGAATTTATAGTAGCTGAAACTTTTAGATATAATGGAACTTGAAATATAACACTAAAAGAACAATAAAAAACTACTTTCTCACAAAATAAACCTATTGGAGACTTAATCCGACTTGAAAGAGAACTAATAAACCTCTACTTTTACTATTTCTGTAGATAGAAACCTTTATGTTAATGGTCTATTTTAAATCAAAACGTCATCTTAGTCGGTTATTTTTCCTTATACCTAATTTAATTTAATTCAAGCTCAGTAAGGGTAATAATGTGGGAGTAGAATAGAAAAGAGGTGACAGTAATTAAATGATTATTAGAATGATAGATGGTGTTCATATCATTAATGATGGGTATATGTTTGGAATATATCATTCATGGTGATTCTCTCGAATGCTCATGGTGTAATTAGCGATGGTATCAGTTTTATTTCCCTTTTGTTGGTGTTTTCTTTTTTTTGAACGGTTAGGTTTGGTCAACTAGAAGAACATTGATTTTATGCTATATGCCTATTTATACATCTAAATACTAATTAAGTTATTGATTAACTAAGTGATCATGATCCATATCTTAAATTTTCTCTTTCTAATACTTGTTTGTCGAATTTTATTAGATAGATTACTCCACCGTCTATACCATTTTCGTTATTCGAATGAGGTGTTACAGTACAAGGGAAATCAGCCTTTGTTAAGAAACCTTGAATGATACCACATACGAAATAATCACAAGAATTATTGTTTGATATGAACTGTGTCAACATATGTTCGTGATCTACAATCATGTATTCATTTTCACGTTCTGATGATTTGACTAAGTCATTACTAGGACTACCAAATAGATAAGTCCAAACGGTACCATGCATAAATTGCAAAATATCGATTATCTTTAAGTCACGGCATCTCATATGGCTTACTAGACTTGCTAGAGATTCTGAAGATTCGTAGTTTTTATCGTTAATGTTTGTTGAACTATTGATACCGACGTTTGTTGCGTTTGAAATGTCGTTTAAGTTTGTAGAATTTGGATTGGAGGTATTTGAAATTGAATTCACATTATTGGAACTCGAAGGATTTGATGCGTTGGAAGATAGGAACGTCGATGACCTTGAGTACGTATTTGAAGGTACAGAAGCCCTGATATTCAGTAATTCCAATAGTCTCAGGCCTATACTAGAACCGTAATTTAGTAGTTTTGATTCGAACTCAGAAGACGACTTACTATTATTATAAATCTGTGAAATCATCTCCTTAAAGAGGAAAGCCATGCTTGACAAAGCTACCTGTTGTTTCTTATAAACCAATGATTCAGAGTATAACTTTGAGGGTATATAAGGAGAGTTTGCCTCATTTGGCAAAGATTGTTTTGGACCTATGCTGTATTCATAGCCTGTAGTAGATACATTTGATTGTTCTTCTGAAGTACTAGGTAATATAAGTTTATCTGTCATTGTAAGATACAGGTATGTGTCCCTCTCTCTCTGTCTCACTCTTTGTAATCAAACAATAAACAGCTCCGAAACTACATCTAGTTATCTGTCCATATTCTTATAAACTTTTCAATCATTTAATTTATATCTCAAGGTATCTTCGTTGTAATAAATCAGTTAGATTGGATTATTAGATTAGATTATTGATCTAGACAAGACGTTATGCGCATAAACCGTACATAAGTACGTCGTGGTATAGACGACTATGGACCCAAGGGCAGTGCATTATAGTGCTCTACAATACAATACGACATGCTTGGACTGCATCAAGGACGTTACTAGGCATCAAGCAAGAGTGGGCAGAATACGATAGCCCAATGAAATAGAAAGGTATTAATAATATTAATATTAAATATTAATATTATAATAAGGAAACAATATTTTTCTCTAAATTAGTCAGACATAAGAAAAAAAGGTAGCTTGAGTTTATCCACACCGACGTACAACAAATATGAAATATCAGTTGCACAATCTCGAGCCAAATGCACTCACAGTCATCATAATAATAAAAAGGAAAATACTTCCTTGGTTTTTTTTATTTATAAATAAGAATTACAAAACCAAACAATAGTAAAACTGTAAAATAGTTACGACAAGAGTGTTCTGATATTGTCGATTTAAGTGTCTCTTTATATACTCCATCACCGGAGAGGAGCAACGTAACGTTTTGGGCAAAAATTTGAAAAATTTACAGAGAGAGAGGGAAAAAAAGAAAAGAAAACTTTTGAATTTGAGTTCGGTTCGAGAGGGCGATGATGTCACTATGTACGTGATATGACGGTTATTGCAAGTAGGGTTAAGAGCTATGAGATATAGAGCTATGAGATATAGATAGAGATACAGACTGTATTGTATGTGAGTATGTGCCTTCTGCCTGGTATCGACATGGCCTGGTTTGTTACTAGTCGATTGATCGATTCAATTGAAAAGAAAACTAAAAGTAATAGGAAAACTAAAAAGAAAAAGAACACTAGATAAAATAAATAAATCACGTGAGTAGAATAATAATACGAAAAATAGTGAGTGGTTATACTACTAAAAATTACATAAAATTACCATGCTAACCAAATTATACAAAGGACCTGAAATGTAATTCTATTTAGAATCTCAACTTGGAGAAGAACCATTGGTTCTTACCGGCTTGGTGTCTTTCTTCAAAAGCCTTCTTGATGACTTTCTTAGCTTCTTCACGTTGAGTTGGTTCTTCGAAAGTTTCGGTAGAGACAACGGATTTGAAAGATTCGACATCCAAACTGTATCTGGTTGGCAACAAGTGGTTGTAGTTGATAACCTTGATGAATGGCTTGATCTTAGTTCTCTTAGCAACCTTCTTGGCAGTGTGTTTCTTGGTGATCTTTAATGGGTATCTTTCAATACCAGCAACTAAAGCGTGACCAAATGGGTGAGACTTGGTACCTTCATCGTGTGGTTTGACGATGACGACCTTCTTACCGGCGTAACGACCACGGACAACGATAGCTGTTTTAAAAATAAAATTAAATGATAATCATTTATTTGATTAATTGTTAGTAAATTAATTGATCTTGTGTTGTAATAAAATAAAGCAGAAAATTAGGCTATTTTGCATGATTAAATAGATTACAATGGATTGAATGAATGAATGAATGAAAAAAATAAAAATATAATAGAAAGTTGAACCCATTTGTATTGCTATACTTCCCTCCTCATGATCATGATCGTGATCATCGCCTCATTTTTCATTTCTACATCTCAATGAAAATATATGTATATCTTGCCCACCACCACAGATAGGAGATGTGAATTGTTCTCGTTTATCCTGGAGTGGATAAGATAATCCCTCCATTTCAATGTACAGAAATGAAAGAATAGATCACAGTTCAATCTCTTTTAAATGGTTTACTTTCCATTTGTTTTCTTTCACTCTTTGTTTCGTCCCATTTCAACTACTATATATCTATTACTTCAGTAATACCAAAATCATTCATCTTATAGTAATTTCCATTTCAGAGGGTGAAGGCAAAACCAATGTTTCTCTCATATCCTGTTATCTCTTCATATTCAAAAATAACCAAATTATAATCTAATAATTTCCTAATATTCTTCAACTCGTTAAATATAAGCTATACGTACCAACTTTACCAGCTTTCAAGAACTTAGCCATTATTGTATTAGTATGATGTGGGTTCTTTTATTAAGAATATAACAACTTATAATAAAATAGTAATGGTTAGCTTTAAAACCACTTGTTAAATTATAGGTTTTTTCATATATATGAAACAAATTGATATGAATGATACTAGTGGAAAAACTCTAAGTAAGCAGAAGAAGGTAGAATTTTACAAAGAGCAAGCAAAAACTCTAGACATTTAGAATCAATAACATCCATCATTCATTGGCATCCCATTACTATTCATTCTATCAACCATCCCATCATCCATCACATCACATAACTTCACAACACTAGCAATAGCAATAGCAATAGCAATAGCTTTCCATGTTCCATTTACCACATTCACTCTTTCACTCATTCATTCATCCATTCACTATTCACTAACAATATCTAAACTAAACTCAACTTACAGAGACAAACTGTACTAAGAACAAGACAACGATACCCAATAGAACACAATACCAATAGGATAAATTTCAGTTTGGTACGCCTACTACACTGCAAACATCAAGTCGATGGGACTTAATTGCGTAGTGAAAAAAGTGAAAAATTATAATAAACTGTGCGTTATTCCACATTGCGTCTCTTTGCTTGTCAAGAAAATAACTATGAAGTGGGCCTAACCTAGCCTAATGCTCTGCCTATCCCAGCGCCGGTTCCCACTAGCGAAACTTGCCCTGTGTAGAAGGAGACGGTATCTGTAGACAGAAAAAAATAAACCAGAACCCATCTTCCAGTCTGGTAACCCCCCAGCTGAAGCCCTCTTGTTCTTCCGAAACCGTAGACAGAGATAGGTTCCTGCCTCCATCGCGCCCACTTTTCCTTTAAACTGCGAAAAAAGTTGTGAGATACTCGTCTTTTTTTTTTCACAATTTTTCGCAGTGCCAAGATTACAGAAAAAATTGGTTCATAATTATTGGTGTACGGATGCTAAATGTACACCATGGAACAGTCACTTGAAATGACTTTTTTCAGTTTTGGTCTCACCCTTCTCGGTTCGGTTCGGTTCGGACAAAAGAATAATATATTATATTATAATCGATTGAATAACTTAGCCGCCGAGGTTGTTATAACTATTAACATATAGCCTTCTTTTTTGTCAATTGTTTAATGATTATATAAATGGGATATATGTATGTATAGATAATGGGTATAATACGTTGCCTTGGATACGTATAGACCTGTCCACCTGAAATAAAATTAAATAAAAGGGAGAAGAAGGAAACTCATACTCATACTCATACTCATTGCATCCGTTGGAATAATCCTAAAGAGATGAAGGATAAGATAATATTTGACAAAGAGGAAACTACTAATTCAAGTTCATTGGGTTTAAGTTTCAAAAACTCGGACATTGGATCAGCCAACAGTGGGTATGACTTGAAGTTGATTGCAGATTCGTTGGAAAAGTTACAAATTGGCCACAAACGTATCGCTCATGTTGTAGAGGCCATAAATACAACTTCTATTAACATGCTATTAGATATAGATTCCTTATTGAATAGGAGTAAGAATAATAACAAACATCTGGAAAAACTAGACACTTTGGAGGAATCGATTCTATCCTTACAAGAAAATATTAATAGTTTCTGGGGTGCTAAAATAAAGGAAGAAGGCAATCAAGAGATTGATATTGTGTTAAAGCAATTGGAACATGAAAAGGAAATGAGAAAACTATATGAGAATGAATTAACTAAATATGAAGAAGGTTTGGGCACTTTGAAGAAACTGGAACTAACTATTCAAGAAAGATCAATCGAACTAACAAAAATTAATACAGATTATGATCTTTGTAAAAAGTTATTAAAAGAAAGGTACGAAGAGTACAAATCATTGCAAGAAGAATATTTTACATTACATGAAAAGATTAATGCATTGATTAATCAAGATTTATCATCAATTACTGGCGATTTAACTCTAACAAACAGTATTATTATGAGAAATGGTAATACTGCTAATTGTAATAACGAAAATATTTCGCAAACCTTTAGAGAAATTGATGATAGAATATTTCAATTGATTCAAGAGACACATCAGCTTAATGTGAAACCAAAACAACATAATAACAATAGAAGAATTGTGTCATTTGACCAATTAGATTTAGATTGGAAAGCTTCAGATAGTGCCTCCTCAGACAATGAAATTTAAATCCCATAAACGCTTAAATTCTTTAAATATAACACATACAAATATATTAGATAAGTTGCTATATTGACTCCCTTTCATTGATGATCTATTGATAACTTCCCCAGTTTTTTGACTAGTATTTATTATCATCTCTTATTTTTACTTCGAATTGCAATTTAATTTCAAAATTTGACCTTGAAGAAGCGAAACCTATTTTAACTTTAATCTATGAAATAATAGCTAAGACTGATTGATTAGATATACTAATTGGGGTAATGTTATAATTTTAAAATAAGGTAATAAATATATATATCTAAAACTATTGAAATACTGAATGATAAAAAAAAATAATTTATATTTTTATTTGTAAAGTATTATATTTTGGTGTTATTTCAAAAATTTTAGCTTATCTTCTCAATTATTACAAATCTAGTTATGGATGAAGAAACAATTAGGACACAAGTTAGACCGTATTACGATTCAGATAATTTTGATGCTGGTTATTTAGCTGTTTTCAAGCCTGATCAAGGTGTGATAGATCCTGATGGCAATACAATTGCTTCTAAATTAAATATCGTACAGTCATTAAACAAGGGTATACTTACAAACAATGGTTCAAGTGACAAAACTGGTAACTTTATATCAAGAATCTTATCAGGATGGACAAAGGGTATATCAGATGTTAATAAGAATAGTATGCTTAATACAGGTACCGGTCGTGGTTCTTTTTCTGATACTATAGATTCTGTTAGTAATAAACGTATTGAGGATTTAGAATGGGGTGATTTGTTAAGTATAAATACTTGGAAAAAAATAATGGGTCAACTATTTGAAGAATTCACTAGAAGGTATCTACAACATTTAATACAACAGCCTTTCGAAGTAAGCAGATGTTTGTTACAAGTTGGTGATTTTACGGATGCATTAGCAGAGAGAAATAAAGACAAAAACAAAAAGCCACCTATTATATTAAAAAACAATGAAGGGAACACTTCTGATTTTGAAGAAGAGATTAATTTCTTCCCAGATAAGTCGGAAGACAAAGAACCTTCTAGCAGTGATATGAAGACAGCTGTTGACGACAACCCAATTCATAATGCCAAAAATGAAACTTCATTAATACAACCTGAATCGCTGAATGTTATGGATGTAATGAATTCATTGATAGAAAAAGAAGGTATCCGTGGTTTATGGAGAGCGAATAATACTACCTTTATTTATAACTTTTTGAATCTAACTCTGACTGTTTGGTTTATTGGATTGTTCTCCCCATTTTTAGGGATCTCTGATCCTAACTTTTTGGATTCTATATTACAATCTAATATTACATATTCATCTATGAAAGAATTGAAAGTATCTGTTGTTCTAACTTTATGTTCAAATGCTCTTACAAATATTATAATTATGCCTTTAGATTTAATCAGAACGAAACTGCTAGTCACTAGAATTCAACAACCTATTTCAAATGATAATAAAAATAACCGCAATGATTCTTCTGTGAAGCCTCCAACAAGAAGTTTAAGAGAAATGATAAAGGACTGGTCTTGGAAGTTGGATGCTCCAAAAATTCCTTTTGATATATGGGTTTTGACTATTTTAAATTCATTGACATCCAGTAGTAGAACCTCTTCGAGTATTTTTAGTGAAAAAATGTTTACGTTATTATGGGAAAAACAATTAGGATTTAGTAAAGATTCTTCGACTCTAAAATTATATCATATTTCCTTTTGTGTGTACGAAATGCTAGGTATTTTTATTAAACTTCCAATTGAAACAATGTTACGTCGCTGTCAAGTTAAATATTTATTAGAAAGAAAAACTGATAAAATCAGCATTGATAAAGATGAATTGATTATAAGTCCAATTAAATACAATAAAAAAATATTATTATTAAAGAAAGAATATAAAAATAAGGATATCAATTCAAATAAGGAAAGTGCAGGAAGAAATATAATTGCACTTTGGAATGGTTGGAAAATTAGTATTATGAGTTTGTTATGCGGCTATGGTTTAAAATTATTACAAAAGGATGAAAGGTCGATTGAACTAGAATTCTAGGTTAACCAGTTATGTTCAAAAATAATTATGCATTTTTATGAGATTATACAAAATAAAATAAAAGAATTTTAATAATAAAAAAATTCAAATCTTTCTTCTTTTATTTCTTATCATTATCATTATTATTACTAAAGTTTTTTTTTGTTTCTATTGTTTTGTTTGATCATTTGCATTATTCAATTGATCGCTCTGTTTTATTAAATATTCTCCCAATGCCCTAAGAGGATCAGCTGGCTTTTCCACAGCAATCATTCGCATCCCATTTAACAAGTATGGAGTAATATGTTGATTCAAATATTTCCTTGTTTTAGATCCACCTATTGTTTCTGATAAGTTAATTTCATTTGCATTAGTCGAAGACCCAACAACTGCCATTGCATCCGTTGATGATTCTGTTTCTGTTTCTATTTCTGTACTTCCTCCTGCTACCTCTACTGCAGGTTGATTGGTTACTAATCCAATTGATACTGGTTCAGTTTCTGAATTGGTAATGCTATTGGAAATATCTCCCGGTAAGGACTTATTTTGTCCCACCGTAGTTGAATTAGGTAATACTGGATCGGACATCGTTTATCAATCAAACTTATGATTATGGTTTCTCTGGTAATATTACCCCCCCAATTGTATATAGAACTTGTAAATGTAGATATCACTATGTCCCTTGTTTTGATCATTTATATAAATAAATCATCATCATCATCATTTTTAGTTTTGATATCGATTTCGAAATGTTTTTTCCCTTCCAAAAAGAAAGAAAAAAACTGACGAAATTAGCACTTTTACGTATAAGTTAAGATTAATATAATTCGAAATGGGATTTAAGCTAAGGTATGATATATTGTTTGTTTAAACTACTGCTGATTGTTAAATAATTGATTGATCCTGTAGTATTTATAAAGGAGTAGTGCTATAATTATTTATTTTGATTTTGCTTAAAATAATGAGTGCTGGTGATGAAATATTTGAACAAGTTGTCAACGATGCTAAGGAACAAATTGGGAGGTTACGAAATACTAGAAGGACGACAAAGGAGCAACGAGAAGAGTATTTAGAGATCGTGGAGGAGATTAAAGATACTATAAAGGATTTGTATAAAAGTATTGAAGTTATCAAGAGGAATGAAGGAGGATCTACAGTTGACAAAGAAAGGGAAGTTGAAAATTTGGAAAAATCTTTAAAAGAATTAGAAATAAATGGCAACAGTATTAATGCCAATTATAATAATAGAGGTCGGATTGATGCAGATGAAGAATACGTTTCAAATATGGAGGATAATAATGCTGATGTTAAAAAAAATCCATTAGGGGATATAATACAGGAGCAAATGTATCGTGAACAAAGTGATCAACTGGACGAAATACATTATACTATGGGACAATTGCAAGAACAAGCAAGAACTATGGGTGATGAGCTTAGGGATCAAAGTGAATTATTGGAAAATATTGATGATGGGATGGATACAATTGGTAGTAAATTATCTCGTGGTAGAAGACAATTGGAATGGATCTACGAAAAAAATCGTGAGAAATGGAACGATTGTTGTATTACGTTATTGATAGTAGTATTGATTATACTTTTAGTAATGGCAATAATAATATAATAAGGTTCCCAAAAAAACCCAAAAATCAACATAAGAAGGCAAAATAAATAATTATAATAAAAGGTATGATTAGTCTGTGTTTTCAAAACAAAACTAAGTGATTGATAATGTAATCTAATACACACGTTAGAGTTAAAAAATGTAAGATTACTAGTGTTATTGCAATTATCTTTTGCATTAGTCATTGGGTATTTTCTTCAATGAATGGGATGGTTGTATATTTATTTCTAGAAAGATTTTGATACATTCAAGAATCACTGAAGAGTGTATCCGAGAATGTTAACGAGCCTTTAAACATCAGAATGATTAATTCGGGAAAATTAGGGTAATGTGTAGATTAACCAAGATGGCCGGCCAATTAATTATAGCTCCGGGAATAATTCATTCTTACACATATGGATGCGTGTTAATGTGTCTGTATACATATATATTTATATATAAATATATAAATATATGAGTGTGTGACACTCTACGTATTTTATGCAATTTAATTAATTGTTCAAGAGCCTAAGAAGACCTCTGTCATGGAATTACAGCAATTAAAATACCCTGTTTCATGGTTGAATGGGTGGGAAGGTATGTGGAAGTAAGGGATTCCCATGAAAAGGAAGATTTCCATTTGGTAATGTTATTTTTTGCATCAAGAATATAAACTAACCTTGACTTAAAAGATTTCTATTCAACCACATTGATTATTTTTAAGATTTGTTCTATCAAATCAAATTTGACATAAAATCGGTGATTAGAATTACCTGTTTCCCAATTAGGCAAGATTCGTTGTGTAGTATGGGTATTCCCTATGTTCCAAATTCGGAAATCTAAGAACACTTCGTACGGTTGCCAACCACCCAATCAAAAAAAGGGAAAAATTCATCTGGCAGTACGAGCGCTTCTCTCCAGAATGTAAAGTATGCCTTTTGTCTCTCATTTTTCTTTTCTTTTCTTTTCTTTTCTTTTTTCTTATTCGTTCTCCCGGATGTGTGTTGTAGGAGAAATTGATGGCAAGTCCTTTTCCTTTCTTTTTTTTTTCCTTGAACTTGTGAATAATAACCCGGACGCAGCAGCATTTCCAAACTCTTTTCTTTTTCACATTGTTTGTCGGTGAGGAATTCTTTCCTTATTAATTACTAAACAGAGATATATAATTGTGTTCTGCGCGCTGGTTCACTATCAGTCCAATGGTATTTATATCGTATAAACGTGATTTAGTTTTTATTGTTGTTAATTTTTTTGCATTTTTGTGTCACAAACCGCGCAGCCAGAGGGATGTGGGAGAAGCGATGTCGTGCTCCTTCCCTTGTACGAACTGTGCTGTACATTTCTTTTTTTGGGTGTTTTCAGCGACACATAACCAAAATTGGAAAAGAGAGAGAGAGGGCAAGAGAAACGCAGAGAAACGCAGAGAAAGGGAGGGACAGAGAGGGAACCATATGTATATTTATATCTATCCATATGTTAAGAAAAAGAAATTCTGCTAAACGAGGCAACAAGAAAAAAAATTATATTTATATAAATATAATTTTTTTTTTCTTTTTAGCACACAAAAAGGAGATGCCCAATCAATCATGGCATGAATCTACAGTGCAACATCGTGGCGGTATCCTGGATACTATCGATCTGGTTAAGCAGATAGATAAACTTATAGATATAAATTTACATCTGTAGTGGAAGACAGAAGAAATGGCTAGAAAAGCTGGTTGAAAGACTTTTGTCATTACCATTGTAGTCTATTTTAATTTGAATAGCTGTAATGAAAACGTCTGGTAGTGAAGAGGTAAGGAAATAATACATTTGAGGTGCCAGTTCAATTTTCCTTTTGTCATTAATCCATTGACAAGAGTTGGGAGAAGGGTATGGAGGATGCAGACGAAAGGAAAGAGAGTTTGTTGGAAACATCGAGACTTGAATGAATGTGTTTCAACTTGCGAAGGGAACTGGTAGAACCAGAAGAGAGAGAGAGAGGAGTTTTTGTTTGCTGCTCTGAACAAACAAACGACTATTATATTACATATATAGTAACAGTTCCAACAACAACAACAATAATAATAATAATAATTATAGTACATTGTGTCTTGAATTTAAATCTTGTAATCAATTACTCTTAGAAGAGAAATAGAAAACGTAAAATATAGAGTAACAAAGTAAAGAAAAAAAGAAATGTTGCAAAGTCTGACCAAGATATAACAGAGATATGTACCTATAAAAAAAATTAGACCATCTGAGGTTCTTATGATTATTAATCATCCTCATCATAGCAATAACCAAATTGTAGACGGGTTTAAGGAATTAACAGATATTCAACGAAAATAGAACTTTGTAACAAGTACAAAATGAAAATCTAAGATACCAGTCTACCTGGTGGTGGAACCACTCAACTCTTTCTATTGGCAATTGACATATTTTACTATCAATTAAGGTTTTTACAACCAAGCTGAATCTATAAATTTCAAAATTCAAAGATTTGTGGCTTGTAACTAGAGCAATACAGGTTAACCGTAAGTAACAAACACGGATTTCCATCTTTTACGTGAACTGGATCGATCCCCCCAATATGTAGGTAGGTAGGTAGGTATGTTTGTATGTATTTGAATATAAGTAAATTAGACCATTATCATGTAATAATCTCTTTACCAAGAGCAAGTTAAAACAAATCAACCCAGAATCAAGAATAAGTGAAAAACAAGTTACTACAAGATTCCCGTTGCAGTGGTAAATTCCTATCATCTCAACAACCCAAAGAAGAAGATAGATAAAAATTGAAAAATTCATTTTTACTAAACAAGAAAAACAGACCCCTTCAAGAATTACTGTTACTCGATTAAATATCAGTTTTCGATTCAAACAAGTAACTATTTGAAAAATGGAAAACCCACTATCCATACAGGTGAGCTGAGCTGAGCAAGAACAAGAACAAGAACAAGAACAAGAATAAGAACAGGAGAGCAATGCAACAGTGGTTAAAAATACATGAACACAATTAAAAAAAAGAAGAAACTGAACCAGACAAAACTAAACTAAACCAAGCCAAACCAAACTAACCTCAACAATTATTTTTTCTTCTTGCACTTTCCCAACCTCCCCATCGTTGCACACTCACTCTCTGTTACTGAATCAGAATCCCAAGTGAATCAACCAACGTATATGTATCTTTTTATTTAGTAATCCATTAACTAATTCTAATTAGTTGCTAGCAATGTAGGTATGTATATGTATATGTATGTATGTATGTATAAGATATTATATTTAAGTGTCTTTCTTGTAGATAAGAAAAGGCAGTAAAGTGACTTTGCTCAGTTGGTCTTCTCGATCTCCCTTTTGTTCTTGTTCTCTCTTGTTCTTGTTCTTGTTCTTGTCCTAGTTCTTGTTCTTGTTCTTCCTCTTCTTCCTCTTCTTCTTCTTCATCGTTGATACTGTCGTCCTCGTCGTCCTCGTATAGGTCAATATCAAAAGAGAAATATAATGAAAAAGTGTAAAACCTTTTAAAGATTTCGAAATTGGCTACAGTGGGAAAAAAAAAATCTAGCTTGTTGTCTTGTTTGCTTAGTTCGACTTTGATTTAGTTTAAATATACATCTTTATCGTTCTTTGGTTTCAATCTATAACTTAGTATTGTTTTTGTATAAGTGAAGAAAAAAAATTTTCTTGTTACAGTTTTTTTTTACCTTTCTTTCTCTTACAACCAAGAAGCAACGTAAGGTTAGGTATCATTGTAACTTTATTCGAGACCAGAAGTCACAGAGAGATATAATATATATCTTTGTCATAATATTCAGGTATTTGCTGGGATTAGTTTAATTTCTTTATTTGATTTCAATATTTGGTAGATACACTTTGTTATATTTATCCATCTATATAAGTATATGTGTTAAATCCAGTTACATTATATTATATATTTGTCATCATCTCTGGAATTATAGTAATAGAAGGGGAATCAAGATAAACCAAGATAGAGAAACTCATTGGTGATTACTATTAGAACATTATCTATCCAAGAGAATTTATTTATCCGTATATTTATTCTTTTTATTTATTTATTCATCTGTTTCATTTGATTCGATCGAGTCTACTGTGCTTTAGAAGTGAAGAGTAATATTCACAGGTCAGGAATACAATACATCCAATACATCCAATAGTAACAAGGCCATAAAAGAAAAAGGAATATATAGATAGATAGATATATTCATATTCATACTCATATTTATCACTCACATACATCGCAGCAACAATGGTTTCCGGTAATATTGATGAATTGACTTATTCAAAATATCCTTCTTCAAAAAGTGTTGGTAAAGATCACATTATCATTGTCGGTGGTGGTATCATCGGTGCTACCACTGCTTATTATCTAACGAAACACCCAAATTTTGATCCAAATAAGCATTACATTACTTTAATTGAATCAAGTGAAGTTGCAGGCGGTGCCTCTGGTAAAGCTGGTGGTCTAATTGCTTCTTGGGCCTTCCCAGAACAGATCGTACCATTATCTTTCCATTTACATGAAGAATTGAATCAAGAATATGATGGTGAAACAAATTGGGGTTATAGAAGATTAAATGCCTTATCTGTTGAAGCTGATTTGAAAAATTTAAGAGATGAACAAGAAAAGAGACACTTACGTTTGCAAAAGAGATTTAATGAATTTTCCAAAAACGTACCAGTAGTGCCAACAACTGAATTAGAAAACGGTGAAAGTAAAACTGCTCCTGTAGGAGCTGGTAAAAATGTCCATGGTAAAGCTTCTGATTATATTCAACAGAATTATCCATCAGCTCCTCCTATGTCAAAGGATTCATCTCAGTTCAATCTAGATGATTTAGCAGCTGTGCCAATGGGTGGCGCTCCTCAAAGCAATGGTATTCCAGATGATTTGAGTACAGGTGGTGTCATGATGAGGACATCTCATAGTTTATTACCAATGGCATTCGATTGGGTGAAACAAAAATTAATTAAAACTTGGAATTATATTGGTGAAACTGAAACTACTGCTCAAATCCATCCTTATAAATTTACCCATTTCTTATTGACAAAAGCTATGGAAACTGGTGCCGTAGAATTAATTAAAGGTAAAGTTAATGAAATACAAGTTAATGATGAAAATGAAGCATGCGGTGTTTCATATATACCGAGGGATTCAGAAGATAATGAAGTTGTCAATCTAGTGAATGCTTCAAAAGTATTATTATCAGTGGGTCCATGGACTCCAAAGCTTTTAAAAGACTGTCCTATATCAAGTTTAAGAGTCCATTCAGTCATTGTCAAACCAGAAAATACAGAAGAAAATCCAATTTCACCATACTCTTTATTTAGTGAAATCCAAGTCGAAAATAATAGAATAGTGTCACCAGAAATTTATCCAAGAAAAGATGAAATTTATATCTGTGGTGAAGGTGATGCTGTTGATCTACCAGATTCTATTGAAGATATAAAACCAAATGACGAAATATGTAATGAACTGTATTATTACGTTTCTAAATTGTCATCAAGTGTATCGCACGGTGAAATCACAGACAGATTTGCATCTTACTTGCCTGTTCTAAACATCCCAACTGGTTCAGGTCCTTTACTTGGTGAAACTAATATGAAGAATCTATATATCGCCACAGGTCACTCATGTTGGGGTATTAATAATGCTCCTGCTACAGGGTTAATAATGTCACAACTTATGTTGGAAGGTGACTGTACTTGTGCCGAAATATCAGTATTTAATCCAAAACTATATTTTGATGCAACAAAGCTTAACTGATTAATTCCATGTTTGATGATATTGAATAAAAAGATAAAATAAAAATTCTAAAAAAAAGATAGAAAAAAAATCTAATGATTTATTAAATTAACGTATTTCATTTCCTCCATTTATATTTTACATTCATTTGGATAATATTTATGTATGTTTTCATAGACAAATTTATGTACTGTAATACTTAAATATCAGAAAAACTGTTATGAGTAAAAGTGTTAATTGAAGAGCCCTGTAAGGCTAAATATCTCTAACTAAAAGAATTTGTTTTAAGTAACTGTCAAGGGACTTAACAAGGAATATGGCTTGACCAACTCAATTTTTTTTATAATTATTACAATTAATTATGAAGTTTTACAAATTATTAGAAGTGTCGTATATAATTTAATTCAATAAAGAATTATATGCAATTTAGAATAATATTTAATTCGGGTTTGGAGATTGGGTTAATCTCCTTTTTTGTAGATTCTTGAAGGCAGCAGATGCACCACTGCTTGCCACTCTTGTCCTGTAATTATTTAATTGTCTCTCCTGATTTGTATTGAGTTCTTCTTTAGTTTTGTAATAGTTAGGATCAAATGGCCCTTCTTTCCTCAAAGTTTGCAAGACTTCATACCTACTACTACTAATCACCATATTAGATGGAGCAGTATATTTTTTAATTGGAGCCTTAGTTGCATGAGATCTAATCGTTGAATTTGGAGATGGGCCTGGAGAAGGTGGAGCAGAATTACTAACATGCGCGACTGTATGTTTATTTGAAGGAATACCCTGAGATGATCTCCTTACCTGTTGTTTAACTTTATTAGTAGAAACATGCAATTCTTTCTTAGATGAAGCAGAAGTTGGTGGAGATGGCAATAATGTATTTGTAGCTGGATATGAATTGTTGTTCCCCTCTAAGTTTCCTTTTTTTGGAGCAACCTTCTGTTCTATTGAAGTTTTTGACATCATTTGTGTTATTAGCTGTTGATCTTCTAGAAGTTGTCTTGATTTGAAAAGGCAATCAACCCAACTTTCTTCTCTGTTTATAGACTCAGATTTGAACGGAGTTGAAGGTAATAAAAAATTTAGTAACGGTAAAGAAATAAACCAGATTTTGCTTTGATACTTCTCTAGTATTAGAAACCCTGATTTCGTTACTTCATTGAATTCAAAATCATACATTGAAAGGTCTGAATCTGCAATATTTACCATTAAAAGTTCTTCATAACTTTTAACCTTGTTTGTATTTTTCTTCTTCTTTATTGTTTTATAAATAAGTGATCCATCTTTATATAATGTCAGTAGGTCAGGGGTGAGGTCCTCGGATGACCTTAGCTCTGATCCATGGTTAGACACAAGTGAGGTAATCAGGTCATTATCTATGTTTTTATAACCGGTTAGAGACATTTCTGCACCAGCTTCATTGTATGGTATTTCGTGGATATATACAAGTTCTTGTTTCACAATTCGAGGGTTTACTGGCTTTTCTTTTAACTTAGTCGATGGTTGCGAATATTTTGGAGTCGTGGGAATCTTATTCATAGAAGCTGATTTTGGTAAAGGGTAATTATTGATTGGAGCAGATATGTGTTCCTTTTTAACCTCTGGAGGAATATCACTTCTGGATAAACCATTAAAATTAAACTCATCATCCGCTACTTTATCCATATCATTTAATTGATTTACCTCGTTGCTTGAGAAGTTAGTCACTGGATTGCTATCATTTGAAGTAGTTAAATCGAGACTACTATTACTACTATTCGAATTGGCAGTACTATTACTATTATTAGAAATGTTTAATGACGAAATTCCCAATCTTTTCCTCCATTCTACTATACTGCTTGTAGTATTTGAAACTTTAGTAGGCTTCTTCTTTTTCTTTTTTTGTTTGGTAATTGGTATGTTTCTCAGTGGGGTATTAATTACATGCAACTGCCTATCATTAATAATACTGTTATTTTGTTGTAAAGATGAAGTTGAAGAGACAGGCGGACAGTTAATTAAGTTGTTGGTACCTTTTGGTATATTCCAGACACTTGACCAGATTTTTTGTTTATTGTCCCAGTCCACTAAATTCAACCACGAATGTTTTTTTATCTCAGATAAAGTTATTCTATCTTGTGGGTTAACTGTTAAAATTTTGCGTACCAGATCCTTTACGAGTGATGAAATTTTGAACTGGTCACTCCATTTATACTCTAATGCAACGATTTTTTCAAAAGTCTTTAATTCATTTTCACCACGAAAAGGTGGTAAACCTTCTAAAAATTGAAAAATCATACAACCTAATGCCCAAATATCTGAACCATATCCGCTGTGATTGTAAAGTAACAGTTCTGGGGAAACATATTCTGCAGTTCCGACAAAGGAAGAATTGGTATTTACTAAACAAGGGTGGCTACCATTTGACTTTGTTGTAATATTTTCTTTATTGTCATTATTTTTTTGTATGTATGCTGCACCAAAATCTGTTATCATCAAATTACTATTTTTATCTAGTAGGATGTTCTCTGGTTTTAAATCTCTATGTATGATTCCCTTGCTGTGAATAAATTCTAAAGCGTCTATTATTTGTGCACAAAAATGTATTGACCAAACTTCATTGAATGTTTTCATTTTATGTAATAATTGTAATAGTTCACCATTGATGGCGTAACTCAATACAAAATATAAATTATCTTGATCATGAAAAGTGTAGTATAATTTTATAATCCCTGGATGATTCTCCCTGCCTAATGAGTTTAACACATTTTTTTCAATTGTCACATATTTTACTTTATTTTCCTTTATAATATGTCGTTTTGAGCAAACCTTGATTGCAAAGCATTTCTTCAAATTTTTTTTATCAACAGCCTTATATACTGTAGAGTATGATCCGTGTCCTAGTTCTTGTTTGAATATATAATCATGAGGTGAATGTTTTTTTAATGCGTATGACGACATAGTGTCGAAGTGGTATTAAAATGGGAAATAGAAGATAAAGATGATATAGGAAGAGCAGAATGAAATGAAAGGGGAATGAAGTAAAATGCAAAATAAAAATAAAAAATAAAAAAAATTTGTAATGGTAAAAATGGGTTCCAATTAGGATACGACTGGGGGTTGGACGTTTAAAAAAATTATGAATGTTCCTTAATTTAACTTGAATTCAAACTTTAAGAATCGATAATAATGTAAAATGGAGAAGAGACCTTGGCAAGATCTTCAAAATAAAATCTAAAATAAGGAACCAATGGGGGAAACTAAAGTGAAATGAAACCAAAAAAAAAAAAAAATAATAATAGTAATTGACTTTAATCTAAAATAACCTTATTGATGCTAAATTATGACTTTTATTTGTATTCCGAAATTGAATTAAAGTTTAAATGGCCATTAGTCCCAATGATGAAGTATTTTAAAATCGGTATACTTTAAAGGATTGATTAAGGTTTTATTTTATTGAAACATAAAAATAAGGGTAGGATAACAGATGAAACGTTCACTTGCAGGCCTTATTCTATTCTCAAGTGGTACCAGTCACTGTTATCTTCTCTTGATTTCAGCACAAATCGAAGTGTATACAAATACAGATATAAATATAAATATTTGTATATATGTATATGATTTCCTCCTTTATCTGTACCTATACGTTATACCTATAGTTGTAGCTGTAAGAATATAAATATATATGAGAGAGAGTGTGTGTGATAGTGAGTGAGTGAGTGTGGAAATGTGGTGGCAGTGTGATTGAAATAGCTCCGATTCCTGAGGGTTACTAAAATTGAACCTAAAGGAAACAATTAACAGATATCATTAAATGAAATTAAATTAAATCATACAATAGAAACATAATACAGTTGTAAATTTCAAAATAGAATAGACCGACTGGGATAGTGATAATATGTAACAGGGAACTGAAATATTGCCGAAATAACCCAGAATTAGAAGTGGATTCGAAACAATACCATACAATACAATACAATACAATACAATACGATTCAACGCTGCTAAGGCAAAGAGGACGTGAGACGTGAGACATTCGAATTTTCGAAAGTGACATAAAGAGGATAGAGAAGAGAGACAGCAGACAGAGATGATAGACAGTTTGGAACAGCCTGGGACAGTTTGGGACAGATTGAGCCCAGAAATTAGAGGCCAGGAAGTAGAGCAGAGCTAAAGCTGAGCTAGAGCAGAGAAATAGCAAAACAGAGGCTCTTAAGCAACAAGACACGAACGAAACAAGACGAAACAGAAACTGATCGCAAAAATGGGCGTGTAGGTGTCTGTTGGGGAGGTGGGAGGGGGCAGATAAAGGCAGTACCAGGCAGAGGGGAGAGAGAAGCCCCTATGTATATGTGGTAGCACAAACAGTTTTTGTTATACTCTCAGAATGGTAATGGTAATCGCACCATTGCGCTAACTCAGTTTACGTATTTGTCGTCGTCATATCTGTCTCTCTCTCTCTGTTTGCACAAACATAAACAAAAACACAGAGAGAGAGGAGACAGACACAGACAGACACGCACTCACGCACGCACAGGCAACCAAATTTACCAAAAGTGTTTAAATGTTCAGTCACGTGGTCTCTGTCTTTTTTCTGTGTTTTCGAAATTTCAGCTCATATGTTTGCGTCGCTATCAAATATTTGTCTTTGGCATGAAAAATTTTAAGTAGCTCATCTCATCTCATCTCATCTCATCGCATTATGCTATAGTCTAAATATGCTTGACTGATAGCAGCGGTAACATTTATTGAATTGAATTGAGTGTGTTTATCTTACTTATTCTTACTTCTCTGTTTGGCACTATTTGTTTATATGTTTATATGTTTATATTTGTATTTGTATTTATATTTATAGTTGTATATATGTATCTATAGTGTTATATAGGTTTACATATCGGTACGCAAACATACCGCAAATATGCCTAGATCTAAACGCTCAAAGCTAGTGACATTGTCTCAGACTGATAAAAAGGGAAGAGAAAACAAAGAAAGAATATTTGATGAAGTTAGAACTGCCTTGGATACTTATAAGTACGTTTGGATCCTATATCTCGATGACGTGAGAACACCAGTTTTACAAGAAATTAGAACCGCTTGGACTGGTTCAAAATTAATCTTGGGAAAAAGAAAAGTCTTGGAAAAGGCATTGGGTACCACTAGAGAAGACGAATATAAGGAGAATTTGCATAAACTAACTAAAGAATGTAATGGTGTAACGGGTTTATTCTTTACTAATGAAGATATTGATACTTTCCAAAATTATTTCAAATCATATACAAGGATGGACTGTTCAAGACCAAATTCAAAAGCTCCATTAACCTTCGTCATTCCAGAAGGCATCGTGTATTCTCGTGGTGGTCAGATCCCAGTTGAAGACGACGTCCCAATGGTGCACTCTTTGGAACCAACTTTAAGAAACAAGTTGGAGATCCCAACTAAAATTAAAGCCGGTAAGATTACAATCGAATCCCCATACTTAGTTTGTAATGAAGGTGATAAATTGGATGTCCGTCAAGCTTTGATCTTGAAACAATTTGGTGTAGCAGCTGCTAAATTTAAAGTTAGAGTAGCCGCATATTACGATAATGAAGAGTCAAAGATGGAAAAAGTTAATATCAATTTTGATTAATAATAAATCAATTAAACCATAATAAACCTTGTCATTTTAAATATATAATTAGAGCATTGAGAATCATTCTCCTTTTATTTTATTGTTATCATTAATTTTATTTTAATTTATCTTATATTGTTTTATGTTATTTTATCTCATTTAATTTCATCTCTTGTACTTTACTTACTTATCTTTTAATTTTCCTGGGAAAAAGAGAAGATGTCATTGTACCTGATAGGTAAAAAAATTTACATAAACCAACTTAACCTATGAATAATATTTTAATTGGAACGCGGCTATCAGCAGATATTTCTCCAATAGTCTTCAATTCTTGTTAATTTATCACAAATTGGTTTAGTTCTATTTACAGGAATAAATATAACATCTTTTAATGCACGTTTTCTTTTGATTCGAAATGAAGCATTGTATATAAGGTTCACTATTCGTACTTGTTCATTGTCTATTACTAAATCCTTATTCCCTTCATTTTGTTGCTCATCCTTATTTTCATCCTCTTCTACAGTTTTGTTGGCATTTAATTCTTGAACTAGAGAATCTAATCCATAAAATATCAAATTGTTGTAGTCATTATTTACCGAATCCTCTTCAGCTTCGAATTTTATCAAATACATGAAAAGATATTGAAATCTATTCAAAAACAAAATATGTATGTCCTGTCTGCTTCTAATGATGGCGCCAATAGAAGAACTCTTATTTTCCCTATCATTCAGGCTTTTTTCTATATGGGACCGAGCTAAATCTCCCAGTACAATTATCAAAGCTCTTGTCTTATCTTGATTACTAGGGTCTTCTGATAATAAATTATCAAGCCTTTCATGAATTTCCATTTAGACCTTTTAAAAAGAGAAAAATAAATTTTCACTGCTCGAACACAAAATTTATTGAGTAATCGACATATAAGAATAACTTACTGATATTACTATGGTATCTGGCCTTTTAGATTGTTACTTCCAGTTCAGAATGGCTTTAAAAACTTCTAAACCTGATGGCAATTTAAATATTAAATCAACCTTGGTGCTGTTGATCAAGATTAAATTATCAAGTTTACCCGGCTTCTTAAATTTTCTATCAAATTTCGAAATTTAAGCTCGAAAAAAAAAAATATTAACACATTAAATTTAATCAACCCTTTCCTATATTAAAGAAACCTTTACCAGAAGCTTTCTAAAAAATGGGTACTTAATTCGAAACCGTCATTGAAAGGGAAGGCCTATATAAGTTGTTTTATTGGGGGGATCTATCATGAACGCGGTTAAAAAATTTATTCATCAAGCTTTAAACCTTTCTTTCCCAAAAAGTTTTTTGTAAAATCAATCACTACTACCCTTCCCAAAAACCTATACTATGGGGAGACCTCAAAACCTAAAGGGAAATTCTCAAAAAAAAATGAGGGTCTCCACTCCTTTATGAGAATGACCCGGTGAAACCCAACAAAATAAAATTCCTTAAGCTTAAAAATTCAGAGAATTGCAACCTTTAAACCTGAACCACCTTTAAATTTATTAAAATTAAGGTTTTTCCCAAAAAACTGTGAAAGGGCCACTTTACAATCCAATAAATCCGGCCCGGAAGGTCCTCACAAGGGGACCACAAA